GTATAAACCTACCAGAGAGCACCACGTGAATACGTACACTTGTGCTTCAAAACACTTCTTGGTAGGATGATGGTTAACCGAGTCACACATTTGCTTGCCTTTTTACCTGCTGAGAGTGGGTTGATAGTCTTCCAAACCAAACATGATCCAACACACCGGGGCTGCGTGTTACACGCTAGGTTGTATGTTGTAGTTAATTAGTTCGACTATAGTTTTTCACGTCAGGTGACTTCGACATGTTTAATCCGAGTGCAGTTCATCAAAAGTGCGTGCATCATACAGTTAATATCCATTTTATTGGTCGCAGAATCGTTTTCGAAAGTCTGCACCTACCAGATGATGACGAATTGACAACGATGTATGTCAGAATTCTGGTGCACATGGTAGTCTTTTGACTACGGGCTTTTTGTTTTCTTGTAAGCACCTGTGCCACACCAAAAAAAATACACAACCACAACGACCAAAGACCCCCATGCAAACACCAAGCAACATAAGTAGATCCTTCTACATTTATCTTAAGAAGTGGGTGATTAAGCCAGCTAAGCTTGGTCGTGCAGCAATAGCTTTCCTATAATAAATTTTTGAATCTTAGACATGGAATACAGCCTTGTACGTGATAAACAGAAAACCCATGAACTGGTGTTCCCACAGTAGTGTCTTCAAGCGGAGACTATGAATTACCTAGCTTCGTGTTGGACCAACTAGTGAGCTTAATCAAGGATGCAAATACCTTACCGGCTTGTCTGCAAAACGCCTCGCACGAGTACGTAAGATCTGCTCAATCACAACTTTCGGTAACAACGTATTGAAATATGTACTGTGGACAATGCTGGCGAAACCAGCATGTTCAACCATTCCCATGGATCTGGAGAAACTTCGGAAGCCGGAGCCGCAGTTTCGGAAATAATGGTAGTTGTTGGTAAAACCAACAATTTCCATGATCCCCTTCAGACAAATCATGGAAATTGTTGGTCGTACCAACGTTTCCAACAATTTCCATGAATTTGGAAAAACCTCGGGAGCCCGCGCCATAGTTTCGTGAATCATGGAAATTGTTGGAAATGTTGGTAAAACCAACAATTTCCATGATTCCCCTCAGAGAAATCATGGAAATTGTTGGATTTACCAACATTTCCAACAATTTCCATGAATTTGGAAAAACTTCGGGAGCCCGCGCCATAGTTTCGGGAATCATGGAAATTGTTTGGAAATGTTGGTAAAACCAACAATTCCATGATTCCCCTCAGAGAAATCATGGAAATTGTTGGTTTTACCAACATTTCCAACAATTTCCATGAATTTGGAAAGACCTCGGGAGCCCGCGCCATAGTTTCGGGAATCATGGAAATTGTTGGAATTGTTGGTAAAACCAACAATTTCCATGATTCCCCTCAGAGAAATCATGGAAATTGTTGGTTTTACTAACATTTCCAACAATTTCCATGAATTTGGAAAAACCTCGGGAGCCCGCGCTATAGTTTCGGAATCATGGAAATTGTTAGAAATGTTGGTAAAACCAACAATTTCCATGATCCCCTTCAAACAAATCATGGAAATTGTTGGTCGTACCAACGTTTCCAACAATTTCCATGAATTTGGAAAAACCTCGGGAGCCCGCGCCATAGTTTCGGGAATCATGGAAATTGTTGGAATGTTGGTAAAACCAACAATTTCCATGATTCCCCTCAGAGAAATCATGGAAATTGTTGGTTTTACCAACATTTCCAACAATTTCCATGAATTTGGAAAAACCTCGGGAGCCCGCGCCATAGTTTCGGGAATCATGGAAATTGTTTGGAAATGTTGGTAAAACCAGCAATTCCATGATTCCCCTCAGAGAAATCATGGAAATTGTTGGTTTTACCAACATTTCCAACAAATTCCATGAATTTGGAAAAACCTCGGGAGCCCGCGCCATAGTTTCGGGAATCATGGAAATTGTTGGAAATGTTGGTAAAACCAACAATTTCCATGATTCCCCTCAGAGAAATCATGGAAATTGTTGGTTTTACCAACATTTCCAGCACGTTCCTTCGATTTGGAGAAAGCTCGGGAGCAACAATACAGTAGACGCTACACTTAGAAGCCCAGGGAGCCACAGTAAACGAAAACGTGCTTTCCCAGAGACGCGATGACCAAGGAACACAAACAAATATTGGGGACAAGGTGTCTGGCTTGAACAGGACACAACCTGGGTACCGGGGGGGGGGGTACCATATATATATATATATATATATATATATATATATATGTAGTACAAATGCATGCATATAATATACATATATATATATATATATATGTGTGTGTGTGTGTCTGTATAGAATAGATATAGATTTTTATATACATTGTATATATATATATATACATACATACATACATACATACGTGCACGCATAAATACGTACGTATGGGTGCATATGTGTATATGTATATATATATATAGAGAGAGAGAGTGAGAGACTGATATATACGTACTTATACATATATGTACAGATATGTATTTATGTCGACATCCGTTTATTTGCCCGTCTGCAGGTAGGTATGTATGTGTATGTGTGTGTATGTGTGTGTGTATATCTATACAGAGAGATACAGATACACAGACATACATATATATGCACACATATCCATATGTATGTATGTATGTATGTATATATATATATATATATATATATCGCTGTACCAGCGTACGAGTAGATCCCCAAGCAGTGAAAGAGCACCACGGCGACCATGACCCCCACTAGGATCACCAACACCACCAGGACGATCACCGCGACCAGGACACTAGGAGGAGATCACCAGGAGGACCACTGACAATCAGGAGACCAGGAGCAGACCACAAGAAGACCACAAGGGAGCAGACCAGCAGAGCATCAGGATCATCAGAGGAGGAGGCCACCAGGAAATGTGCACCGCGCCACAGCGGGAGCCGCGCGCCGCAGAATTCTCTTCCCGCGGACCGTGGGGAAACAAACATCAGTTCTTTTTACTCTGAAGGTAAACACTCCGTGGTGCGCACTGCACTGCTTGGGGAACATACCAGCTGCAACGTTGAGGCTTGACAGACTCCTGTAGCTCTTGGAAGAGACGCAAGACGGAAACTAGGACTGATGGAGGACACACGGAAACAAGAGAGGCGTGCTGCTCTTACTGGTAGCAGATCTCAAGCTCCCTGAGTCGCAGCCCTTTTTCAAATCACCCTTAAAAATTCTTGTTCTCTGGGCATCTGGGCCACCACCAAGAGACGTGGAAGCACGATCCACGCTCAACTCAGATCCCACCCAGAGAGTGCGAGCATGGCCTTCCGAAAGCTACCTAAACCCAAGCCACGCTGAGGGCTCGGGCAGCTCGGGCGAGGCGCTTGTGGCCAGGCGAAGGAACTCACGAGTCAATGAACCTGCACGGGAAAGGCGAGGCCTGTACGCCTGTATGCAACGATGCGCTACCAAATGAGTCCTGATGATGTGAACGAGACGTGGAAGCACTCGACTCGTCTTCGCCCCCTAGGCGTGGCCGGCGCCCTGCTCTTGTGGCAAGTCGCCTGGCGCCGCAGTTTAGCGGGGAATCCGCAAGGGTTCACATGGAGGAGAGGTTGCAACTGCTCCGACTCAGTGGCATGAGAACAGACTCAAGTCCCGCCACCCCACTCGCATCTTGAATGCTGCAAAATGTTGTGAATTACAGTCGAAGGCTCAATGAATTACCCTGGTATACCGTTGTCCTGTCGCACCCCCCTCTTGCACACACAATACTCATATGCCGGGGTTGGATATGGCAAGTTGCCAGGATAGCTAGGGTTGGAAAACAAAAACGGGTGGTTTATGGGGATCGAGGGTCTGAGGGGCCTGAGGATTTAGCGGTGTAGGGCTAGGGGCTTGGCGGTTGCGAATTTGGAGCCTTTAGAGGTCGTGAAGCTAAATTTCGGGATCCAGGACTTGTGCACAAAACCAATCCCCGGCTGACCGAAGCCAGGAATGCTTTAAAAAAATGTTCAAGGGGTCTTCGGAGTCTGCCGAGATCCTGTGAGTTTGAGCATGCTGTTAGGCCTTCATAAGTTTTCGGGCAAGCCATCATCTCCTCAATGTCCAGGCGCCGTGCTCGAATAGCGCCGGCCCAAGAAATGGTGGAAACATGCACTCATCCACTTTTAATTTTGTTCTTCTGGACTAGAATACCCTACACTGGCAGCAGCTAAACCTTGATGCCATGACCCAGACGTGCACCGAGAGCTGCAGCTCAAAGCCTTTAGACAGAAACTGCAGAGCAGACCAAAAGGAAGCATTCCAAGCATTCCTGCAGCTCTCTAATCTAGCGGCTCTGAAAGCTTCCACGTCTTAGACGGCGGAAGATCTCGTGTGCTCGGTTTATGCCGCTCCCAAATAGCTCTAGGACTAAAGAAAGCTTCCCTGAAAGCATTGCAGGTCTGGCACTGTAGCTCGGAAACACTGTTGACGAACATGCAGATGGACACGTGCAAACAAAGCGGGACCTTAAGATTTACGACGGCCTTCACGATGAAACACATGCCAGTCAGCCTCCAAATCCCACGGCTAGTCGCTCAACATCCCCGAACCTGGTGACCTGGTATGGAAGTCGGAACATGGCCGGGTTTCTTGATCTTATGCCCCAAGCTCGACACCCGGCTGCATGCGAAATGCATTGAGTTGTATCAGCTTCTTGGTTAAGGACAGGGAATGCAGAGTGTGGCGCTGGCTCACGCTTCGGGACAACGAGCAATGCAACCTGCTGTGCCCAATCTAAATTGGCAAAGTGGCTTCTTCAAGCTTACGGAAATCAATGCTGACAGTAGGTCAACCTCTGCGTACTGATCACGCTGCTACGAGAAAGCCATGCACCTTGAAGAATGTAGAAAATCTACATACATGGAACCTGTGCAGTTAGACGTGATGCATCTCATGCTCACCAAAACCTGTGGCTGAAGTCTTGGTGTCATGTAATGTCAAAGTGCATGTGCTTTCAAATAAAAATTAAGCTTCAAATCAGCCTTCGTACAAACAGCTCATAAGGAGCAAGAAAAGAGCTGCTTGCCCAATCATGTGAGCCGTTGCCTTCCTCGGTCCGCAAGGAAAGGTAGCCAGGGACTCTGAGCACCGCAGTCAGCAACTGCTTATCGCTGTCATGATGCTGAAGGGCCAAGGGGAAAGCACTGTCGACCGAAAGATACATAGCGTTGACGGTTCAAGTCACAAGCTTGGAGGATTGGGCCAAGCCCCGCAGAAAGATACAGGAAACTGAAACTCCAAACAATGAACCAGGCACCTTCAGCCGTCCGTCCCTTGAGCCCTAAGCCCTCGATATTGAACCCCGGAGAACATCAAACCCTATATACAAGCTACTTTCGAAGTGCCCAGCAGGCTGCGAGAGTTCGTTCTCGTCCACATCCTCTGGGTTGCACACAAAAGGCTCGGCGGTGTCGTCCAGGCCTCTGTCTGTGGCAGCTGTCTCCGATTCCTTGTTTCCCTCTCAGCTATGGCAACTCCAACTATAATACAACAGCCGAAATGGACGGACAAGAAAGAGCCCTGAAGCCAAAAGCTTCAGGAGTTGGGAAGACTCAAGCCCAAAGGGCACAATCGCTTCAACCGCACGCATCATAGGGACCTGCAACTTGAGGGGGTGTCCTTGCTATCAGATGGTCAAAGATTCCAGTCTGGAGCCGGGTGGCGCCCTCCCGCGTAGATCGCCATGAGATCCCCATTAGGGACCTGGGTGGGGTGACCAGTCTGTTCTCGCCCAAGCATTCTGCTGGCTTATAGGCTCCTTGCGCCCCGAGCCTTGGACCACTCCCAGCTACTGAGCTACTGCGAAGCGGCGTGTGACGCAGCTAACAAAACTAGGTCTACAAAGCCTCTAAAGTTGCTAAAGAACCTTGCCGGGAACGATACCGGAATGACCGCACGTGGACAGGTAAGCACTGGCTGCTGACATCTGAAAAAACTTGTGTGCAGCGAGCAATGACATGCGAACCTGGGCCACAACAGCGCGCAAAGAGGAGGGATGCTCAACAAGATCCATCGAGGCCAGCAACAAAAACCGACACAAGCGCTGAGTTCAGGCCGGGCGAAGCGGAGTGGACCCTGACGCAGTCAAGGCACCGTGCCCGTAATCACCTTGAGCTCCAAGGCTGTTGCCGGTCTAAGGGCCAAAAGCTTCCTTTTGGTTCTCGATTCGGTTTTGGTGTCTGGGCCTAAGCTGTTGACTGTGTTGGCTCTCTGCGAAAATGTCAGGCGTAGAGTGGAACAGTTGGAAGTCTCTTGACAGCTTGTGTTGTCCATGTCTCAGCTCGGCAGATTGCTTTCAAAAGACAGCGATGAAGCTAAGTGCCACACTTCCGACAGCTCAGACCAAACCCTGCTCATCAATCAAATCAGGGCCCCTGAAGGCTTCGGAAGATTTGGAAGATGTATAGCCGTGCAGCATAACTTAACGTATGAATCATCAAGCCATAGGCCGTAGTCCGTAGCACTAGTTGGGTGCCTTTGTGCCACGGAAGCACGCCCCGATTAAATCCAAAGCTGAAACAGGGCCAAAGCAGCTTTGGGGTGGCCTTACCAAGCGGCGAGATTCTTTTGGAAGCACCAAGGCTAGGAGCCGAATCAGAACTCACAGAAACCGGAGCTGAAAACACTGCGACGGGTCTCGGGTGCAAGGCCTGGGGCGACCATTTTGCTCTTGCTCGTCAGCATTGTCGATCATTGTCGCAGTCAAGTGGCCGAGCCATCCGAACCAATTACAACCTGCTCCGATGCAAACAGAGGCAGAGAGATGCAAGAGATGTCAGAACTGTCTTGCAGTTAGCGACCTCCCTGGGGCAGCTCCGCCGATCCCAACAGCGCAGAGTCGTCAGGGAGGCCATGTCACCTTCGGACTTCAGTCAGAAGAGAAGAGAAGGCCTGTAGAAGCACGTACAGCAATGTTGTCCTCGAAAAGCGACCATCCTTTAGGACTACTCGCGAGAGCCAAGCAGCAGTAGCGGCCAGGGGGAAGGCCTGGGGCAAGGCCTTGGCAAAAAAGAAAAAACAAAGGCGACAGGCCTTCAGAAGCTTCTATGGTCGGTAGCCCACCTGTTCACGCCAAACCCAGCCACCTACGACCAAGTGCAGAACTACAGACCAACAACGCGAACAAAAGCATGGAGCCTGCAAGCCGCCAAGGTCCCAGGTCGCCCCAGTAGTTGGGCCACCTCTTCGTCAACAAATGTTGAGACACTTGGGATTGGATACCGCAGAAGTGCACAGGACTGCACATTCCCTCAGCATCCCTTAACCGTGATTTTTGAGCTGTGCGGCCGCGTGTTGTCCCCCCGCACAAGGGCAGCGAAACAGTCGCCACCGGCGCGGAAGGCAAAATGTCCTAGTCCTGATCGGCCAATCGCGTGATGGAGCCCCGATGCGGGTTTCAGCATCCTAGTAAACTACTTCTACGTGGAGTCCGCCGGACCTTGGCCGAAAACCCACAAGCCTGCTGACATGCTGAAGGGGTCCTCCAGAATGAACCACTTCAAATCACGGCAAGTGTAGTAAGGCAGTGGTCTTGCTGCACACAGGCCCCGAGCATGGACCACATGCACATGACACATCACATCCTGACAACCCATTCTCGTTGACCGTGAGATCCCAAAAGCCGTGAGGCCTACAGATGGAACGGTCGACTCCGACCATGTCTGCGTGATGGGTTGCCCACGACACGCCTGGCAATCTCTTAGGGCCTAGGAAGGATATCAGATCGAAGGGTTGTCAGCACTTGGGCGAATGGACAGATTCGGCGGGCGGGCAACAACTTCGTCATGGAATGGCTCTGTGACATTGCAAAAATGTACATCGGGTGCTTTGGATTAGAATCTAGATGACAACATATGACAACACTGTCGGAGCCGCTTCTCCGATGAACCCAGACTTTCTCCTATGAGATTGCACCCTTGCAGACTTCGGTCTGGCCAAATCTGAGCAAGTCGATGGACCTGTTCCGCGCTTTGCCGGTGAGATATCGTGCCTTCCGGAAAGCCACGAGGCCAGCAACGCCCTCCCAGCGGTGCTCGCACACCCAGCCCTCCAAGCGGCTCTTGGAAAGGCTGTGATGCTCAGGAATCCTACACAGCTCGGTTGACGAGAAAGCTCATCCGAATCGGCTTTCGGGCTTCTGGCGAAAACAATCCTTTCACACGTCGCTCACGATATGACGGGTGCGGACGGGCGTAGACATGAAAAGATCAAGAAGCACCAAAGTATCGAGAAACTGAGCGGCCTCGTACGAAGTTGCCAAGGGGGATTCCGTCGGAGTGGGCATACCTCGGATGGCGGTACAGGGATGGCGTTGTCGAGAGACTTGAGATCAAAACCGTCCGGACCAGACCACATCATGGCATCGTGAACACAGAAGTCTCCGAGAGGTCGGATTGCCCAAGTCCATAAATCTTCTCCCATGCAGCAAACAGCTGGTCACTGGTTGAGCCAAAACAAGACTTCAGAGTCCGACATTGACCAGCCAGCCAGGGCACAGCGAGGCTCTGCATCGTTGAACATATACACGGGGAACGGCTGGCACTGTCCGTTTCCACCTTCGTGCTTTCGGGCACCAACAGCAGTTTACGTCCACGAAACTTTCTGAAGGAGATCTCTTCCTGACATCCAACCTGCATACGATCAAATTTCCTCACGAACACCTGCCGCCGTGTCACAGTTTCCAGGAGGTCCGGCATCCATGTTGGTAAAGGTGAAGCCACCAAAAAGGCGCCTCGGTTCTGTGACCGTGCTGCGATGATTATTATTGGCCTTCAAAGCTAGGGTCGAAGCATTGCAAGAAGCCTTCGATTTTGGAAACGAGTGCTGTGAAAAAAAAATCTTGCTGTTGCCACTGGCTCCTTGTTTTGCACGACGGAGGGTATTGCGAAAGATATCAGAGTCGTCAAGATCAGATGTGTGAAAAACTAAATCAGAATCTCGGCCTGGTTCTCTCCTAATGTCCGCTTCAGAGCCGCGGCACACAGCAACCGCCGATGGCCAGGCGAGCATGAACTTTTGCTGCTGATGAAACTCCTCGGTGGTCGGTGGTGGGATGGGAACCTTGTTCAACCAGAGCTCTCAAAGTTCCTGCCAGAGCGACTTTCAAGGCAAAAATGCAGCTTCATGACTCTAAAAACCTCTCCTTCAGGGGTGTTGCAGTTTCCCGATGTTTCCTCCGTATGCCGCAAGTATGTGGCTTCAAATGTTGTTCAGTGCTCAGGACCCAGTGATGCCTGCCAATGCCAAAGATCTGGGACAAACAAGGCTGCAGCCGAAAGCAGTACAAACACAGCTTGTCAAGAAAGTGGAATTCCAGGTGCACACATCGAACTCCAAGGAGCCAGTCCGTTTTTGAATGTGGGAATGAAGCGATCAGCCTCGAAAGTCCTGCAGCAATTCACGCCAGCCACACACGAAGGACACATTGCGACAACAGTTGCTGCTTGCAACGAGCGGATGCTTCAAGCTCGAGAATGAATTCGGAGCTGATGGCCTCTGGTCGTGAAAAGTCAGCGGGTAGACAGCACGTTCTGGTGAGATGCCATCGATGCCGTGGCTGATGTTCAAGAGCTCCTGAAAGAGACTGCATGGTAAATCATGAGATTTGCATCGCTTTGGCTTGGGAAAGTGCACGAGAATGCACGAAGAACCGCTGCTGTGCAGGACGGGCCGGATAGGCCATTTCAGCAGAAGAGAAACCCTACAAAGACGAAGGATGGGGATGGCAAAACATGAATCGATGAAGCAGAAAGCTTCCGGATCGTGTCGCTCTGAATCTTGATCGGCAATACAGAGCCCTGACGTTCCGGCATGTACTTGACGTCACCCACGCCCAAGGCATTGGTAATCCTGAGCTCCAGGCAAGGTGCCCCATCTCATCTTTACTCTGCAGGATGGAATTGCAGCTCGCTTTGTTACGATTCTTGCTCTGACTGCTTGTTGTTTGCACTGCTGCCGTTCTCCTACTGCACTTCTCCCTCCATGTCTCTATCTCAACCTCGTCGCCTTCTCTCTTGTCTCTCTCTCTCTCTCTCTCTCCCTCCCTCCTTGCCCAATGGCAAGCAAACATATCTCCACAACGGTTTGCCTCCTCTTAGTGGCAGCGTTAGCCAACGTCTCTCATTGCTTGGTTCGGTTGGAGGAAGGCCGTCAACAGAACAGCGGAAAGTTTACAGCACGCTGTTGCCGCGCATCCACGGGAAGGCGCCCTTTGTTCAATCCGAGATAACAAGTCTGCCCGGCTGGCCAGGGTGTGCTCAATGTGTGCCTTTCTTTTCTGTCATTCTTCGCGTTCCGTGATTTATGTGTAGGGTGTTGTCTGTCTGTCTGTCTTTGAGTGGTTTTTGCTTATGTCGAATTAATTCTTCGTGCTTCAGTGAATATCTACTTCGTTTCGGCCTTCCTGTCTTTCCTCCTGTCTTCTTTCCTTGTCTTTTCCATTCTGTCTCAGTCTCTATTTCTCTCTCTCTTTGCTTTGCTTTGCTTTGCTAGGGGCTTGAGGCGGGAGCAGTCCTCCCGCCCCGCGCGGGCGCGCTGCCCCATCCATCATTTGGATTGGATGGGCTCGGACTTTACAAGAACTTTGTGCTCCTGGTGTTCAGGAGGTGAGTGGTGGGGTACCCTCGCTTGGAACCAAGCTACAGGAGTGCACTAAAACACTGCATTCCCCACTTCACTCGAAAGGCAGGAAGGGGCTCCCGTTCGGCTTGGTCCCGGAAACAGTGAGGCTGACGCTACACAAGTGTGGTAGCCGCAGTTTGCCGAAAGTTGGGTGCCCCCCCTGCTGAGCTGGTGCCCCTGCCTCAACCTAACCCGCCTTTCCACCCTGCCTCAAACCGAATAGAAGCCTGATCCCTGCAGCAGCACTGCCTGTGACCTTCCATTCAACCCTTATGCCTGTGCGTGGTGGGTACCCCTCTTTCCCTCTCTCTGGCAAGACACTGCAGGTACGCAACAACTGAGGGAAAGCCTGGGTCCGCTTTTTGTGTTGAGTGGGTTGGGTCACCTGAAGGCTCGCGTGAAAGGAAAGGTGAGTGCCTCAGTAGCAAAAGGAGTCCGCGAGCCATCGGGTGCCCCCCCGCTGCTGGCTCCGCTAAACCACTCTGTTACCGTTCTAACCCAACCTACCTGCCTGACCCTGCCTCACACCGAACTGAAGCCTGATCCCTCACAGCACCTGCGACCTTCCACTCAACCCTTAAGCCTGCGTTACTGACGACAAAGGTTTGTGCCCCGCTCCCGTAAAGGTGTACCCTACAATCATACCCTACATAAAACGAGGCTCGGCAAGGCGGGAGTGTGCCCCCATCCTTAGTCGTCTGTGAACGCCGCGTGCATCCTTCTGCGCCGGTGGCTCACTGCCCTTTGGAGGCTCACTTCGTCTTCTTCGGCTGGTGCTCGGGCGCGAGGGAAGTTGGTGACCAGCTCTGGCGTTGCTGCGTACCACGGCAGCGTTGCGCCTGTCTCCGTGTCGTCGTCTTGTGTTGGCGTTGTCTGCAGGGCTGGTGCCACGTCGCTCTGTCCTGGTACCTCGGGTAGTCCAACGCCACCTGGTACCGTCGTCTGTGGGGGCGGAGGTTCAGTGCCTTCTGGTAGTAGGGCTTGCGGTTGGTCTTGTCCCTGGTCGTGCCCTGCTTGTTGAGGCGGGTGCCCTTCTGGTAGTAGAGCTCGTTGTGGGTCTTGTCCCTGGTCTCGCCCTTCACGTTGGCAGCTCTGCTTGGTGGCCGTGTCTTCTTGTAGTAGAGCTCGCGGTTGGTCTTGTTCAGGGTCGTGTCCTGCTGGTTGGTGCCCCACCGCTGTGGTGGCTTCTGAGCCCTCGCTGTCGTTCACGACAAGCTGAACTGGTGCTCCGAAGTACTGTGTCGACCACTGCTGTAGGTCGAGGACTGCAGCTTGAGCCATCTCGTGCATCTGCCCATACAGGAACGGCTGCAAGCGACGCAGCGTGTGCAGGGCCTTTAGCGGCACTTTAGCGGGAGCTCTGGCCTCTGGTCTCCCACTTTCGGTTGGCTTGGTACTCCTCCACTGTGCCAGGACGTCGGCTTGGTGAGGTTCACGACGCCTGGCTTTCTTTGCTGGCGAGCTGATCTCTTCTTCAGCCCTCGCCAAGTGTGCCTCGGCTTCTCCTGGTGTGCCCCAAGCCTCCTCGTGTGCAGCTGCGGCCTCTTCGCACAAGTGCACCACTCTGTCGAGGCTGTCGTAGAAGTGCTGAGGCAAGGTCTGCTGGCCTGTTGTGGTCTCTATCACATTGTGCATCAGCTCCTCTGCTCTCTCTGCTAGGTCCTCGCCGCGGTGCACGTTGGCCCAGCAGCGTGCTGTGGCTTGGCTGTAGAAACGCTGGGTGCCCTCAAGCAGGAGACGGTGTACCTCGTGCAGGTCCCTGACTGTGTCTGGGACCGGGTTGTGTGCACCGGTGGCTTCGACCGCTGAGAGCATGTCGAGTTGTAGTTGGAGCATATGGGCCGCAACATGGTGCACGTTGGGAGGTGGTGGTGCTGTAAAGTATTGTACTTGGAGTGGTTGTTGTGGTAGTGGGTCGGAGCTGCTGCCTGCAGTAGGTGTGTGCTCCGCTTGCATCTCTGTTGGCTGCAGTGCTATGATGCCCTGCTGGGCGTATGCCTGTATTTCTCCAGAGTCTGTGTTGTCGAGGATGCGCAGCAGGCACCGGCGCGCTTCCGCCATAGCTGTGGCTGCTTCCGTTGCTGTGGGTGCTCGGTATCGCGGGATGCTTCTTTGCATGAGCTCGAGGTGGTCGGGTGTGGCCCCTGTCGTGGTCGTGGTTGTTGTCGTGGCTGGGCCATGACCTTTCACTAAGGTCCCCCGGGTCTGTGGTTGCTGCCGGCGGGGCTTGTGTGCCTGGTCCACCTGGTACCAGGTGGATGCCTGGTGGGGGTGCCTTGGCTCTGGCCGGGGTAGCTGGGTCTTGCTGTGGCTGTTGGGGTGGTTGTTGTGGAGGTTGTTGCTGTGTATTGGCGGCGTTGCGCTGGTGTTGCTTGGCTTGGGGGCTGTCGCTGGTGTCCGCCTGTGTCTGGGCTGGTGCTCCTCCTTCTGCGGGTGCGCTGCTGCTTGCCTCCTCGCCTTCTGTGGTGGGTGGCAGTTCGATGGAGTACCCCCCAAACTGCGTCAGGTAGGCATCTTTCCATGGGTGCCACTGCCATTCCTGCCGGCTCCACAGCAGAAGGAGGTGGTCACCCTTCTGGTACCGGATGGCCCCTTGGCTGACTGCCCTGGGCGCGTCCGCCACCCTGACGTGCCAGGCTCTTGGCTCGCGTCTGTACAGCGGCCCGAGTGGGCGGAGGAAAAAAGCGGTCCCCAACCCCACGAACTGGTACATCTTCGGTTCCTGTTGGGTCACCGCAAGTTGGGTGCCCGTGTGGCGCGGGATGTCGGGAGGGTTGTCTGCAATCATGTGCTTCACCGAGCCCATGAGCCAGATGCCCGCGGCCTCCGCGTGTGCCAGGTTGGCTAGTAGTGGGCCCACTGGCAGTGAAGGTGGTAGTGTTTGTGGTAGTTGTGTTTCCTCCGAGTGTCGGCGCAGGAGGAATTGTTGGTTCCCCGTCCTCCAGTGGGTGTCGTAGGTGTTGTGTCCCTCTGCACTCGCCTCCTCTGCTGTGGCTGTGGTGTTGGGTGCCTCTGCTTGTGGTGGTGGTTGTGCCTCCTGACGTGGCCGTGGTTGTTGTGGGCTCTCGGCTGTGTCGGCTGGTAGCTGAGCCGAGTCCTGTGGCTGTGGCTGTGGTGGGGGCTGATGTAGTGGAGTGTCGTGTGTTGAACCGGGTGCTTGTCGCCCGTCTTGTGGCTGTGGTCTTGGTGGCTCTGGCCGTGGTTGGTGTGGTCTGCCTTGGTCTGGGGGCTGCCGGTGTGGGTCTCCTCGCTGCAGCCTTCGTTCGTATTCCTCTCGGGCTGCCGTGTGTTGCTTGTCGTCTCTGGCCTGCTCGTGGCTTGGTCCGCCTTGTGTGGGCGGCTGTTGTTGCTGTGTTCCTCCATGCTGCCACTCCTCTTGGTCTGCTTCTTTCGCTGCTGCGTTGTTGGCTCTGGTGTCAGTGGCTGTGGGGGTGACCAGGGCTTGGGCGCTGGTGTGGGTCCTCCTTCTGCTGTCGCCTCTGGTACTTCTCTTCAGCTGCCGTGTGTTGCTTGTCACCCGGCTGGCCTGGGTGTGCTGTTTGGTGGCTGCTGCTGCTGCTGCTGCCTGGTGTGGAGGGTTGGTCTTCTCCCCGCATCCACGCGTCGGTTTTGCGCAGGACCTCTCGTATGTCGACGTCTGGTATCAGCCCCGAAGGCCGCTGGCTCTCTCTCTCTCTCTCTTTCTCGTTCTCTCTCTCTCGTTCTCTCTCTCTTGCTTGCTTGCTTGGCCTGTGGGAGGGCAGGCACACACCCTTCCTGTGCTCGTGTCATGATGGATGAGAAGCTTTGAGCCGTGCCGCTTGAACTGTCCCCTGCGTCCCCGATGGCCCGGTTCCCTAAAACCCCTGTCCCCACTCTATGCCCTGCCTAGGGCAGCTCGAGTGGCTCGGCTCTTTGTGCATAGACTGTAGACTCCAGTGTACAGTGAGCATGTCTCTCTGTCTCTCTCTCTCTCTCTCTCTCTGTCTCGCTCCCTCCCAGCCTCGCTCTCTACCTTCTGTCCTTCCATCGAGTCTGAAAAAACACGGGCAGGGCATGACCCCCTTCCCCGCGTCTCGGGAGGTTTGGCTGAAAGGGCCATTTAGAATTTATTGAGAAACACTGGCTTGTGATCTACATGCAGATTCTGCTGAATTTCTTGCTTGTAAAGAGTTTGCGTTCCTAAGGAACCTGGCACGCACTCTTCCGGTTCCCGAACAGGCCCTGTCCGACCGTGCGTATGGCGGTGGTTCCCCTGCTCTACCGTTTTTCCACCCCGCATTAGAACGAACCCTACAACATTTCCCAGTCTTGTAACGGTTGCTGCTGTTCGGATGGAGCAATAGTTGTGGGTCCCGGCGACGACGCAGCAAAATTCCTGAATCTGCTTCCTCACTGCAGCTCAGCATCTTCAGCCCGTATTTCTGATCTCGGTAGTGGCCCACTGCCACTGTCCTTGCAAACGCTCCCTCCACCCCATCTAGACTTCAACAACCGTGAAGATTAGGAGTCAAGGGGAATCATGGCCCAACATGGCCAACTGACTTGGTGGTCCTCTCTTCGAGCGGAATGCCGCCCCACCACTCTTGGTACCTGTGCCCGAGTAAAGCGTGTGTGGCTGCAAGGGCTTATGACAGAACCCTGCAGCCGAAGCTGGTCTTTGTACAGAGCATGCAGGCTTGTGCTGCCTGTGCTGGCTAGACCTGGAGTCTCCAGCCTGTGGGCGCACTCGGCTTCGACAAAAAACTGGTCTACGGCTTCAGATTAGGCGCCCTTTCTTCGCTGCAGCCCAGGTGCACCAGGTCCCAGGGCAACTGATTGATGATCCTGAGCGGCTGTATGGCTGTACTTAGCCTCGCAGGCCTTCCACCCTTCTACCCTTGCACAAGCTTGACCTGCTCGGAATTCTTCAACGTTCTCGCCCCTCACAGAGGTCCGAGTTCTACTGAAGTTGCGCCGTCTCCTCAGAGCTACTAAACGTGGCACTCGGCGAGCGGTCTTCCTCGAAGCATCGAAGAAGCCGTAATACGTCGTCAAGAATTCAACTAGCAAGGGTGAGGGCGGAAGGGGACTGTACCACCCCTAAATCGGCTGATTCCCCTGTGGTACTAAGGCGCTTTACACCCGCCCCTACACCTTACTGTCCTCAGCTTCCTTATGATAAATGCTTGCAGCTCGTACGGTGTGCCTCCGGCAAAAGGCCTCACCAGCGAAATCTCCAGGGACAACAACGAGCGAGAAGTCAAGAGCGTGAACTAATCGTTGCTTCCCATTGGGTTGGGGTCAAATGGAAGCTATGTCAGTCGAAGTTCACTGCCAGATCCTCCACGGAGACATAACCTTAGCTCGGAAATCAACTGCATCATCTCCCAACAACATGGCAATTGCGCAGCGCGGCTGAACGAATGACGAGACAACAGAGGAGGGACGGTGGTCAGATTTTCCCTGCAGTTCGCACACAAGCAATTCTGTGGCCGCTGTATGCAGGACAGTCTGCACTGTGGTGCTGCCAGAGAACTTGCAGCATCAAGACGTAGCATCGTCACGCCAAGGTCATGCAACTCCTCGATGCTACGGAGGTTGTCAGTGGGAAACCCAGTGCAGCTATTGCATGTATTATGCAGGGGCTGCGATTTGGACTTCACGCCTGTGTGGATGGATCATGTTAGCTGGGCTGCCTTAGGTGGTTGCGGATTCGATGCTTTCGGATTCGAGGCCGGTGCCTCGCGGCTTGTGATTCACAGCTTGATGACAATGGGCGGGAGGCCCAAAAAAACAACAGCGATCATAGCAGCTCAGTTGCGTGCGAAGGCAAGAGCGAAAGCGCCCTACAAGACGGCAGTCTGCCGTTTGCTTCATCCAACCCGAACAGTTGCTAAAGCACCCGGTAGCGGCCGCCACATTTGTGCCATGAGTCGGTGAGATGCTTCGTCAGGATGTCGCGCCTTCGGAGTCTGCTCGAAGGAGGCTATCACTGGGAACCAGCAAAAGTCCATGTCGGTGAGCTTCACGAAATGGCTCTAATGCATGCAGCTCATTTCCAAGAGGCGTGGGCTGCAGGCCAGTGTTCCAGTCCTCGGTTTCTCTTGGTGCGGGGCGCAAGCTTGAGATGAAGCTACCAGCCAGATCCAGCCAGAGTGTCGGGGAGGCCCTTGAAGTCACATCTCGTGCAGTCACCAGGGGGCTCGCCTCAGGCACCGCCACCGTGCAGCCGTGCAGCTCTCCAAAGTCTAAGCCAGGAATTCCCGATTCCGAAATGGTGAGAAAAGCCCAGCCATAGTTGAGCTGCTTTGAGGGCAGGTGAAGCTGGGCTCCTCCACGGGGCAGTTGCCAAGGCGGTTGCCATCAATTTCCTCGACACAGCAAATGCACCCTACATGCATTTGCCAAAGATCCGTCCCTACGGCACCCCTTAAGATCCGGATCACAGCTACATCAGACTGGCTTACTGGACAAACTCCAAGTAATTAGGAGCAGCACTGAGAACCGAGATGTTCTGTGTCACGTGCCTGACGATTGTGGAAAAGCTCCGGGCCCTTCCAGCCATCCTGGCATCAATCACAAGAAATGAGGCAGGGCAAAATTTCACACTGGCCACAAGCTGGAGCCCTGCCTGAGAGTTGATCCGCCGATTGCCATAGGCCGACCCGGCCCAGCCCTGGTGCCAGAACTCAGGAAAAATCTCTTGAAATAGGATTCGGGGGACCTTGCCTCAGTTCCTGACAGAGGTTGCGGGTGAGCGCGTACATGATTGAAGCAGCCTAGATATGGTCGTACCAAGGGCTGTCAGCCTTGCAGCCTTATATGGGATTCCGAGCCTGCAGAGCACTCCTATCCAGGTGGACACAGTTGCCACTCCGAGACACTGTCAGATGCACACATGCGCCTCTTTCTGTTTGTGCTTTAAGACCGGCTAGCCCAGAGCGTCTAGTGACGGAAAGAGTCAAACACGGGACTGACGCCAGCCCCAAGGTCATGATGCCAAACATTCCCAGACAAATCAAGTGATCCTGTTCCGGTGTCCTTGCAGGGCATCACGGACGCACCACCGGCCTTTGAAACTCTGAAAGCAGGCGGGGAGTCACGGATAAAAGTTCCGAAACGAAGTGAGGCGAGAATTGAACTGAGATGCCGTGACCCAGGGTTCGCTCATGGCTTAGGCTTCCAGATGCAGGAATGAGAGTCAAGCTGCCACCTACTCACGGTGTCAGAAAGGCACCTGCCTTCAACTATGCAACAAAAACGGAAACCCTTCAACAAAGCAGCTTCCGGTCATGAACCATCAGGTTGTAAGATCCATGGCAACCCCTTTGTTCAAGCATGTGCACAGTACCATCCCTGAAGAAGTACATGGAACTCTCTGGACAGTACGAAGCTTCTTCAAAATATGACCCGCTACTACTTGTCCCAGCTCGACAGAAATTCCAGACAGCCTCGATGGCAGCCTGGCACGGAGCAGCAATGTGATTCAAGATCACATCCACGATGACCTTTGTCGCCACGAGAGCGCTTCGGGCGACTAGGGGAAAGCAGAAGCTTCAAAACGAGCCAGCTGTCAAAACGGCACTCAGCCAAGCAAGAGCCCCCACCTGGACACCAGCACCACGGCACTTCGCAATCATCTGCGCGAACTGTGCCTGCACAACGGGTCACAAGGATGAACGCCGGCTGAATACTAAGGAAAAAAGCGCCGTGCAGGTCTTGTGCTTGAAACCGAAGTGTCGGCTTCAACAGATACCAGCTTCTGACTGCATCATGTCATCTGAGATCCAGTGCTCAAAGGGTATCGGGCTGAGGGCTCTAAGGCCTCGCTGCCGGACCGGGAGTTGAGGCCAAAGCCAACGGGCTGATACTTGGTGTACCACTCCTTGGGAATGGACACTTCTCGCAGGCTCGCAGACCGTAGCTCCCCTCAAGCAGCGAGAGACGGCCCAAATGGGCATAGGCTTCCGTGCACTATAGATCCGCTGCGGCACCTCAACGGAGTTTTCTGGATTAGGTCTTCAGAGCACACGAGCCCATGATTGAGGCGCACTCGTGCCGGACCAAGTAATGGCACTACCTCTGGACCCCGCGAAACCCGTAGCTGGTATTTCAAATTTCGGCTGCTTGCTGACCGGTGCCAGGCAGGTTCGGAGCTGAGCCTTTTGCTTCCTGGAGATGCCACGAATCCCAACAACAACTATGTCCTTCTTGTGATTTCCACTGTCTTTGCCATGGATGCGACTTGCACATCGTGATCTAACAGTAGAAGCATTGTGAGGGAGTTGACCTTAGAAGTCCGACATTCTGCGAGCGTCCGACCCCAGGATGTGCTCGGTGACGGGTGAGACCTGCACGGCATCGATCCCGTTGGGGCCAAGGTAGTTCACACACTCCTGGCTAAGCAGCCATGAAATCTGTCTTCTAAGCCATCGTGTCTCACCGCTGCTGGGCTTCTAGCTTTGCCAAGGGAGCTCTGGCAGATGTGGGTACCGCTATCGCGTGACATTGCCGGCTAGCAGAGAGCAGATGCAAACTCAGTTCTGCTACTGGGATAGCCTGCTGCTCAAACTGCAAAGACCACTGGTTCGAGAAGTTCCGAGAATGGGCACGCCGTTGCAGCATGGAGTCCATGAACGCCATGAGCGTCGATCGTTGCAGTCGGTCTCAGGCTCTAGACTCTAGACTCTACCCACCCAAACTCCTTTGCGATATCGTCAAAGTTCCACTCCCAAAGCTGCACGTACACGGGTGACCTTGCCATGCACGTCGCAATCAGCGGTTTCGTTTCTGACAGACAGCACTTTGGTGCCAGAACCGGGCGATGACTGACGACGTGCAGGTTGACTATATCTGAAAGAATGTGTTAAGGCGTTAACGCAGACTTAGAAGACAAGTTTGCATACTGTCAAAAAGGCTGACATGAGGCCTCCTCTCGATGCCTCGCCGCCCAGCCGCTGTTTCATCGTATTCGCAAAGCTCGCTGAAGACATCCTGGTTCCGAGCTGTCACAAATTGTGATCTGCCAAATGCCTATCCAAATCTCGGGCTTCAAAGAACCAGGTAACTCAAGGTATCCAAGCGTCGCACATACACCTACGGGGAAGCGCAGGTACATGGAAGGTCACACCCACATGATTCATACCAGCATTCTTGCCGATTGATCTTCCACTGTCTCTATCCATTGTCTCCCAAACAAAAAGACCAGCGTATTGAAAATATTTTCTCCAGTTCACCGATACTGACCGATTCTCATGTTACTTCTTCGTGTCAAGTGAAAACCGCCTGAATCCCACAATTCTATTTGCCACTCCGCGTTGCGTGCCTATGTACCGGCTATTTCTGGACAGTGCTGGGAACCAGCCTCTCTCAACTGAAGAAAACACCACAGAGCCCTTCCTCTTCTGGATATTCCGCGTTGTTCTTCCGATAACAAAGAAGAGAGCTCTTCTCTCGGCTGGCAAATCTTCATTCATGGCCAGAAGTATATATGATATTTCCACTTTATCTTTATCAATGGTCAAGTACAAAATATCAACATTCTGTCCATGACCAAGCAGGATGTTTCTTTCTTATCCTTGTACGAAACCTGAGATCATGCCTGTATCTCTTTATGTTGCGAAAAAACCCTCCAATGTCTTAAGCACCATTCAAAGTGATTTGAACTTCGTCGAACTTCTTCGGTCTTACAGCTTGAACACAAATGGTTGCTCTTCTCTTCAGACCATACCAAACTGTTTGTACATACAGACGGACACAACAGCAGCTTTGGTCACTTAAACAACACATAGACAACAAACTCCATGCCTCCTCTTTATGCTTCCGGTGCAATTAAGACAACTTCATATGTTAAACACATTCGCTGCTGTTTCTTATTCGAGTGCAAGAGGATCTTAATAAGACATGGTTCAATTATGTAACAATAGCAACGGGTTATGGGGATACCATGTATTCCACTACCACCGCAACTACTACTACGATGACTACTCCTACTACTCCTACTCCCACTACTCCTACTACCCCTACTACTCCTACTCTGAAAAGTCTGCATGTATTCAGAGGTTTTGTACATTGCTTTACCCTTTATTGCAGTATCGAACATAAGACCGACATGAAGGTACCACAAAGAGTGCTATTGATGAGCCGCCAATGTGCAGAACCTACACGGACGTACTGCGTGGCGTTGTCACTCAAACACGATAGCTTCGGAAGGTCCCGCACTACTCAGATTCTGATCCGACCCAATGCCGCTGTCAGCTGCACCCCTGAAGCCCGAACCCAGGAGCTGCTTCAGAACGCGACCTTGGAGTCGTAGCTCGTGGCTGCTTCGACCACTGCAGCCCTGGAGGGACAACGCCAGATTTCACAGTGCCTGAGGCTGAAGGATGCTTGCCTGATCTTGGGTGCCCTCACACTCGACTTGAGCTTGTGGCCAAATGTTGGTAGCACTTCGGCACAAGCCGAACTGCATGGCCCCGATCCCTGAAGCCGATTCTATCAAAAGTCTCCGTCAAGGGTTCATAAGTTGCTGCCTCTAGCATCCAACCCTGCGACCCGCCCTTCAGAAGAGATTCTCAAGGTACTAGCGTCATCCGAAAAGACTGTCTGACTTCCAATACTGATTCCGGATTGACAAGCTATTCACGCAATGGCAAACAAGCATTAACACATTCAGGTTGCCCGATCGAGTAGACGAAGGTGTTGCCTGCGACTCGTATGTGCAATGCTGCCACCCTGCCAACGACGCTATCTGCTGAGAGGCACTCAACCCCTCATGGATTGTTTTCTTCGGTAAGCGGTTTCGCCTGCTAGACTGCCGCACCCTTTGCCAACAGATGCAAAAAGCAATTGGCCAGAAAATTGTAGAGAATCACCAGGACCCGATCGAATCTCGTTAGCTACGAAACTTCAGGAGGAGGGAACGGCCACATGGCACGATCTGAGAAGATCTACCCACTTCTAACGTGAGCGAGAAGTCCTGCGAGGGCCCGCATTTCCTGCAGACATGCCCGCTTTCCAGTCGTTTCCTCAGCAGCTCGAAGAGGACCAAACTCAAAAGCACCACATCTGGGCGATGAGGCACACAAAAAACGTGTGATTTTCAGAGTGCCATGCTGCTGAGAGAAGGGTCAACTATCGGCTTCGGGAGTTCGGGTCTTCACGGGCCTGGCTTTTTTTTGCGAAGTTTGGGCTGATGGAGAGGATCAGAAACATCTGCTGCGCGAAGCCTAGATCCATCCATAAACTTCACCTGCCGTTTCAGGCATCTGTCCTGCCTTCACCCCAGACACCGAGCAAGGTCTTGCGAGACGAGCAGCCTGACCATGCCTCAACAAGTTTCAGGGACATTCCACACCAGCGTCTACTGACATTAACGGCATGTCGAGGACTAGAGAGGCCTTTCAGCCTGATACTCGTTCACTCGATGCAGAAGCCCGAAAATCTCCAGTCTAGCGCTTGCAAGGAAGACTTTCAAGCTCATCAGAAAGGGCCCCTGTACATGTAGGATTGCGTTCGCACCCCTGCTCCTGAAGTCACTACACAGCACCGAGAGGCCGATTCCTCTGGAAGTTTGCGCCGGTCTGGCGGTCCAGCAAAGTGCAGCCCAGCCCCTCCGAGAGCCTGGGCTGTGACTTTGGCCTAGTCGGGTCGGGCCTTCACCTTGCCCTTAAGCCTGTGAAGCAAGCTCTTGTCCGAGCGGCGGTGCGAGATAGCACCGTCGCACTGGCATAATGCCAGCCACCTGGTGACAACATCGCCAGCTGCGGCTTGAGGAACCAAGAGAAACTGCTGTTGCGGATGCACGTTTCAGTCGCTGTCGGGATGAAAACCTTGAAAATCGCAGCTATCTTCACTGCAACTCTCTTCGTCCTCACCACCTGATTCCAACTCCGTAAGTCCGGAAACACTTATCAACCTGTCCAACTGGGGCCACCACGCTGGGGCGTGACCTACAGCGCTTCAGCGAGGCATGGCACACCTTCGAATTATGTGCTCATGGCAAACAAAGGCTTGTGGATTAGAAGATGCGCCGCTGAGCAGTTACTGAATGTCTTCAAACTAACTGCAGCAAACTCTGCATCGTACTTTCAGACTCTTTTCGGATCGGAGTTTACGGTGTCTGGATGTTGAGGGCGGTTCTCAAACGTCATACGAAACTGCAAGGCTTCATTCAGAGGGCAAACCGGCACCGTTTGTTTAAACCAATCCTTGTTACACAAAGAAATAAGTGCCAGCCAGAAACTTCGCAGCCTAGGACTGCCGTAAAGAAGCGTAAGTCGTTTCAAAAAAGCAAGCGAAACCCACGTCCATCCTTCAAACACAGAAGATGCAAGGCGACTGCATGCAGCCAAGACGTGCACCTCGACATCCTTGACCGCACCCAGGTCCAAGGCAACTCGCCCTGCTCAAAGACAGATGAAGACAGCACCGAGCTTTGCAAATTCTGACCCATGGTATGGCTTCCACCCTGCCAATCTACACGACAATCCCTGAGCACACCAGGAATTCTGCAGCTGCTGCAGCCAAGGCTGTAAATGTTGCAAAGCTCAGTGCTGAGTCAGTGTAAGATATGACTGCACTGACTAACAGGCAATTACTCCATCCAGGCACGTGTTGTTCGATACTCGTCCCCGGAAAACCGACCCCAGCGGGATTGGACTGCCCTGTTTAGGCTGGGTTCAATACAGGCATGCCAACCAACCAGCACACTCCCCAACATGTTAATTTGTCAACACCACCCACCGAAACCTTCGTCCAGATCCTTGCTACTCCTGACAGACATGCCGATAACCGCAGGTTCCATAACAATTGCACTTCAGGCATTTCGCATGCTGTTGCAACTCAAGACACGTTGCCATGTCTCTAATCTCTAAAACCCAAGGACACACCGTTATAATCCGCCCTTGAACACTATGTAAACATAATGCGGACTGAAAGTGTTGACTCAGGCGTGGGCTTGAATTCAACAACATCATCAGGCATGGCACGCCGATGAGACTTCCCTAAATTCGGAATTGCCGTCAAATCACAGCGGTTTCAGGGTACCGTCCTCGGCTTGATCTGAATCAAGTGTGAACGATGATGGTGCCGAAACTAGGCATGAAGTTGCATGCACGCTTGCGCCGCCCAGCCGCTCAGTTAACTATAGCATAAAACACATTTGTTGACACAAACACTTTTCAGCGATGACATGAAGACTTAGGGGCACCTACAGTAGATCCTTCGTCGCTGGATTCCTTCAGCTCAGCACGTACTTGTCGTTGCTCGCCAACAATAGTCAACGCAGCTCCCATCCCAAAATGCTACAGAACACTCCAGCAACATGGACAAGCGGTCGACTGGTTCTCAAGGTACCGAACACGTCCGAAGCCAAAGAGTAAACACCCAAACAGCGCGCGCACGACGGCAGAATGAATGAGAACTACATCGAACCAAGGCATGGCCCGCACTACACTGCCGTAGCTGAACCAGAACACCGTCAGCCTGCATCTGCAGATAGGAGGAACCATGCACAAAGTAGGCGCTTCCGAAGGAAGACGCGGCGCCGCCGACGTTTACGGCGCCGTGGCATAGAAATGAGGACAAGACGGGATGGTTTCCTGGAAATGGGCCTAGACGGCCTAAACCTGAGGCTTCACCAACTGCTGAAGCAAACGACAGCCCGAGGCTCTGCATTGTGCACCAAAATGCGACGACAGTGTGTGCCCCGAACGTTTGCTTTTCACGAGCCCACGCAGAGAAAGCTGCAAAGAAATCCAAGCCCTGGAAAGAAACTCCCGGGTCCAGAAGTCTTTGGCGCCTTGGTACACAAACTCCGACGGCCCCAAGCCTTGGCTGTTGGTGGCCCTCCAAGGAAGCGACACACTCTCTCATATTGGATTGTCTGCATCGGTTTATATGGCTCTTGGCCCAGGACTGCCAAGCTGCAAGCAGCACTGGTGCCTTCGGGATCGACACCTGGCGGGGTACCTTCTGCTAGTACAACTTTAAGTAGAGCCTGGCTGGAATGCCCTTCGTGGCAGCACAGCTGTAGTACTGGACATGTCCCGCTGGGATACTTCTTGAAAGAAGGGTGTCGTTCTTGCACTTTTGCCGTTGCGGTACAAAGACTTTTTCGTGCCTCTCAAAGGAACGCAGCAGCTCAACACATCTGCACCGAGCAGCTGGGTCCCACTTCCAGGCTTGCAGTGCCAAACATTCTGGTACCAAACTCGTACCTACGAGAACAGTCCGTGAAGTGGTGCCAAGACACTAAAGCTGAAGCAATGATCCCTGAGTCGGCCATCGCCTGCCAAGCTCATCCTTGGTCCAAGAAAGCAGCTGGCACGAAGGTAGCTGGGAGCAGTTAGTTACCCCTACACCCCTCGCCCACTCTCGCCAAGCGACTGCGCGCGCACCCCGCCACCGGCCACGGCAAAGTTCAGCGCGCCATCAGCATCCACAGCGAACTGTATTTTGCCGGCCTGATGGCCGCAGGGATTCGAGCACGAGCAATCCGGGCATAGTCTTAGGGATGTTATGTCCATGCTGAAGCCACTTTCAGCCCTACACTTTCGCCCAGGGCGGCGGTCTGCAGCAACTGTCTTTGTTGTGAGTGCAGGCTTCAAGGGAACGGTTGGTGGGCCAACCCCACCCCCCGGTGCCGGGCGCCCCAAGTCGAAGGGGCGCCAAAGTATGGCTTTCCCAGAAGCACATCTTGTGAAGACTGTCCAAGCAAACTGCTCAAACGGGCTTCCCCAAACGTAACCTGCTAGCCACACCTACTGATAAAGGGCCATGTTCAACAAGATCTACGATTCGCTGCAGGCTTGGCATTTCGACTTCGGGGAGTCATATAGTCTGAATCGAAAAAACATGAAAAGATTTAGAAAGGTGCGAGGTCGGCAGCTCACAGTTTCAAGATCTCAACGGTCATATCGCCCGTTTGGCACCTGAATCGAAGATGCCTGGATGCAGAGGCTGTAAAAGGATTCCGTAGCGCCACCTGGCTACAATGAAGCAAATGAGGCTGTTCTGATGTGGGGAAAGGTGTTGCAGTAATGTTGGCGACGTGCGACCACACGTAAAACTGAGGCGAACGCAAATGTCATCCATAACAGCGCACACACAGGACTGCAGTGCTTCTGGTCGCTTTGGTCGCTTGCGCAAAGAGTGCTTGGCGTTCCAGGCCTACTAATATGGAGGTGCAGTGCCGCATGTACAGCAACAGCAAAGTGCAACACGTTAACATACAGGTGCCTGAATATGTAGACGTTCTATAGACGCAGGAGAAAACTAGAAACCTGCATTCCGTAACATGAAGCGAGCACCAATGTTGTGTGAATGCCACGGTCCCATTTCCACTTTACTGGAACTCGGAAAGAGCACCCTCACCCCACCAGCAGAAATGGCTTGCCGTCAGGCTCCAACGGCTGCCCTTGCTCCGCTTGCACGAAAAGAACTTGCCAGTCAGCTTGCACTCACGTCATCCTCTGAAACTGCAAAGCCTGTGCTTGGGGACAGGCTGGTTGAAAACAACCGCAGCTACTAATCCTGAGTTGTTGCCCAACAGCCTTGGTCCAAAGAGACTGGCTGCGTCAGCTGCACGTGCCATGGGGTTTCCTCAGGTACACTGCTAATTTTGCTGGATGACCTTCCAGTCACAGTGACTTCGTCCCATTCAATAAAAACCTGGATGCCGTGCGTTGTTGGACCCTCTAAGGCTGGACTGCACTGACGGCTGTACAAGTTGCATCATCGTCCACCGCTGTATCGACGGCCACGCCGTTCCCAGTGAAGCTGAAGCTAGCGCCGTCTGGAAGCGTCTTTCGCACGAGGCTTTGGGGGCTTCACCACCCCTCCCTGTGCCTGGCTCCTTCAGGTAAGTTGTCCAGGCCCCGCTCCCGAGAAAGCCCGGGTCGACGAGGAGCTCAGGCCCCAGCTGGCCATCCCTCAGCCACTCAGCGACGCTCAGCGACTATCGAACCCCAAAGGAGACAGGGCCCGAGGGGACATGAGCAAATCATTCGGCCTTTCTCGGAGCTAAACGGCCACCCGATGATTCCAGGCACAAGATGCTTCAGCTGGGAAAAAACAAACATGCAAACAGTTACGGCAATGTCCAAAGCTCGAGAAGTGAACTGAGATGCATGATACTCTTGACGCGTCCGAACCGACATGGCTACAATCTCAACCCACCAAACCGCGAACACGAACACCGAAAGAGCTGCCACACTGAATTGGCGCCCAACGGCGGGCAGCCCCATTCCACGTGAAGGGAGCCCCGAAGAGGTGGGCAGCTCACAGTGAACAGCTGCCTGTGCTTTCGTGACGGCATTTACATAAAAGACGTGAGTATTTTCCTGTAAGACTTTCCCACGCTTCCATGATCCAAGTTGGAGTTACGAAGCTTAGATCAACGCAGTCAGTTACAGGAGTGCCCCACATAAGGCAGTCGCTTTGGACCCACCAGCACAAAACCGGAAAGTGGTGTGAACATTTTTCGTTTACTGTACAAGGGACTTCTCGTGTCGCATATCCACGTGAGAAATCAGTTCCCAAAAACACACAAACCCTATGACGGCAACCGCCAAAACGAATTTTGAACCTCGTACCTCTCACCAGCAGCTGCCGACGATGGTAGTGGCAGCAGTGGCAGCAGCAGCAGTACGACCACACGAAGCAGCCCGGCCATGTAAAACGATCCTAGTCCTAGTCTGCTTGCGACTGTAGCGAGCTTTACACAACCGGTTCAGCCAACCGTACTAGAGCGCTCTTTCTGATTGCGTTGCAAATGTGGAATTCCCAACTCCGAAACGACAGTGTAAAACAGACGTTCACGGCGTGTGCGACAGAAGAATGTCTATGTAGGAACCGGTGCTCCGAGTGGAGGGTGCTGTGTCCTTGCCTCAGGCTCCATGCCACCTTCTTCTATATCAAATTCACACATTGTCGACTTGGTTCAGCAAGCAACCTTCGGGCAAGGCCCGCGAGTTGCCAAGTTCCGCACTGCAGTGGTGATTTGGCTGGCGCGCTCCCGCTCAGACCAAGTATGAACATCGACATCGCGGGTAGGCGATGTTCGACTGCATCACAGTGCACAGTGCGCCAGAGGTTCATTTCCCTCCTTTCCCGGATGCTCGTTCTCTAACTGGTTTGCATTGGGCAACCAGATATCCTGAAACGGAAAACTGAGCAACACCCAGAAGACTGTGGGAAGACCCGCTTTTGGGCAACCAGCCTTGCAAGGCGTCCAGACTTCAACTATTTCCCCTTCCTGTTCTTTGACGGTTTACCATGACTTGGAATTTGGTCAAAGAGCCATGGGCAGATGCACGCTTAGTTGTGACTTGTTTTTCTTACTTTAAAACTCGCCATTCGGGTGGCCCAAACGTGACCGGGTCTGGCATTCCTTGGGTTATTCGTTTTGGCCTGGGCCTGGTCCCTTCTTCTTCTGAGGTCCAACTTGGGGCCCGCTTCTTGCAGGGTTGGCCGGTGCTTGTCGGGCTCGGCACGCAGTTCTGGGCTGCTTTGAACTTCTTTTTGCCTTCATGGGTGTGGCCACGGTCTTTCTTTCTTCAAGCCTGCGCCACTCCATGCAGAAGGATCACCGGTAGCCCTCTCGGTGTTTGGATTGGCGATTCATCTCTTCAGTCTTGGCCGTCCCTCTTAGGTGTCACAAGTGGCCACTGTTGACCAGTTCGGTTGAAATACAAGGGTTCACTCAGCTCACTCCTTTTAGGGTTGACTAGTGACTCACTCCTTTCAGGATTGGCCCCTTGTTTGCCTCGTTACACATTCAAATAGATGTGCTACGTTGCCGCGAGGCAGCCGAAAGGGCAAGGGTCACAGCTCATAAAATCGCACGACTAAGAAACAAAAAACAAGTCATACGCGAGGATGCTCACGCAATGAGCTGAGTAAAGCAAACTGCGATCCGCAATCCAGCGAACTTGGTGCGAGATAACGCTGTAAAGACCACGAAGCCTTGTTCCGGCGGTATTACTAGTGACGTCTCTGTACGGCCTACAGACTGCTTCGTGTGTTTGCATCGGTGGGGTTCGGACTCGACCATGTGTTCACTAGCATGTCCCACCCTCTACAATCACTGCGAAGCTTGAATGGTGCGGACACCGCTTTGCTCACAGTCTCGGCCACCTGCTCAGGAAGGCTGAACCCGGTCAAACAAAACTACTCCAGCACATGCAAGCGGGCAGTACCAAGGCTTGCGACCACAAGTGTTCTTAACTTGCCATCGTTGATATTGGTTAAAAGGCATTAGTGCTGACCGAACCATGAACTGAAAAAAGCAGCACATACCCTCGGCCAACCGGCGCATTTTTCCGTCCAGCGAACCCGACTTCGTCTTTGGGAGTTGAGGCTCGCGGCTCGCGGTGCTCAAGCGGCGATCCCAAGGAGCACCAGTCCAAGAAAGACTCCGAGGAAGGCCAGGGCTAAGCCTGAAGTCGGGTTGCGAAGCGAAGGTTCTGAAGACGAACTTGTAAACCAAACGTGCTGCAACGTCCGCCAGGAAGCAGGAGCAGTAGCCACTTCTGCACGAACCCTTCAATCCAAATCCACACCCACAGCTACGGCACGGAACCTGTACAGCAACGACATCTTACAGAACACAGAAACGCAGGTGGAGGTCAGTCAAGCCGACCCAAACACGATGAACCTCTGAGAACGGGCTACTTATCGTGCAGGACCCGAAGAGGGTTCGTCGGACACGGATGCAATAATGGCTGTTTTGGCTTCGCTGATGGCCGAGAGATTGGGTGAAACAACAAACCCCAAATCAAGGTCAGACATTGACTCTCGGCAGCCAACTGCTCAACAAAACTTCACCCCAATCCCTCTTCCAACTCAAGGCCAACTGCCAAGCGGCATTTCTTGTTGTGCACCCCTTCCGCCTGCACAAAGATCGATTCGAAGAAAATGTTCGCGCGTATTTTCAACTATAATATATATATATATATATATATATATATATATATTATATATATATATATTGCTTATGTGCATATATCTACATATGCATATGCATATACATACACGCACATACATGTACATGTATACACATACATATACATATACGTGTACATAAACATGTGCATATACATACATACATACATACATACATACATACGTACATACATATGTACATATAGATATGTATACATATCTATCTCTCTCACGCTCTCTCTTACCTATCTATGTTCTACACATATCGAGATATGTGTGTATATATATACACACATACATGCATGTCCGTATGCAATGGTATGATCATGTACGTCTGTGCATGAGTATGTGCGGATGGGCACAGCTGCGAGGGAGAGAGAGAGAAAAAGAGAGAGAGAGAGAGAGAGACACAGAGAGAGAGAGAGAGAGACACAGAGACAGAGACAGAGAGACAGAGAGACAGAGACAGACAGAGAGAGAGACAGAGACAGACAGACAGAGACAGAGAGAGACAGAGAGAGACAGAGAGACACAGAGAGACACAGAGAGAGACAGAGAGAGACAGAGAGAGACAGAGAGACACAGAGAGACACAGAGAGACACAGAGAGACACAGAGAGACACAGAGCGACACAGAGAGACACAGAGAGACACAGAGAGACACAAAGACACACAGAGAGACATAGAGAGACACAGAGAGACACAGAGAGACACAGAGAGACACAGACAGACACAGAGAGACACAGAGAGACACAGAGAGACACAGAGAGACACAGAAAAAAAAGAGAGAGCGAGAGGGAGAGAGGACATCCCGCGGCAAGGACATCGGCACCCACGTTGTCTCCGCCCCCGAAGGAGTTAAGACGCAAGTGGGACACGGAGCTCAGAAAACGTCATGGCCCCGTGTAGGGCAGGAAACAGAATCGATCGAGTTTTACTGTTGGTCGGAAATCTGCGCCCAAGGCAAAAGTCTTGTGGGGCTGAATGGAGCGGTCGAGTTGAAACTACAGAAGTGTGGAAGATTTAAGTGGCCCGTTCTACGGCCTCCCGTCGGTTGTGGTCCCGACGGGCTAATCCTCCAGTTTCAAGCACCATGGCCATGGGGGTCGGGATATCCAACAGGTCGGCGGCTTGGTAACGATTGCTGACATACCTTCCTGTTGGGGGATGCGTGTGGGCTCAAGGACGTTCCCAATCTGCGCCATGAACACATCGGCCTCCTCGGAGCTTAAACTGGCTGCACAACACTTTCGAAATATGTTGCCGTTCAAGGTGTATCTCGAACAAGGGAACCCCATCGCTGCAACCTGGGATGAACGAGTGTCGTCACCATACTGCTGGAAAGGAAGACGACCTGTTGGCCCTGAGTGTGTACTTTCTGAGATAACCTGGCAGTCGTCGACCGGGGAGCACCAATGCTACGACCCGCGGGTGGGAAAGGGGAGCATCATTGCTATGACCCAAGGGGAGGGCGGGAGATTGTAAGGTGGGGAGCCCCAATGCTACGACCCGAGTCTCTGTTAAACGGAAAGCACCCATGCTGCAACCCGCGACTGTGATGGAGCAGGTAGTGGCGCACCAAGATTTCGTGCGAGTAACACACCGAGTTGCTGGAGTTCCATGTCCCAGCAGTACCAGAGTGCCTGCCGCTTAGCTCGCATCAACTTTTGGCTCTTGCAATATAGGATTGCATGTGTATAAGGTCCGAAGACAGAATACGGCACTGTCGCCCTGGTGCCGCCAGGTGGGGGAAAGGGGGGTGCTCGTCGAGTCCCACTCTCTTGGTGCAGCCCCGAAATTCCGCACCCTTTCCAGCTCCAGCCCACCCAGCAGCGACTAGCACTAGGCCCCGGGGAGCTGAGAAGAATAACTCACCACTTGTCAATCTGCCAATTCTGGCTGCATGTCCATGGGCAATGTACTTGCTCATTTTCAGACAGGATCCGAGATTGACCTCAAGTGGCTAACCCATGGATCCACCATCACCTGCAAGACGCCATATGCTTCACTTCCGGCACCATCTGCAGTTTACAGGCTCTCATCTGCATCCGTTTAGAACTACGAGCTGCTTAACCCAATCTAGGCCCAACCTCATGAACATGAACTACACTAGACATACACAAGAAGGCAGAGCAAGTTGTGTCCGAAATTCCGCGATGGAAAATTGCAATTGAAAGTCTTCCCAAAATATCTTCCTGTACTCAATGCCCGAGGGGAGGGTTGTTGCGAAAACATACCCGGACCAACGTTGAAGATGTCATGGGGTCCCTTCGAGCGAATCTGCAGTGCTCAACTGCCGAGAAAACAGGAGCTTTTTCGTTTTGAATCTCCAGCATGTTTATCGCACAATCAAACATTCCTATCTACCCAGTCCGCTCGAACGCGTGTCCCATCCCTCCTTCCTAACTCTTTACCCCTGCTGTGTTCACTCCACTCACGCTGGACCCTGCACATCCTCCTATGATTCGTTAATATTTATGATCGTTTTTGAACACCTTGCATGAAGGGCTGGAGGTACGGATTGCAAAGGACAGTCACGCCCCACGATGGCAGTGGGATTATGCTCAAGAGTGTGATTGAGATGGGGTATTAGTATCCGGAGACGGAAGCAGACTTCGGAGGTTTAAACCAGAAGCCGCTGCTGACACGTCGCTGCGATGTCAAGACCCAAATCCGACACCGTTCCACTACATCCCTGCAATGTCGGCATTGCAAAGTCCGCTCGCCTGGCCCTTCCATGCCCTTCCCTCCCACAGACCGTACATGGCAATGCTAGTACGCATGTATTCTGGATGTGTAGTCGCTTGAGTAAGCAAGGAGGTAGGTTAGGTGGGTGTGTGTTCATGTCTGTGCGGGAGAGATGTTCATGTAGACACGCGCGCATACATTCAACAAAAATGGTTCGTCTATGGTGTTCACAGGGTAAAGGTTTGTTTTTGCGCGTGGCCGCGGGCCGCGCGTAAATAATACTATTCTGTGTCCACTAAATACATGGAAGAACAACCGGGTGCAACAACCAATGCATCCATGGATGGACGATTTACACACGAATGCCACAGCACATATTGAGACTGACGGAAAACTCGCACAAGTGCACGGGCGATTGCATGTACATGCACGTGCAGAGGAGTATGTGTGCATTAAGTACGTACCTCACCACCTCTAGTGAAGAAATGTCTGCATATGAACAGGTACTGTACGTAGAGTCTGGCAACTACCTCCGCATTTCGAGCTAACGACTGCAATTACTGCGATTCGACTGCCGCCCTGCCTCCTTACGCATACTCAGAGCGGATGAGGAATGGGGGCTGAGGGTTTTGATTTAACTGGATACGGGAGTAGGATGTGGGAGTCGGACTCGAGATCAGACTGGAACTGCCCCTGCTAGCCTACCTCTTCGTCCGGCCTCCCCAAACAAGAGGGTGCCCCAGAGCAGGCTTACAGCAAGTCCTCCACCCACGATCAAGCAGTAGGCAACTGCATACCTCTGTCACAAGAAGAAGTCTGAGCTTTGAAACCTCTCGTCAAACAGCAATCTGCTTTCCCATGTCAGGCAAGACCTGCTATTCTACAAAACACAGCCAGAAGTAATCTTCAATAGCACCGTGCATCGGGATAGTGTCATCCATTATTCAGCGTGCAACCTAGTCCTGTGCGCTTGTCTGCCTTCGTTTGCCCCAGTTGAGGCAATTACATCGATCCGACAAACCGGGTCAGTTGAAACCAGGGTGCGGCAGCTGCGTCATCGCATAGAGCTGAAAGTAAGAGGCCCTCGGATGGAAAGCACGTGCGGGTGCGGCTTCGACATCTCGAAGAACCGGAGCACAACAGAGTCAGAGCGTCTCGCTCGCGGTCTTTACTCTTCTGCTTCCGCATGGATTGACCGGAAATGATCTGCACCACAACATGAATCACACCAGAACTAGACACAGCTCGACGACAACAATCAACAAGCGCTTTGTGCAAACTCCCCGAAGCACATCGAGTCACCGATTCACAGCGACCTTGCCTTAAGATCTGCCAGCCTCCGTGCTCGTTGGGCAATCCGATATCTCGCTTAGCCAAGACCGCGCTGCAGAATTCGTGTGATTGTGGCAAAAGTGCATTGCTCGCCAGAAAGGCAGAGCAAATTTATGTCGGGTCACATGCGAAGTGACAGTACGGCTGCTACCAGATCTCCATGAAACGTGCGAGCACAAGCTGACAAGATGTACAGGCAAACTGCGAAGCTTCGACCGACATCGGCCCATAGGGCTGCTTCCCCTGCACAAAGACGTCCCAATGAGCCCTTCGAGGCAAGCCTAGCACAGAGAAGTTCCATTGCATGAAGGCCAGGTAACAGGGTCCACATGACGCCGGCCAGTAGTGCGGGCCGCAGAACCGGCTTCTGCAGCGGTTGCCGCGTGAGCCTGCAACAAACCGGCTTTGGGGTTTGGGGCTGTCACTTGGCCAAAAAGCTAACATCAAGAATACGAAACTATCGGCTGCTGGATGATCATGTTCGAAATGCATAAGCTTGGTTGCAACTCCGTTGAGCCAGTGCAGTCACCGGCATCTTTCACCCCGAGACCTGACGCTTTAAGCCATCAACCCGTGACAGCACCTGCACCTCAGCCCACGCCCCGAGTGCGACACGCCTGAAGCCTGGCAATGTCGAACTAGAGCCACTTTGACACAAGGCCTCTTCCAGCCGCCTGCTATAAGCAGATAGGCCGTGGAGCAGAGAAAAATGCCTCCACTGCATGGGGTGGGGCCATGTGAGGAATGCCTAGAGGGTTTGTGCTAATTTGGAGGGTGCAGTGCCATGGGCCGGAAGCGAATCACACACACAGACACACTGTAGTGCCTGCAGAGCCTACTGTGGTCGTCAGAACCAGCCAGTCGCGGGCCAGCCAAACATCTGTACAAGACCCGCTGACGCATCTGCACAGACATGCACAGAGTGAATCTAGGCATCTTTTAACGTTTAGAATTCAAAACGCTTGCAGGAGCTTCGAGAACATTCCGGAAGTGATATCTGAGCGCTTTGAGCCTAGGCAGTTGGAGAAGGCGTAGTCCACCCCGGAGGGCTTGAAGCCGCGCGCTTCAAGGCTTTGCCTGCCAAGGTCCCCCAGGCGCCGGTCGCAGAATCTCCGAACTCCCAAAGGCGCCCGTGCCCGGCCCGGCTCGGCGCATGGAGACAGACGGGATCTCCTCTCCTTCTGTCGTGTGGGACTACGCCGCTCGGCGCACTTGTGAAGATTTCTTGTCACGAGCATCTCTCAGACCCACCCCCCCCAAATCCGTGCATCTCAGGTGCTTCCACGGCAGCATGGGTTCGTATTGAAGAGATAACACCAATCCGGTGACCTGAGGGGTCGACGAGCTGCGGAACCGCCTTCGATACCCACGAGTATCCGCCGCACGCATGACTGTCTTCGTAGGAAACTCTATTGCAAGGCGTCAGTGGAGCATCCTGCTTGACGCACGTGCTACAAGCCCAGGCCCGCGACGCGGTTTGCGTCTGTAGGTCTCTGGCCAGAGACAGCAGCCAGCCCTTGAGCCAGGCCCGGCCCGCGCTGCTTGGAACCTGTGGCTCGGCCTCCTCGGCGGCTCGCGCCAGGGTCTTCCCTGAATTGGGACTCACTCCTAATAACCTTGACAGGGGCATGACCATCACAGACCAAGAGCCCACCCTTCCAAGCGACAGCACATTATGCCGACAACAGCAGTGCCTCGAGGATGGGCGACGCTGCGATGGGCAGTCCACCGGAGCAGCCAAGGCTGTCGAGCCTCGAAGGCGGGGTTCTGGACAAACACCCTCCCAAGCCAGACACTCAGAACGTCCATGCCCACATCATCGACTGAAAACCTCCATCTCAGAATCCCAGTTCCTCAAATCCAGGAAGCTTCAGCGGGTCCGATGCAAATCGGAGGCGTCGCAGCTGTTGGACATCGGGTCGTCCTATGGTGCCTTCCGGCTGAGCTTCGATCATAAGGCTCGGGCACCGTCCCCCAATCACTCTTCAACTATAGTTAGAGGTGCTCGTTGACGCGAGCGTGGTCGGGCTGCCCTCCTTCCCCCCTTTTGAATTTTGCGCCCAAACCCACACTGCAAGACCGTTGGAAAGTTCCGCACCGTCCCAAGTCAGCGCATTGGCTGCAGCAAAGGACTCTTGGGCCACCTGGAGGACCTGCCGTGCTCACTGCGCTTCGCAGCAAAAGCGGAGCGCCTTCCCCGATAGCAGCCTCCGGAAGGGTCCAGGTGTGGTTCGGAGACGTCGAGCCGGAGCCTGTTCGGGGACATGTGGTCCCAGCCTATCGGACCCGTCAGACCCCTCCACGCTCCAACTCAAAACCTGTTGGTGAATCGACCCTTGGGTTCAAGTTCGGCACGCTTCAAAAAACTTCAAACCCTGCATGCCAATGTTAGAGAGACACTCTAGCAGGTAGGAAACTGCTCATACTCCACAGGCCGTGGCCTTCCTGCAGCTCTTGTCGGAAAAGCGTCTCCAAGCCTCGCGGCTGCGTTCAACCTCCCGACTTCCGCTCCAACACCAGGAGATCGGAGCACCCGAACCTAGAGATAACACCACAAGAATCGTCTCTCCAAGTGTGTAACTCCGTCTGCGAAAGGCGCCCTGAAAGCCCAGGAGCCGGAGCGTAGAACCGAATCGTCCAGGTCTGCTCCCCGTGTCTTTGTTGGCAAATGCACGCTCATGTACATATCAAACGCATGTGCATATGGCTAGACCCAACCCGCCGATTCCAGCCACTAGGCCGTGACCCCATGTCATGCGCATCATCAAACCTTGATACCAAGACGCACTTCACCGAGTACACTGTCCTCATGAGTTTGCATCCAATTCCCGTAGTACCATGGCATGCAAACAGTCAACAAGCATGATCTCGCAGACAGCATGGCAAAAAGCAACCTTACTCTGCCTCCATCGTTGCCTTCGAACTCTGGACAGCGAATCTAAACGCAGGAGTTTGAGCCCCTGTGCTCGTTGTCTCCGTCGGCGGGTTGGCAGCAGAGTTCGAGGAGCCCTCTTTTTTCTCACCTCAGAGCATAACCAGCAGGGTCCATGAGCTTGATTACATTGCCACAGCCGACGCCCTTCAAACAAGATCGTTGCTCTTTCTTTGTCTCAAGTATGTGAGAACTGCCACATGTCGAACGCCTGCCTTGGACTTCTCTGCTCCTGCATTCCTGGACAGAAACCAGTGAAACACATTGCGACAGAGCCAACAGAGAGCGATCATCGTCTTCAACATCATCACCATCATGTTTGCATGCACGGATTGAAAATGAAATTGGCTTGCTGTAAAGGCCAAGGAGGTCCTTTGTTTCTGGCTCTTTGGTGTTGGCATTTGTTTGGATCTGACGAAGCCGGGCCCCCCTGCTCATGAAGACGACCGGGATCCTCAGCATGACAGCTCGCCAAGGGACGATCTGGAAAGGCAACTGGCTATGAAAAGACCCTGAATACCCCCTACTGCGACCAGTTCACTAGTGTCTTGCATGTTGACAGCGTAAACTATCTGGGTGCAACATGCGCAATGCGCGCTCCGGGAAACCCATCAAAAAAAAACTTTTTTTCAATCAAAAAAAAACTTTCAGCGAAAATCAAAAAAAAACTTTTTCACCAATCAAAAAAAACTTTTTTCCAATCAAAAAAAACTTTCTCCATGTGTAGTAATAGTAGTAGTAGTAGTAGTAGTAGTAGTAGTAGTAGTAGTAGTAGTAGTAGTAGTAGTAGTAGTAATAGTAGTAATAGTAGTAGTAGTAGCAGTAGTAGTAGTAGTAGTACTAGTAGTAGTAGTAGTAGTAGTAGTAGTAGTAATAGCAGCAGTAGTAGTAGTAGTAGTGGTAGTAGTAGTAGTAGTAGTAAAAATAAATATAAAAGTAAAAGTAATAGTAAAAGTAAAAGTAATAGTATTAGTAATAGTAATAGTAATAGTAATAGTAATAGTAACAGTAATAGTAATAATAATAGTAATAGTAGTAGTAGTAGTAGTAGCAGTAGCAGTAGTAGTAGTACGAGTAGTAGTAGTAGTAGTAGCAGTAGTAGTAGTAGTAGTAGTAGTAGTAGTAGTAGTAGTAGTAGTAGTAGTAGTAGTAGTAGTAGTAGTAGTAGTAGTAGTAGTAGTAGTAGTAGTAGTAGTAGTAGTAGTAGTAGTAGTAGTAGTAGTAGTAGTAGTAGTAGTAGTAGTAGTAGTAGTAGTAGTAGTAGTAGTAGCAGTAGCAGTAGTAGTAGTAGTAGTAGTAGTAGTAGCAGTAGTACTAGTAATAGTAGTAGTAGTAGTAGTAGCAGCAGCAGCAGCAGGAGTAGTAGTAGTAGTAGTAGTAGTAGTGGTAGTGGTAGTGGCAGTGGTAGTGGTAGTGGTAGTGGTAGTAGTTGTTGTTGTTGTTGTACTAATAGTATAGTTAAATCATGGCGAAGCGTAGGGCCAGGTGCCAGCTCTGCAGTGAACGCCTTTAACCGAGGCCCACAAGGAGGAGAGAAAAAAAAACAAAGAAAAAGAAAAAAAAATGCCAAAAAAAAAGGGTCCCCTCCTTCCTGCCTTCCTTCCTGTCTGCCTGCCTGCCTGCCTTCCTTGCTGCCTTGCTTCCTTCCTTGCTTCCTGCCTTCATTCCTTCCTTTCTTCCTTCCTTCCTTCCTGCCTTCCTTCCTGTCTGCCTGCCTGCCTTCCTTCCTTGCTGCCTTGCTTCCTTCCTTGCTTCCTGCCTTCCTTCCTTCCTTCCTTCCTTCCTCGCCCTTTCTCCCCGCCTTCCTTCCTTCCTTCCTTCCTTCCTGCCTTCCCTCCTGCCATCCTTCCTTGCTGCCTTTCTTCCTGCCTTCCCTCCTTCCTCCTGTCGTGCTTCCTTTAATAAGGGAAAGTTTTTTTTTGATTGGAAAAAAGTTTTTTTTTGATTGAAAAAAAGTTTTTTTTTGATTGAAAAAAAGTTTTTTTTTGATTGAAAAAAGTTTTTTTTTGATTGGCATCCCCGCAACTGCCTCGGAGCCGTTGAGCAGGGTGGGCTGCAGGCACCACAATGCTGCCCAGCAGCATGCCAAGGAAGACACAGATGAAGCCGAGGCCAGCGAGCCACTCCACACGCGGCGGCCTCTCCCAAAGCTGTCCGTGAAACGTGTTTATCCTCCCTCTGCATGGCCACATGGCATCCTCCAGAACGAAACAAAGCAAATTCGAAGATGATCTTGGGAGGGAGCAAGCGGCGAGTAGCCGAGTTGCGCCTACTGCATGCTGATTCAACCCCAAACAGAAAGATTGTCAACTGGTTAGAATGCCCACCCTATGCCGGGCCGAGTAGGCCAGTGGACAGTGTTCCGGACCCACAAGCCGCTCCAGCGCATCCCATCCCGCATCATCCCATCAAATGGCAAGACACTAGCGTTCTGAAGCCAGCTGCAAACAGGTCTACGAAAAGATTTGGTGTTCAAGACCCCACGCTACACCAACAATCCTCAGACCAGGGCGCACTCCCCGTTTTCACTTTCCTCGCGGAGACTACACTAATTACACATTTGGCCTGTGGCCTCCATGCGGGACCAGACCGCAAACTGCAAGACTGGACAAGAGAAATCCAGCCAAGACCATGACCACCACCACGACCAAATGCCACAATCGCGCAATCGTCATGTTGCATCTGAACTGCACACGGCTTGAGAGGGTTGCGAAGCCACTGTAAACAAAGCGACACGAAAAGCCGTGAACAACGACCATCCACGTGAAAGGGCAGCCCCAAATGATACATGAGGCCGGCATACTGCACCAGACAGACTGTTCGCAAAGTGGATGCTCAAGCATCTTGATGCGGAGCACATGCATCTTCAGCTGGAGGCATCAGGCGAAGACCCACCATGCAAGCGTGGTTGCCAATAGCAGTTCGTCTTGAACATGCATTTGCCAACCCCGAAGATATGAATGAAGCTTGTTTGGCTTTTGCATTGATACTGCCAAGTTTTTTCACACCATCGAAATACCAGTCGCTGAGCAAGCCCTTGAATCCATTCAGGTTCCACCTAAGTACATCAGGTGTTGGGTTCACTACTTAGAACAGATGCAAAAACTTGTTACACTAGGTGGTTGTGTGCACCGTGAAGCTGTGTCCTGTGCTCGTGGCATCCCGCAGGGGGATCCGATGTCAATGTTATCACCGCGGCATGCCTTTCTGGATAGAAAATCTTAGTCCTTTTAGAACTGTTACCCCTAAAGTGTTTGTCAACGATAGGGTTCTCATCTCTAACCAAAAACATAATAAGTTGCAAGAAGCTTTTGTAAGCACCTAAAGTTGGGACAATGAAAGAGGCATCTCAACACGTCCCAAAACTGTTGCTTTCACTTCCAAGCGCAAAAGTGATTTTCAACCGGCCTGGGATGATGGTGAGCCTGTGCAATTTGCTGCGCAATGCGAGGATCTTGGAGTGCCCCTACCATTGCCCGGCATGTCGCGGGACAGATCCTTTGCTGACAAAACCTTGCGCCTTGTCATCCGCAGCAAAACTACATACTTTATTGTTGCCTCCATTGCAATGCCCTCGCTGAGTGCCGCTGCTATAGCAATTAGACCCACCAAGCAACTCATGTTGTCAACGCCGTTTTCGGAGAGCCTTTGGCGAATACGAATGCCTGTTTCCAGCTTCTTGAAAGAATGCATGCCTTTGATCCTCAGCGCATCTTCCTGTACTCGTCCCTGGGTGCTTGGCGCCGCGCCTTTCAGTACATTCCTGGCCTTGCATCCCAAATTGCTCATGCTCTGCAACTTCCCTCGCTTAGCGGGAAAAAGCGGTTGGACCCATTGCCATACTTCTTGATGACCTTGAGCGGTTGAGCTTTCAGCTGTTACCGGATGGCTGTTCCGTCCATGATGCTCATGACCGGCTTGCTTTTAAGTTTGATACTGTTGCTAAGGGTAAGCTGCAACATATCATTCGTGAAAAGATGCGTGCTTGCGTCATTCAGCAATTTGCCACTCAAAATCCGAAATGGAGCGGGATTGAGCGTGTTGATTTGAAAGCTACTGTTAGTGTCGCGCGCCAGGAGCAAACTGTTCACACTGGCAATGGTCCTCCTGTCCATGAGAAGAAAACATTAAAGAGCATTTGTCGCACCATCACTCATGCACATCCGAAGCCTTACAGACTGCATCTCATGCATCTTGCTGAAACGACGCTTGCCAACTGTGTGACCATGACTGTGGTGAACCTTTTTCTCGAGCATTCGTGACCAGTGGCCGTCTTACATGCATGTCTTACATGCATGATCGTCGTGCGTGACCACCGTGTGCGGTGCATTTCTTAGAGTGCACAACTGATATGCCTGATCAGCTGCAGGCGCTGTGGCCACGTGTGCAGGTGTTCGCGAGCCAAGTGGTGTCTGCATGGATCCAAGTTGAAAGACTCGAAGATATCCATGCATATACTTCTGAAGCCTCTGTGGAACCGAATTCTACTGAAGGTATTCAGCACGCAAAGCCGGCTGTGATAGCCTTGTTGCCTGCCAGACATGCCTGCATGCAATAATCGTTTGAGTTGTATTGATTTGGATTGGTGTCCCCCAGAGACTAAGGGTCAACAGGGCAATGGGGATCATCCTTGCGGGATTGGTATTTAGTTTTTCACTTTTGGACCGGGAACGGACCATCGGAACTGGTCTCGGAGCGAGGTGACGGCACTCTTCTTGTCACAAGGAGGATTGCATGCAGATGTTTGTACGGGGTGCGCCTCTCAAGCTTTAAACTCGATTGAAAGCGCCTTGAAAGATGCCCCATCTCAAAGTCATGTCTTGAAGCCTGAATGGCGTGCTGGCAAGTTTCGATCTGTGAAATGCCTTGCTTCGTACGACCTGTCTTTCAGCCCCGAGCTGGCGCAAGGCCTGCACAAGTCAGTGCAGTCACGAGCAGCTTCTGGGCTTTAAGACTGCGGCTGGTAGAATTTTGGAAGTGCATCCTCCTGTTGCAATCATTCAAACGCATTGAAGGATGAAGCAAGGCTTGCGTCCGAACATGTTTGAGAAGCTGGACTCATGCCTCAAACCCGCAAAGAATCGCAGACAACTTCCGGCGACGTGGAAGGGCTTGATTGCAGCATGGGAAAATGCTGACAAACATTGGGTCATTCCCGGAACCCTCATGTGCAAAAATGGCTATTGTGATAAGTGCTTCCATCGTTTGAGTGATTTTGGTTTTTGCCAGCTGCCAGATATTCTTGCAGTGGGCATCTTATTGATGCCGGTGACAACTACGTTGGTGTAGCACACAACTTGAAGGAGCTTCTTCAGACCATCTGTGCATAACTGCTAGCGCGTAAACGATGGCTTTCGACTTCAACCTGCGCCGATTCGCTGTGTACAGTTGCTGGCTGCCCGTACACAGACTTGCATCACATGCTTGTGCTCACTGAAGCACCGTATTTTCTTTGCAGGCTTTTCCTGATGCAGGCAGCGCCTGATCCAGCTTAGCTTCCGGCAACCCTTCCCAACTCATGTGGCACACGTTGGCAAACCACCAAGTGACGGACAACCAGGAGTGTTGTGGAACCATGATCGCAGACTTCGCCGAAATACTCGGTAGTTGCAGGTGCTCATCGAGTCTCCCAGTCTCTGTGCCCTCTGTCTTCGCTCGTTCCTGCACCAAGTTACCTATGACGTCCAGCACATGCCACAGGCTCATTGAGTAGAAGAGCAGGTTTCAAAAAGAACAGGTCAACTTGCTTGCTTGCGTTGTCATCCGAGAGCGAAGCCTACTGCCACATGCTGATGTCCCATCCCTACCTGAGAACTGTTAAAAGGCTTGCTATGCTTCGACGAGCTTTCTGTTGACTTTCGTCTGTCACATCCACAATGCCTAAAAAGTTGGGTACCCGCTAAGTTCCTTATCTCGTTCAAGCTGTGCGATAGTCTGGGCAAGCCACTTCAAGCAGTTTCGATCAGTTTTTGCCAGCAGACTTTTCAATTCTCCTTGACATGTGGCTTCAACAAACGATATGCACCTAACCGACGTATCCATACATGACATGCACCGCAGCGGTCGACCAAAACGTGCCTTGCCGGAATACCCAGGCTGGGTCCGAAGACACCGATCACGAAGGTGCCGAATAGGTTGGTCAACTCGTGCCTTGAGTCCAGGTCTTACGGCATGTCCACTTGCATGCCAGACTTCTGGACTCACGGCGGAAGCAGCAACAGCACCAGCAGCATCTGGCCCTCCCGTGAGCAAGGCAAGGCAAAGTCACACCACGAAAGGACATGCAGGTATGAATCCTCGTCTGTCCTGTACTGAGGTGCCTGCCAAATGTAGTAGTTGCCGATGCCGAAGTACTGGACTGCCCTGTTGCTTCGAGGGGTTCTTTCTCAACAAGACTTGAAGTTTCGCCTGACTTGAGACGGCGTCTGCACCATCTCTGGAAGCATTATACAAAAGCCCACATGCTTCAAAGCCAGCAAGAATCAAACAGCCTTCGTGATGCATTGACGGGAGTTTCGGGGATGATTGCACTACTAGCACAACATCGGTCACCTCGTCGCCCACACATTGGCAACGGACCACAGCAGGCCAGACAATCTGGGCTTGATGTCGCAGGAGGGTGCTATGCTGGCAGGTTCTCAACAGTTTCACAGCTCAACATAAGGAGTCAGCTAAGTTTTTGGAGACCCTGGGAACAAGTGCAGTTTCCCGCTACAACCACTTGTCGGACCCGCTTGGACTTAGGCATGCGGCATGCAAGCAACGCAGTGGCAACTGGCATGAAGAGCACAAAGCTGACATGACTGAACTGATGCCAGAACTGTCAACCAGCATGACTGCGCCAGCGAGACAAATGGCAGAATAACGGGAAGATTTATAGTTTGAAACCAATGACATGGGGGACGGGAGTGCCAGCCAGCGATGGATAGCAAACAAGCTAGGGAAATATTATCACCAGTGAAACTGAACAGAACAAAAGGTGACCTCTTCCGTACTGCCGACTGTCGACGGGCAAACCGAGCAAGCTGGTCGGACGTGAAGTGATACGCTACATCTGATCCGAGTCCAAAGGCATGTCATCCTTTCTATGACTTGCAGTTCCTTCCGGCTACTAAAGTGACAAGGGCGCACCAGATAAGTACCAACGGCATTCAACGATGTTACTAAAGGCTCTCAGCTCTCAGGTCTTGTGGGATTCAGCGGACAACTTCTCGGTTGCGAGGTTGTGTGCGTACTGTCCTCATGGAGCCCTCATCTTGCACGCTCGCCGCTGGATGTTACTACAACCTGCGATGCCCCTCTGTGGTGCAATCGGGTCGACAGGCATGATGTACAAATGCAATCGGCGAGAGTCATGCTACGGCTGAGCTTGGTTATTCACACGGAAATACGCTTCGAGCATCAACATGATGCCACTGCGGAATGCTTCAGCAATGCTGCAGAAATCGGATGCACCTTCGCCGCTTTCGAACCGTTCTCTGGTGATACGGTGCATCGAAGGAAAAATGGCTAAAGCAAAAACGGAGGTGCCGACTCCTGCCTGCCCAGTACGGCAAGAAATCTCGGAGATATGCGCCATGCAATCTACCATGCCGTGTCTTGTCAAGATGACACGAAGACATCTCGGAGACCTTGAGCTGATTGCCACAGTGGACAAAACGATCTGGAATCTTTAATTCACGCTGAAGAAGTCCTACTGTAGTTTCGCCCCATCGGTGAGCACTGCACTAAGAACTTGCATACAGGTGACAGCCGGTGCGTAGGCTCCTGTGGTGCTCTTTACTAAGGATGCGTTGAACTCCACTGAACTTTTCTGAGCCAATTTCAGTCCACGGAGTCACCAACCCACGTGACAAAGCGAACCTGACATGAAGCCGGAAATCCCAACCTCCGCCAATTCCAGTCATCTCAAGCCGAGCAACAGGCCATGGGGAGCGACGTAGAAGGCACTGCTACTCATGCCTCGGACGCTTCAAGCGGCAGCACATGGTGCTTGGCAGTCGTTCATCCAACTTTGCCAGTAACTTTCCGGGCAATCTATGCCAAGCAGTTTAATCGTCGTAGCTGGCCTGATGATACGCCCGCGGATTACACCGGCCGGTCCCCCTTTCCCCCCCGAGAAATCAACCCAAGGCGCAGCTCACATGCAAGAATTTCATGTACCACCGCACCGACTCGAAAACGACGAAGGACACGACGACTCTACCACTAGTAGTATGACCTCTACTCCTACTACTTCTACTACTCCTATTACTCCTAAGGCTCCTGCTATCCCTGCTATTCCTACTACTCATACTACTCCAACTACCCCTACTACTGCCACTACTCCCACTACTCCTAGTACTCTTGGTACTGCTACTACTCCTACAACTCCTACTACTCCTACTACTCCTACCTCCTTCTACTACGTTCCTACTACTCCTACCTTCTACTACTACGTTCCTACTACTCCTACTACTCCTACTACTCCTCCTGCTCCTACTGCTCCTACTACTCCCACGCCTACCGAGAGCTTGGATGACTCAGAATCATTGATCACAACACACTTCACAAGCTCTCGTCCAAGGCAACCAGGCCACACTGTCATCCGAACAGGTTGTAAACCATGCAAAAAGCTGAACAACAGAAGCTCGGCGAGTCTTCACAAAATGTCATAGCTGAAACCCAAGTTCAACAAGTCTTATGCCACTCAGGCTCTTGGACCCGCCCCCCGCGAAATGCTTGCACGGTGCCTTCAGCCTGCCAATCATTTCTGGCCTAGGTCCAAGTTAGGTGCTTCCAAAGAGGCAAGCCACCCCGGCAAATATCATGAAGCTCAATTGCATGATGTACCAAACAATTCCTGGACATCAACAAGGACAGGTTGACTTAACACAGGCTTGTAGCCAAGAAATGCCTGAGGAGAAAATGACTGCATGCTGCTACGGCTTGCAACGCCAGGTGTGAAGCAAACAAAATACCGGAGCCCTGGACGAATCGCGAGACTCCAAACATCCCCCGCATGAATGCACTAAACCCCTGTGATCCTCTCTCTGTGCTGCCCACCACTGCCACCACCAGCGCACCAATGAGAATCCCGCAGCAGAAGAACCACTGATACACCAGACCTTGCAGGGTGCTGCCATGCCCGTGGAAAGACGACTTTGAGCAGCACTGTTCCGTGCCTTAACGGTGTTACACACAAATTTCGTGTGGTGGAGGACCTCGAGAGAACCTGATTATCGTGGCTAAGAAAATGAGCACCGCAGTGTTGTTGTCGACGTCGAAACACGACGAGACCAAGCTCCCGCAGTATGAACGTTTACCATGATCTGCCACTGCGACATGACAGCTTTGGTCTGGGTAATGTGAGCTTGTGAATGACATGAACCCCTGAGAACGAGGCCGTCGTACACGTCGTACTTTCTAACCTTTGTGGATGGCCGCAACCCACCCAACGAGAGCTGGCGCTTCCCAGTTGCAAAGACCATCAAAAAACGGGACAACGTCTCCGCATTCGCTTGCCTTGCACGTAAGCTTCCCAGGCGAGCTCCCTTGCATGCCCTGGTCATCGAAACCCACTGAACCTTGCAGCCGCGCAGCCGGAACATAGTAGCTTCCATACCCAATTGCCGCAGCTGCAACCTTCTCGCCGTTGTTTTACACTGTACACGCGGGACCAGTACAACTCTGAGAGGACAAAGAAGTGCAAACCATGCCACAACAAAGACAGCTGAAGCTGCAGTTTACCCTCAGCAGAACCGAAACCATGGTTCTAGAAAAAGGACAACCTTGCGTTGCACGTGCACGTTGGACTACCATTTTGGAGCGACATCATCAGACAAGATCTGCTACAAGCCGCCGAACAACAGAACCGCTAAGTGCTACGCCCAAGTTAAAGGATTGCTGCCAGCAAAATCGCAATCGTCACATATTACGTTTGCCACACCCATCCCATGATGTGAAGATAAGCTTAGTCAGTCGTGGTAAAAACCGTATTGCAGGAAAGTCTTGTCGGGGCTTGGTTCGCAATGCTTTTGGATGCCATATCACAATTCCGATGAAGAAGCTTCTGCAAACCAGATGCTGACGTGTTTGAGGTTGCTTGAAGTGTCTTGGACGCCGTTGCCTCGTGCACAAGCCGTTCAGCTTGGAGTACGATACCCGAAATCCAAAGCATAACACCAAATTGCCAGACTTGCACTGTTGATGCTTTTGCATCTCGACGGCATGCTCGGGTTTTGGTTACCGTGACAAAACCTTGGCCAACGAATGGCATCACTCCACTGTCTCAGCCACGAGGCTGCAAGAGCTGCCCAAATCATGGAAACACCATCGCTGGAAGATGCTGTGAAACAACGCCCACTTGACTCACACCAACACATTGCTGTCGGTGTTCCAACAATGGCCGTTCGTGCTGATCTTGTTGCAAGCGTCTTTTTACTGAGCCAATCTTGGCCTTGCCACGGTCGACCCAGCCATCTTGTAAGACACTACAGCGTCCGACTTGTCTCAGAAAAGCTGCCAAGGCACTCAAGTGATCCTGTCGTGCTGTAAGTTCACACCATGCAACAAAAAAGAAATGCTACCAAGGTGTTCTGCGATGCATGCGCTAGATTTTCGGCAGCGAGCTGGGCTCAACAGCTCGCACACTTGATTGCTTTTGCTACTGGCTCGCCAGAAATGATGTCTGCAGCTATCCTATAAAAAACAAATGGAATTCAACTCGTAGTCGACCGAGCGGTGCAAACCGGAAACGAAATAAAGTTAAATAGCTTCAGCATCATGGATACACTCTTTTGTTGGTTGGCTCGAAGAGTATGACGGAGCAGTTGCAAAAGCAAGGCATCATCTGAAGGAAAAAGCGGGGCTCATGACACTGAGACATGCGGGCAGTCTTTTCACCGAACTTGAGTTCTGGCAGCTTGCGTACAGAACGGACGGACCAAATTCCATTGCAAACAACACCGTAGACAACACACTGACAGGCGTGGACAACTCAAACACCCCAACTCTGCGTGCCAAAGCAACGAAGTAGAACGGCGGCTAACAACCGTCGAAACAAATTCTATAGCCAATACCGTGTTGGCAGACGTGGCTTCTGATGCTGTGATGTGATATAACTGCTGTCAAGTTCTCTTGGACAGGTTTGTGTTTCCAGCGGTGTTTAAAGCCTACATGGCCGCAGGCCTTGAAATCCAAGTTTAAGAGTTCCAAAACTGGAAGTTCGTGGTTTTGGTTACCGTGACAAAACCTTGGCCAACGAATGGCATCACTCCACTGTCTCAGACACGAGGCTGCAAGAGCTGCCCAAATCATGGAAACACCATCGCTGGAAGATGCTGTGAAACAAGGCCCACTTGACTCACACCAACACATTGCTGTCGGTGTTCCAACAATGGCCGTTCGTGCTGATCTTGTTGCAAGCGTCTTTTTACTGAGCCAATCTTGGCCTTGCCACGGGTCGACCCAGCCATCTTGTAAGACACTACAGCGTCCGACTTGTCTCAGAAAAGCTGCCAAGGCACTCAAGTGATCCTGTCGTGCTGTAAGTTCACACCATGCAACAAAAAAGAAATGCTACCAAGGTGTTCTGCGATGCATGCGCTAGATTTTCGGCAGCGAGCTGGGCTCAACAGCTCGCACACTTGATTGCTTTTGCTACTGGCTCGCCAGAAATGATGTCTGCAGCTATCCTATAAAAAACAAATGGAATTCAACTCGTAGTCGACCGAGCGGTGCAAACCGGAAACGAAATAAAGTTGATTCTTGAACCCAGAGCCGCACAAAACTTACACAAGTCTGAACAGCAGAACGTTGCAGGCTTCACTCACAACGCACTCGCGCACACAACACTCTTTTCCGTCGGTAGCAAGGGAGCACTCTGTGTTTTGTCGCAGCAGGAGCTGCGACACTCGCTTTGTCATCTCAGTTCGAGATTTCAAGCACTAAGTATTCGCCTTTGGCGACGCCTAAGCCTACAGGGTTGGGACTTAGAGGGGGTGCACTGCCACGGCGGGCCACGGGTGTGCACACCCCTCCCTACAGGGACCTACAACAAACTTCCCAGGGCGGCGTGGGTGGGCAAGAAAAGTTTCTTCTCACACCTGAGAGCCAATCTGCATATGCCAAGCGCCATCAGATCAGACAGCATGTGGGGCCCGAAGTTTTTCGAAGTGCGGCACAATTCAAAAACATATTTTGAATGTTAAGCGGTCAAGAATAAGACGCTATCTCGAGGCAAGACGGCACGTTTATTCTTGAACCCAGAGCCGCACAAAACTTACACAAGTCTGAACAGCAGAACGTTGCAGGCTTCACTCACAACGCACTCGCGCACACAACACTCTTTTCCGTCGGTAGCAAGGGAGCACTCTGTGTTTTGTCGCAGCAGGTGCTGCGACACTCGCTTTGTCATCTCAGTTCGAGATTTCAAGCACTAAGTATTCGCCTTTGGCGACACCTAAGCCTACAGGGTTGGGACTTAGAGGGGGTGCACTGCCACGGCGGGCCACGGGTGTGCACACCCCTCCCTACAGGGACCTACAACAAACTTCCCAGGGCGGCGTGGGTGGGCAAGAAAAGTTTCTTCTCACACCTGAGAGCCAATCTGCATATGCCAAGCGCCATCAGATCAGACAGCATGTGGGGCCCGAAGTTTTTCGAAGTGCGGCACAATTCAAAAACATATTTTGAATGTTAAGCGGTCAAGAATAAGACGCTATCTCGAGGCAAGACGGCACGTTTATTCTTGAACCCAGAGCCGCACAAAACTTACACAAGTCTGAACAGCAGAACGTTGCAGGCTTCACTCACAACGCACTCGCGCACACAACACTCTTTTCCGTCGGTAGCAAGGGAGCACTCTGTGTTTTGTCGCAGCAGGAGCTGCGACACTCGCTTTGTCATCTCAGTTCGAGATTTCAAGCACTAAGTATTCGCCTTTGGCGACACCTAAGCCTACAGGGTTGGGACTTAGAGGGGGTGCACTGCCACGGCGGGCCACGGGTGTGCACACCCCTCCCTACAGGGACCTACAACAAACTTCCCTTATTGGCCTCAAATTCAAAGAAAATCTTTTCCACTATTTCTTCAACATCGGTGCACTTGACAGTCTTGCGACCGACTGTGACGTGGTGACATTTCCTTCTTGAAGGGTCGTCTGCAGGATTGCAAGGGCTTGGGACCCTCTGATACCACGAAGCAATGCCCGCACTTTCTTCATCCTTGAGAAGCACCTGCAACAGGGCCTTGATGACAGCGGCGCGGCCTGACCCAGAGATGCAAACGTCACGAGCGCAATTGTTGTCTACAAAGAATACAGTGGGTCGCCCCTTCAGGGCCGGCAGCCATAGCCTCATTCCACAAAGGAGGGCTAGAAGCTCGGCGGGAAAGATTATCGTCTTTTGAACCTGCGCACCAAGAAGGTCTTGATGCCGAGCGCATAGGGAGTGAGAGAAGGACCCGATAAGATCACCTCGATGATTGAACAAGACACCGCCAATGCCACACTTCCAGTCCGATGCCGAGGGCTCAAAGCAAGCATCGGTGAACACAAACATCGGTTCCTGTCGCATGACCTGCACCAGTCTAGGAGAAGCTTCCTTGAGGACCCCGCAAAACCCCTGAAGCGCATGAAGAAGATTAGCAGGCACATTTGGAGGCAGATCGCCGTAAGCAAAATCAGTGAGATGCTTGAGGCAAACCTTGGCCAACCTACCGAAAACCTGCCCACAAGCAAACTGCATCCTTCCACGGAGTTTTAGTGCTGCACTTTTGGTCAACGTACCAACGTCCATGATCGCACGGATAGACGTGCATAACTCGTTGGTGCGGGACTCAGTGTTGCACAGCTCCACACGGCCCGAAGGGAAACTAGCAAGGGACAGCCGAACGCCCAATGCTGTTACAAGCTCACCAAACGGCTCGGCTTTCGAGCCTTCCCTCGCAAAGGCCCACCCAAGGAGAGTGAAGAAGATTTGGATTGAACTGTTGGTATTGCTCGCAAGGCAGGATTCGGAGAGGACGACAAAGTCGTCATAATATAGTGACCAAGCCAGCTTTAGCGCCACCACTCCCAGCCACCATAAGGCGTGCGATATGCGAAGGAATCCGTAGACTGACTTGGTTGCTCCAAACGGTAAAGCACGACACCTGTAAATGCGAGGCCTCTTCTCGTCACAGTCATAATATGCAACATACGAAGCCCAAGAGGATGAGGGATGGACAAGGACTTGCCTACAGGCTGCTTGTAGGTCGTAGGCACGACCCACGAACTTTCTTCCAGGAAAGGCCCTCATGGACTGAAGGGTCATTGTGCAGAGCACATCTGCGGTATGCGGCTTCGGTGATTCACCAGCCCCGACAGATTCATTGACATGCGAAATTGAGAAATCATCGATGAGGCTGGTTTTTCCAAAAGCTTGTGGCAGACCAAAACGTTTGCTTATGATGGCATGCTCGGGCAGGTCCTCAATCTCAAAGGGGCCTACAAGCCAACCCTTTTGCACTTCCTCCACCGTCTTCTCTTTCACGATCGCATCAATCTCACTTCCTTGACTGGTGACCTTTCCAAGTACCTCCTGCTGGATGACCTTCGCCTTTGCTTTGAGTTCGGCCTCAGTCATAGAAGCATGCCGCTCCGCCGCATTGAAGATCCCAGTGTGTGGAGCATCCCCGGTCAAGCTGACTCCACTGACGAGCTCATTGAAGGCATCTAAATCCGGGTAACCATATTCTTGCAGGAGGCTCTTAAAGAGGAGAAGGCGTTTAGGGGCTAGGATCGGTCGAACCTCGGGGTGAAAGGAACTTCTAAAGGCTTTCTCATCCTTCTCAAGGTCCTTTGCCCTGCGGGACCACTCCTTGAGCACCCTTAGCCTATGTGAGGCAAGATTTTTGGGAGTCATTTACTCCGTAATCGCATCCTGCAGCTCCTGCGGGAGGTTCGCTTCGAGCAGGGAGGGGTGGCCTGCAGCCACTGCGCAGTCTACAAACTCAGATGGCGAGAAAGGTATCCCCCAGGCAAGTTCAAGCACCTTCCCAGAACTTCCCTCCTTAACGTCAGCATCAAGCAAGTCACTCCGAAGAAGTTGGGAATACTTCGGAATGGAAGGCCAGGCACACGTGCATGATGTCGGCACCGCCCAGTCAGCTTCAAGGCGTTGTCTGAGGACACAGGGAGGCTGGAGCAGTTGGGCCGGGCCTCGAACAACGATGACAGCACGATGTTCCGGCACCAAGGGTACCGTCTTGCTTGCTTTGGGCTGTATACTAGTGGCGGCGCGCAAGGCCGCATAGTCCACAGGTGACGGGCGGGCGCATTGCCCAACCTGCAAGGGCAAGGGGAAGGAGAGTTGCAGGAGGCTGTTGCACTGGTCAGACGTCAAGAGGTCATAGCCTTTCAAGGTGTAGCAAGACAGGATCACACGATCACCCTGCCAAGGTTCAGTAGAGTGCAAACTCGAAGCAGCATCCAGCTGCACAGGGCCTTTATCAAGGCTCAGCACTTTGCCAGAAGTGTTAACCCCAGCAACACGACGGCAGACGGCCCCTCGGGGGCACTGCACCCAGATGCGCCCACCTGCGAAAGCAGAGAGGGCCAGCACATGACTGGCCACCGGTTCATTCTGCAGGTCACGGTGTGCAGGGGAAGCGACATTGTCAAGTATGGCAAATGCATTGTAAGAAGCTGTAGGCACAGCATGGGCCATGAACGCATTGATGGCAGCGACAGACAAGGGGAATTCCCGACAGGATTTGCGAAGGCCCGAGATGCCATTGCCTTTGCGGTACATGCCAGCATAAAAGGCGCCCTGAGGGTAAGGGAGCTCTTCAGATTTCGCGGTGTGGGGAGGTTCTCTAGGCAGCAACCGTACAAGAGCAAGGATCGCATCACGAGAGATGACCGCTCGTTTCAAGAGGCGAGCTGCAAAAGTTTCGGCATCACAAGTTACAGCCTCGGGCTCAACTTCGGCAGAAGGAGCTGACGACAAGGCCACACTAAGTGTTTCATCATCGGAGTCGGACACATGCACAACATCAGTAACACTGGAATTCGCAGGGATTATGGCTCGAGGAGCACCTGAGCCTTCACCGCCCTCGGGCACCGAAGGAGCCGAAGGTTGCGCGGACGGGTCATGGGAGGATCTGAAGTTGGATTCACTCTCCCCCACCCCGCCGATGTTTCAATCTTTGTGCTGCACGATCGGGCGCGGCTGGAAACACTTGCAGCACAGATGCTTGCGTGGGCAGGTGGCAGCGTCACACTTGCACTTGTCCCCTTGAAGGTTGTACGAGCAGCACAGCTGGTCACCTTGCGGCGTGCAAGCAACGCCACCCAACTTAAGGATCTCCCGAGGCACTAAACCCCAACCAGCCTGACTAGGGTACCCTTTAGGGTACGCCAATTTCTTACCCTTACCTTTCCCTGGGGCTTTGTTGGCGTCCTTGCCATCCTTGCCTGCACCTTTGAACCTTTTGCGAGGCTCCCATTTGGACCCACTTCGTAGAGGCATAAGTCTGAAGGACACTTCATAGCTCTCCAAAGCAGCTTGCATAAGCTCTGAGTCCAAGGGGAAGGCCCCGGTGGCATCCTTTCGTGGCTTCACACCTCTCTCGATGAGCCTGGTCCAGACCAGCTTATCGGCCTCGACAAGCTGTGCCACAGAGGTTCTTGCATGGTTCGGGGGCGGCTCGCGATGGATATGCGAGAACAATTTCGAGAGGTACCTCGAATATGCATCAAAGGACACACTCTGGCTAAAGACATATGCAAGGCCTCGCCGAAGGAAGGCCTCCTGCACCTGAAGCGCGGAGTGTGAGGGCATGGTGAGCTCATCCTCCTGATTCTTTACCACAAGATGATTGGCATCTAACTCAAGCTGCCTCGGAGTCTTCTTGTAATTCGTGACTTCAAAGGTCCTAGAGATGCAGCGGTCTGGGCTGATGTACTTAAGCTGGCACGCACTTTCTTGGCTCGCACACTCATCTAAGAGGGCCCGCCCTGGCTCCGTTGGCCCCTCAATGAGAAGCCCAGGTAATTGCTTCCGCAATGAAGCTAAGCGCTGTTCGCGCTCAGCCTCCGGAACCTTCTTTGATGATCCATCAGGGTCGTTAATCTGCTGTCGCAAATCAGCAAGCACTAAAGTCTGAGCCTCAAAAATGAGGCGACGGAGACAAGCTGAGTCGGCCCCCGATGCGCGGGGGATGGTGTCCTTTTCGAATTGATTGAACGCCTCACTCTCGAGGAGGGAAGTCATGACACTTCGAATCTAGTCACACTACAGCAACTAGACGAATGGCTCCAGAAATGTTGTTGAGCGCATACATCATGACATGAAGCATTCAGCTACTTGTACAATCCCACCATGGAGAATTGTTGAGGCCTTGCCTCTGACCCCTTGGTCTTGAGCCCTTGCTCTGTCCGTCACCATGTGACTCAAATCACTGTCTTCCTTGACACATGTCAGAAACTGCAAGCTCAGCACACAAGAGAGAAACACACCTACAGACGCAAGCACGCGCAGCCCAAGCAACTTTCTTCCTCAGCAGTGACCCTTGTCACAAGTCCATATTGTGGCCATTGCCACTGGGGTTCAAGGCTCAAGAACCCTTGTTCTTGCGGCACGTACTGCATACCGGCCCGGATGGCACTCCCTTATCAGAGAGAACGTACATGTGACTTCGCTTTCGGCCACACATCAACATGTTGACACCATACGTCCAATGCCACACGTGCGACCGCTTGTGCACGACCCACTCTCCACCCTTTTCCGAAGGGATGAGTCTTTGAGACTCGGCCTGAGGACGCCTCTTGGATCCAGTAGGGCTGCCGCTGGAAGAATCGGAGCTATCAGAATGGCCTCCGCTGGACTCTTCCGAACTTGAGGACTCCGAATCACTGGCCTCCGACTCAGACTTGACCTCCACAGAAGGGATCAACGGCTTCGACACTTTGGCTCCAGCAACGGTTGCGGGCGGCGATGGTGGGAACCGCCACATATCAGCACGGCTCGCATCCGGCCTAAATTCTTTGTCCCGCACCTGCCTCAAGATGCCTTCCAGCTGCTTCACAGCTGGAAGCCCGAGCTCAACACTGTAAATGGCCTCAGAGCTCTCAACGGATTTTGCATGCCTGCCAAGAATGGCCCTAGACTCACTAGACAAGCCGGCCTTGCTCGACCAAGCGAGCATTGTGCGTTTGAGACTCTGGGATGCAATGCGAGAGACCCCGTCATGGCTCGGCACAACTAACTTCAAGAAGGCAGAAACTTCCTCTGATGTGATTCCCCGCCGGGCCAGCCTACCCTCGACAAAATCAATCGGAGGCCGAAACACAGGTCCACCAATGTTTCCCTCCAGACTAAGGCCTATGTCCTCCATGGCACGCCGCGCTGTCAAGAACCACTCTTGATCGTCGATGCCACAGACTGGCATAAGGATGGGCAGCATTTGCGACAACCTTCGAGCAGCTCGCGCAGTTTTGTGCTGACGCGTGTAAAAGATGACGTATCCCTCAAGTCCTGAATCTGAGATATCCACTTCAACGTAGGACACTTTTGCCAGGTCGCTCTGTCTGCAACGGGCATACAAGCAAATCAAGATGTATGCAACAAAAGCCTTATCGAGCTTGGAGACAAGGCCACTATGCAGCATGTGGTGCAGCTGCAGCACCTGTTGCACTAACAAAGGCGCCGACTGGCGCAGCGTGCCTCTTTCAGCAGACATTTGTTCTGCAAGGCCCACACATCGCCGTGACGGCGAGCCGCAGATTTTTGTGAGATCCATGACATGCCAAGCAAACCTCACTGCAGAGAGGAAAGATGATCCTCTCGAAGCACTTGCACGACTCGTCTTGAGGAACTGCAGATAGCCCCAGTAGGCTTCATCAGTGAACATGGAATCACTGCTACCACGCACCGTGTCACACCACCTGACGAACTGGAGCATGGACCCTGCCCTGGCAAGCACAGTATGTACTGACCGAGTGCCCATCATTGCCGAGATCTCCTCGTCCGAAGGCCGAGGCAATTCAAATACATCCGAATACCTCAAAGCAATGACATGCCACTTTGCGATACAAGCGTTCATAAGCTTAATCTGCTTCTTCTCGAAGTCATCGTCGTCAAGCACTCTGATGGCCTGTTCGGCGGCGTGGCCTGCCTTGAAGTCGAGGCTAGGATGTACAGGCTTCGCCGAGCTTCGCGGCCTACTTGCATCGGGCAGATACTTCGCAAACTCGGGAGGGGACAAGTCGGCGAGGCCTAAAGAGGGTTTCTTAAGCTCAGGCAGGGGCTCGGACAAAGGCTCAAAAATGGTCTTCATTAAGGGAGTCTCCCAAGGTAACAGCAAAGAAGGCGAGGCGCTGGGTTGCGACAGCCTGCTGAAGGCGTGCACAAAGGCAAGCCCCATGTTCGTAGTGCATGTACCACTCTGGCCGTCTGCATCAACGTCAACGGAGTCAAGATCCCTCGAAGAGCCCAAAGCCGAAACCCCCGAATAGCCCGAAGAGCCAATCCCTGCGCCCATCATGCTCAAGGAGCTTGCAGCCTCACCGTCGGACTCGCCGTCCCCGCGGTCGGGAGGCTCGGGACAGTCGTCCCCCGGCCAGACAAAGCCCTGCTCACCTGCAAGCTCAGCATCAAGCTCAGCATCACTGTCGCCCCAGTCGGGCGAGTCAGGTAGGTCGCTTCTCATCGGGAGAAGTTACTGCAAAATAACAACCACAACTCTCCCCTATTGTCCTTCTTGCCGACACGCTCAATCCTCAAGAGAGTAATCCGAGGAGTCGCTAAAACCTGCAGGGCAGATCCAAAGCAACACGTGTTGCCTCCGAAGCAAAATGCAAGCAGCTCGCAGACAGCGAGCACGATGTGCCCGCAAGCACGAGACGATGCAATGCCAAAGCTCAGGCTGAGCTGCGACAAGCAGCAGAAGAGGCCCTCCAATGGAGGCGCTATCCATCTGCCGGCAACAAGCCGGCGTGCACGGGCTCCTATGGAGCAGCCTTTTGATAGCACCCGGAACCTGTTAGACGCAGTACGGGCCTTTAGAGGGACCTCAAGAAAAGTTTCCTCTCACACCTGAGAGCCAATCTGCATATGCCAAGCGCCATCAGATCAGACAGCATGTGGGGCCCGAAGTTTTTCGAAGTGCGGCACAATTCAAAAACATATTTTGAATGTTAAGCGGTCAAGAATAAGACGCTATCTCGAGGCGAGACGGCACGTTTAAACCCTTATACCAGTATACTTCTTATAACCACGGCGCGAGCTTGGATTCTTTTCTCACTCCGTGCTCCGCTGTCGGGCTGTGCTTGAGCCTACGTTTGACCTGCGGTGAAACACTGGATTCCTGTATGTAAATGGGCATGAAGGAAATTGAACTATCTGTTACGCCCTCATCGCATACACAGCTTTGTCGTGTAATGCGATCCTTGTGAAACTTTTCCTACATCTACCAATCTACCACTGTTTTCGCATGCTCCTGTGAGCTTTATCTTCTCTTCTCGCACGCTTCTTTGAGCACTTCTCTGAACATCTTTAACCTTTTCTTCCTTTGGTCTTCATCCTCAATCTTCAGATGTCCTATAACAGATTTGCGAATTTCCACACGCACACACACACACAATTGGCATGGGACTCACTCAGGATCTAAAGCGCACTCACTTTTTCTTCACGTCGCATTTCGCGATGTAGGTCCATACTTGCTCTTCGGCAATTGGAAACTTTGGTCTTAGGCCATTTGCCTCTTTTGAAACACTTTCGTTGTGCTCGTAGTGCTTTGTCGTGGGTTTCAGCTTTTGCTGTCGTGGCGTTGAACGCCTTTCCGTGAAATTCCGCTCTTCTCTTTGGAATTCACTTTCAGCATAGCTCTCCCTTTTCACACGAAAGGATAGGCCTTACTGCCCCTTCTTTCATGCATTGTGAAACATTGCTTGCTCCTGGGCGATTTCCGCCCTCATGCTTGCCTGGGCGATTTCCGCCCTCACAATTGCTTCTCTTGTTTGTTAAACCGCAACCTTGGTTTACTCCAGCTCCTTTTCTCCGCGCTGTCGCTTCTCAGCGCTCTTTTGATCATACGGGGATTCGCTCTTCCGCTTCTTCTCTTTTTCAGCCTTCTTCTCTTTATCCTTGTCCTTGCTCTTGGACTTGTCGGCTGTCTTCTTCTTTTTCTCTTCCTTGTCATCTGCCTTTCCTTCAGCCTTTTCTTCATCACTTTTCTTTTGCTTCTTCGGTTCTGCTCCCCAACTGTCCTTCGGGGTATATCCTTGTTCTTGGATGTCTTTCAGCTCTTTATCGAACTTGTACTTGTTGCTCTCCAAGTAACTCTTGACATCGTCCTTACACTTGCAGATGTCCGGGGTGTGTGTACCCCATCCCTTATACTTGAAGGTCCTGTAGTTGATGTGCGTAAACATCAGAAAGCAAAATTTGCAAAAGATTCTTCGCTCGTTGTTGCCGCTGTCAGGTCTTGTTCCATCGTAGTACATCTTGACAGCTTTCTCCATTTCCGGGCATTCCGGAGCTTTATGCTGGTCTGTAGCCTTGCAATAGAAACAATGCAGGTACTTGGTCTTCTTGAACGACTCTTCTCTTGGATCCTTAAGCCATATCGGGTTGACCTTCCTTGGTGGCGTGCCTTCTGGCTCGCTTGGCTTCTCCTTGCTGTGATCCAACTTTGCCTTCGCTGCTTTCTCTATCGCTTCATCAGTTGCTTCTTTGAACGATGATCTTAGCTTGTGCTTCAAAGCTAACTGCTTCTCTTTCGTATCTGCTGCCTTTCTTTCTTCATCTGTGATTCCTTCCTTGAGGAACTCAGGCACCTTCTTTGGCATTGGCTTTGCCTTTGTTGCTGGCGTTGCTGGGCTTCTTGCCTCGTGTTTTCTTTTGATCGTCGCCATCAACTTTGCTGGAGCAAGTCGCTGCTTTTCTTGATCTGGCTCGGGCCTTGTGTACAGATCTAGGCTTTTAAACTCTTCACTCAGAGCTGACAGTAGCTTGTCTGCTGTCTGCACTACCTCGCCTAGCTTTTGTAAAGCACTTCTCGCATTAACCGTCTTCTCAACATCTCCTCTTGCTGCGACTGCTTCTTCCTCGAGCTCTCGCACTTTCTTCAGCTTTGCTTCGAGCTTTTCTTTCATCTCCTTCTTGAGTTCTTGCTCGTAGTGATCCATCTCTTCTCTAGCTTGCTTGTAAGCTTCTTCAGCCTTTTTCTCGTCTTCTGTCAACGTGGAAACACTCTCGATGTATTCTTGTATATCATCTTCCACTTTTGCTAGAAGTTCCGAGGTCCTTAGGCCGTACCCGGCCGGAAGTCTTGAAACTGGCCGCCTCATCTGCTCTTGCCATGTCACGCACTCCTTCTCCAAGCTTGTGGTTGGCATCCCTCGTCGAATGCTTTCGACGTTCAGCTGCCCCATAACTGTTTCAAAGATAGACATGGTGTCTATATTGAATCCACTTCTTAGGGCTTCTCGTGCCTCGCGGGCTTCTTCATCAGAGGATTGAACTACCGCTTCTTCGGCATCTTTCTTCTCCTCTTTCTCTTTTGGCTTTTCTTCCTGCTTCTCTTCTTCATGCTTCTCTTTTTCTTGCTTCTCTTCTTCTTTCTTCTCTTCTTCTTTCGGCTTCTCTTCTTCTGCCTTGTCTGCAACTTGATCTGCTTCTGCTTTTACTTCTGCTCTTCTTTCCTTGGCTGCTGCTTTCATCTCTTCAAGCTGCTGTAGCTTTTCATCCATGATTTCTCCTTGCTTCCTTATGCCTTCTTGGATGTCCTCAGGTATGCTGACCTTTCTCTGTTCCAACGCTGCGAAGTTAGCTTCCTTTGACTTTTTCAGTCTTTCCGCTTCTTGTGCCAATTCTTCAGCAGTTTTCTTGAAAGTCTCCAAATCTTCTTCTCTTTCTTCTCCCTTCTTTTCTTCCTTTGCTTTCTCATTCTCGTCGTCTTCTGCTGACTCGCTTTCCTTCGACTCATCGGACTCTGGATCCGACGCTGCTTCACTTTCTTCTCTTTTCTTTGGCTGCTCCTCCTTCTCTTCATCAGTTTCCTTGCCTTCACGCTGTTGGTTGAGCACTTGTACTTCTTTCCAGAGGTCATCAGCACTTGGTCTTTGCGATCTCTCTTTCTTAAGTACTCTTCCGAGGTAATTGGTTGCTTCTATGCTTCTGCTTTGCTCTGTAATCATGTACTTGACTGCATCGTCATCGGCCATTGCTCTTGTCCTTTCTTCTTCCTTTTCTTCTTTCTTCAGGACTTCTTTGAATCTCTTGAGCAAAACGGCTGCGCTTGCAACTTTATGCATAATCGCTGCTATGAACATGCACAACAGTATGCAAACTACACTTGCTCTTCCCAGTCCTTGTTCACCTTCTTCACCGAATCTTCTTGCTTCAGTCAACAATAACAACACTGCGGTCGTAACCGTCTGGATAATCCTTGTAATCATCCTTTCATCGAATCTTGCAACACTTCTTGTTCTTGTCCTTCTCACTTCAGCTTCTTGAACTTCTTGAGCACCTGGTGTCAAAAATTCACCTGTGTATCCTAAGCTTAGCATATACTTGCGTATCTTCTCTCGTGTCAGGGATTTGGTCCCTAGGTCTGAGGGATTGTCCTTACCGGCTATCGCCTTTATAATGAGCTTCGGAATTCTTTGGATCCATAAGAGGTCCACTTGTAAATGGCGTGCGCTGCCTAAGCCTTTTCTTGAGATCAACTGTCTTGAGCTTGACGAATCACTGTATAACATCAGTCTTGGTTCAACTCCTAGGATTCTTTTCAGCAATCCTTTCAGGAATACACCTTCGCTTAAGATTGATGTCGCTGCGATTGTCTCAGCTTCGCAAGATGACAATGCTACGCTCTTTTGCCTCTTGCTTTGGAAATGAACCAGGTTTCCATTCACCATGATCACTCCGCATGAAACACTTTGCCTTGACTCTCGATCTGCTGCCCTATCACTGTCGCTTATCACTTCTATGAGCGCTGGCATCTTGTAGTTGTCTCTCTCGACCTTTTCTTCGTTGCTTCTGTTCTTCACTTCCAGAAAACTCTTTCCAGGGTAGCTTTCCTGGTGTACCAACGTAAGTTCAGGCGATCCTTTGAGATACTTTCCAACATACCTTAGCAGCTCCATGTCTGCTTCAACGGGTGATGCGAGCTTCGTTGACAGCTTCTTCAAGACAGACATGATATCTGGCCTCTCGGGCGCGAGATACAGTAATATCCCTACTCCTTTTCTGAACGTGTGGTGATCTTCTGCATTCAATGGTTCCATTCCACCTTCTTTTGTCTGAAATGATCTTCCATTGTCCGCTGGACACGGTAGTTTCTTTGGGTATGCTCCTTCCAGCTTGAGCACTTCTACCAGTCCTTCAATGTACTTTGAATTCATAGTGATCTCTACGTTTCCATCACTCATCGACTTGAAACTTCTCTTCAGGAAACTCATTGATCCTTCCTTCTCATCCAGTGGTCCTTCCACTTTGATCTTCAATCCTTTGCTTCTCAGGAATTCGACCAACTTCTTGAATTCTTCTCTTGATGCGTATAGCTCCATGTCATCTACATGACTCAGCACGATTATTCCGAAGCCTTCTTTGTCTGGTGTTCTTGAGAATAGTGCCGGGAGTCCACTATCACTTGTTAACCCGTACTCTTCCAGGTAACTTTTCAACTTTCCAAACCAAGCTGCACTCCCGATTCGCTGACCGGGCAACGTGAATCCCAGTTCATAGTATTCTCCATCGACTTCAACCACTGTTGGTTCTTCTTGCTCCACCATCAGGTAAGCATCTCCGACATCGATACTTCCAAGTGTATATCCTTCTGAAGACGCGAACAGGGCTGATAGTAGCTTCACTGTGCTTGCTACACCGGTTGGCGAAAACAAACTTGCAATATCTGTATCACCTAACCACTTGAACTCTCTTGCTACCAATCGTCCTCTTCTTCTCCACTCTTTGTCTCTGTGTCTCCAGTCATACACTATCTTTGTCGACAGAAACTTGTACTTTGAAATGTCTGTTCCTTCTGGCAACTTGTTCAGCACTTTCATCTTTTCCAGTCTTTCCAACTCGTGCTTCTTGGACACACCTTCGACTTTCTCCATTTCTTCGTCAGCTAACTTTGGTGGTCCGCTTTCGAAATCATTCGACCATTTTGGCATATCTCCTGGTATCTCTTCTTCACCATCTGATTCTTGCCATTCTTCTTCCTCATCAAACTCAGCTTCCATTTCTTCAAATTCTTCCAACTCGACTTCTTCATCATCGTGATACTGCGGAAGTTCCTTTCTTAGGAATTTAGGAATGGTTCTATCTTCTTCACACTTCTCATGTCGATCAACTCTTCTCACTGAACTTGATGCATCTCCGACGGCAATAAACTTCTCTGGTCTCTCTTCAACTTCCGTCGGTCCTTCATCCACTTTCTGTCTCACCGCTTCTGGCTGCTCGCCTTTTTCCAGGTTCCTCTTTGGCGATGCTGGCGGTGGATTCTCTCCTGTAATTAGCTCATCAGATTCATCACTTCTTTCGCTTCTTCTTCTTGTGACTCCTTTTCCGCGACTGCTTGAACTGCTGCTTGATGATCCAACATGTCCTTCACCTGGATCTTCGTCCATGTCTTGTTCAGTCTCGCTTGGCGGATCTGACGCCGCTTCTTGACTTGGGCTATAATCCTTCAGCTCATCTTCTTGCTCTTGGCTTCTTTCCTTTCTTGGAACAATCTCTGGCTTGTCGCCAATTGCCATCTCGATTCCACTGTGCGGTGGCAATCTCTTCGTTGATTTCCTTCCTACCAACGTATCTTGTGTGTAGTTCCACGGTGTTCCTGTTGCTTCTGCTAGAACTTCAACATCATACAGTGGCGTACACTGTCTTATTGTTCTGCTCTTGATGATTCCTTGTCTTGTGCTTATCAGATGATCAGATTCAGGTTGTTCACCGAGTCTTTCCTTTTCTCCATGCTTCACCTTTTTCCTTGACTTTTGGTACTGGCTTTGCCAATACTACGCTTCCCCATGGTGCTAATGTTCCTTTGTACTCTCTGTCGAATAGCACTTCAAAAGGTGTTGATCCTTTCTTCACAACAAACCTATCCAGCAGGAATGCTGCATGTCTTGCTGCCCATGGATAAAGTGTACTTTCTGAAGTAATCTTCACTTTCGCTTGCGATTCAACTCCATACACCAATGTCTTGGATAAGTTATCCTGTCATTGACCAGCTGCGACGATGAGAGGGATGGGGCCAGGGCGATAAGGCGCTCAGACACTCGCTGCGCAAAGAACAAACTCCAGGTAAAACCCATGGCTAAGGAGGCACCTGCAGGGTAGATCATGTCCTCCGGGGCCAATCGTCGGCCGTTCATCATGGTTCCTGCTAGATTAACAAGACCGGCCGGCACCGGGTCGAAACAGAAGTAATCAGATAGCCAGCGTGGCTGCCTCATGCGGTGGAAGCAGTCCTTGACGTCGGACAAGCCAATCGAAATCTTCTGTTGCTCCAAAAACTCCGCGAACTCCTTCGAGCCGGGTGACAAATGATGAGGCGGCACTAACTCAATCCTCGCGAAGCCATCGGATGTTAGCAGGTCGACTCCCGGTGGTGGTCTAAAGAGTTGGTTGGTGCCACGTGCGTCCACGATCAATCGAAGTCGCACCGCATCACTCTTCTTCACGAAAAAGATCCCACAGAAGGATTTAGGGGTATCGGTGTAGACCAGGAGACCAGCTTTATCAAGCTTGCGAATCAAACGTTTATAAAGACTGTAGTCCCTCCCAAGGAGTGGATCCCAATAAGGCTGAAAGTCCGAGGCGCCTTGAACGTCAGGCTTCAGCATGTGCTGAGGACACTGCAGATATCGACGGGTCTCCTCGTCCGAAAGCGACTCCACCGGGGGGGCGTCGCTAACGTCTTCGGGCAAGGAGATACGCTCGAGTGAGCAGGTCGCCAATGATGTCGGCAGGACAGAGCCGTACTCGGTCCTACCACGGAGCAGCGCCGAAAGGGCTGCCTCCGGCCCTGGCACCTTACCCAGACTACCAACGTCTTGGCAAAGACCAGAGAGATAAGTAACACGATGAAGCACTTCTTGTTGAAGATCATCAGGATAAAAGTTTGAATTCCTCGGTTCTTTGAAACCTGCAAGTTGATTGAGGGCCATCACGGCCTCACGACACCTGCGATTGTCCTGCACTGCAAGCCCGATCTTCTGGGAACTCCTGCGGCTCACCGCCTTCACCCTCCGCACCTCAGGTGGCACAGGCAAAGGAAAGAGATCCCGTCCTCCACTCGCAAAAGCAGGTCGTGCATGCCCAGATTGATGCCGATGACCAGGAGCTCCGGGCCCGCTCCCGGCCATGTCCGAATCACTGGCCATCCGGGGCCGCCAGCCCTCGGCCCTTGCCCTTACCGGCCTTCACCTTGGCTGTTGCCCCCCACTAGGGAGTACCCCCTCGGCGACCGCATCAGCCGCCGCACTCTCGGTAACCTGGAGACCGCGCCGGTGATCACGAACTCGGGCTCGGGAAGCTGCAAGGTCAACCTCCTCTTTATTCTTTCTCGCGGCCCAAGAGCGTAGGGAAGGAGAAATAGCATCATCAGCTCCACGATACCCGGTGATGACTCTCGCACTGCTCCAATCTGGATTGCCCGGGGTCCCGGCCGCAAATGAGTCCACTATTGCCTGGAATCTTCGTGAAATGATCTCCATGCTGGCCAGTGCGGGGATGTTCACTTGGTCGTAACAGCCTGCGACGTACAAGCAGTCCACCAAGGTTCGCATTTCAAAAGCAACACGGTCGCCTTCTCCGACCTGCTTGGCTCGCATCCATTCACTGAGCCACCGCTTTGGATCTCCACCGAACTTGTCAAAATGACGAATCAAGTGAGCCGTGGACAGCGGCCCGTCAAGGGGCCAGTCCTCAAAGGCGTGGCGTAGTCCTTCGCCTCCAAGGCAAGTTGTTTCCAATCTTTGTGGCGCTCTCCTGCAGCGTTGTAATCTACCTCGAGCACACGAGCATCCAGAGAGTCGGAACTGGCTTTATCCCCACTCGAACCCAAGGCGTCTTTGGACGAAGATTCGTCCCCTCTCTTCTCCCAATCGAAGGCACTGCTCCCTTGCCGATGGTTCTTGAAGGCCTCTCCCGGGACTCTCCCGCTTCAGAAGTCTGGACCAGGTAAACGGGCATCCAACCCCCGGTCTCCTGATGGATCACCCCAACATTGTCGTCGAACATCACACCCTTGCCCGGCTCAACGGCTACCTCAAAGGCCTCCGGCTTGGCGCAGTTTAGACCAGGACGGAAAGCCGCCCACATGTATCCGTCCGGAGCTGCCTTGAGCTCACCGATCTGCTCGACCAAGGCTCCTGTCAGGTGTCCAAAAGCCATGCCGGGGTCCCTGGCTGGCTCTTCCAAGACTCCCAGTCCCCGCGTGACACGGCGGGGCACGAAACGCCGGCCTAGCATGACCGAGGTGGCCACCACACGCCTGCCGACCTTCACTTCCTTTGGCCTCCAAGCGTCCTTGGCAACTGTCTCTATTCCCATCTCATCAAGCGCAGTTTCGATATATCCTCTCATCTCATCATCCGTTGGGTCTGCAGAAAACTTATACACAGGGGCTCGCATTCTCGAGTAGACAGTGAAGTGGGTCCCTTTGATCTTAAACTCAGCAGGCCCTTCCCTTCCATCCAGCGCATAGCTTTGCTCGTACAGATCCAAGTCGGGAGTGAGGATGTACCAACCGTGCTCGGACAGTCCTTTCCACACCAGGATTCGCTCGTGCCATGTGTCGTCGTCGGAGTACCAATCAAGTATCCGATCCCCTGGCTGGCATGATAGTAACTCCTCTGGTCTGCCTACGAGGGCTGACATGATAATCGTAAGTTTTGCGCCTATGGACCAGGCACAGCACGATCAACAAGAAACTAGATGTCAGGGCTGCGCGGACCAACCAAATTGGAATCTGATTGCACTCGCAGATGCAGCTGCACTGAACCTCAGTCTGGGTGGTGGCCTGATCGACTCGCGACTCCTTCAGCCCCACCTCGGTGCGACAAACCTCTCGATCCTCCTCCAGGCTGGAGTGGCAGGCCCATAAGAGGTCTCCAAGGCTAGCGACTGAAATAGAGCTGATATCGAGGCTATTGAGTATGACGTACTCCGTGAATTGTCTGCAGGCGGACAAGTAGGTCTCCAGCGTGCCTGCTGTGAAAGGGTGTATGCTCTGTGCTAGCAGCTGCTGAGAATATTTGGCCTCTTGAAGGCTGCGATAGAGGTCCGCCGAGTCGCCCAGGAGCTGCTTCCATTGATCAAGGGCCTTGGCTTTCCCGGAGGCCTCCTGGCCCTTCCTCGTGACCTGAGCGGGCCGCCCGTCGGCTTGCACCGGTGGCATCATCTCGGGCAGGTGAGGCTGTCGAACCGAGGTTGGAGCCGAGGCTGGCCTCGAAGGCAGGTCTTGCACGTGGAACCTAGGTTCCCTTGGCCGGTGAGAGGAAGGCTGCGGCCGTTGTGGCTGCACATACTGGAGGCTTCTCGGCGGTGGGCGTAGAAGAGGCTTGCTGACAGGATGGCTGGGTCCCAAGAGACTTGCGCGCCAGCTGGGTTGAGGCCCCGGCGGGCGAGCTAGTCCCCCTTTGCTGAGGGCAGGCGGAAACCGAGGGCGCCTTGGCAGTCCTAAGGGCATGTGCACTCGCATGGACGCAGGTCTGATAAGGCTGTGAACGGAGAAAGGCGGTACCGGGCGCACCCTTGGAGGCATGGCTGGACGGGGAAGGCCCGGTTGAGCTTTGGGTGCCGTCTGCAGGGGTAGGAGCGCCAGGGCCTCGGTTCCTGGCGGAATAGGGTTGACTGTTGAAGCGAAGGAGGCAGCGGAATCTTTGCGAAATCTTCTCACCACAACGACTGTCCCGGCTGCGGCTCCTGCTGCGACCTGGCTGAGAAACCTCGGGCTGGTCGTCGTCTGGGTGGAGAAGGCCCGAGAGCGCTCAGAGGGGTGCCTGTGCGCTGAGCATCGCTGTGAACGCTGTTGACTGGGCTCCATCACTCGAGGCCGCTAAAATCCCCTTGATCTGTATCTGGATCCATAGTGGGCTGACCGAAGGCTAAGCAATGGATCATGCATCCGCGAACGACGTGCAAAGCTAGGCTCGCTGCTCCAGAGGCTGGTGGTCCTGCAAGGCAAGGCGTGACAGCACAGAAAAGACAAGCGGGGTCGGCTAGCAGGTCATGAGAGCATTCGCACTTTTATGTGGGCCGACGGTTGCCGTCTCGCGGCTGGGGCGCCGCCTACCGCCCGAGCCTCCAGGAGGACTTATACGGCTAGGCTAGAGTCCGGCGGACAAGAACCGCGAAAAGGCTGTTGAAGGCTGCTAAGGCAAAAAGGCTACTTGGTAGAGGCTTGCGGGGGCACGGCTGAAAACCATTCAAAAGGGCTGCGACCAAGGTCTGTGAATTCTTTACAGCGCGAGCACTGGTGGCCCGAATGCTTGTCGTCGTGCTCAACCGTATTAGGGTTGAGTTCACGACCGCAGGCTGAATGGAAAGGGCAGAAAGGCACGGTTGAGCAGGGAAGGCCGCAACGCATCTCACCACGGCTGCCCATGTAGTACACGCGGGCAAAGGCTGGGTCCAGCTCGTACGTGTGAGGCAGCGTAAGGCTGGGAAGCATAATGCAGTTGCGCATGTTCGGGCAAGGCAGTCTTGGCAAGGCGAGGGCTGGCGGCTTGTAGAGGTAAGGCTCCGACGGAGGGTCAATGGTGATCTGCTTGCGGCGATCCACCAAGGCTTCTGGAAGACGTTTCACATCTTGAAGGCAGAGGGGCGGGATTGATTGCTTCCCCATCTTGCAAGGATTGTTCTTCCCCATGGCACCGTAGTGCCAATAGCGAAGCACCCCTGTATCGGCTGAAAACCACCCTGGGAGTGGCTGCAAGGCTCGAGGTCCTCGTGGTCGGCTTCCGGCGAAGCCTCCTGTTCCTGGCTAGGTTGCGTCGATCTGCGAAGGCGGAGGGTCTTGTGGTCCTGGCTCGACCGTGTAGAAGTAGGACTCCATATCGATCTCCACGGCTGCTGCTGGAGGCTCGCCGCCAAAGAAATTGATCCAGGTGCGGCAATCCCAGATAACCTAGGACCGGCATATTTGGGCTGGTGCTCGGCTGGGAGGAATTCCGGCTTGAAGAAGACGCCTTCCCTGGTTTGGCTGTGCAAGGCTGAGTGGGGAGCCGAGCCGGGTCCGAACTGCTGGAGGCCGGCTCCTGGGCAGGTGGCGGGCTGGCTGCGGTGAAGGCTCCTTGGGCTTAGGCGGCGGCGATTGCTGCACCTGCGGTTGGCGTGTCCGGAGATTGGGCTTTGGCTGAGTCCGGCAGAAATGTCTCCTCCGCCCACGACTTCCAGTTCTGCGCAACTTTGGGGGGGCGCTTCTGTTGTGGTGGGGCTGGGAAGGCTTGGATGCAGGCGGCTGCTTCAAAGGCGGAGGGATAGCCCCACCGGCACCGCCTTGATTGGTGGAGGGTCGGCCTTGGCGTGGGGCATGGGCGAAGTGTCCGCTTCCTGGCTGGGGGGTGTATTGGGGAAAGAAGGGAAAAAGCTGGCTGGAGGCGGGCTGACTGTAAATCTGTCGGCTGTCAAATGGGCTCCTGATTCCCTGGCCACCCCAGGTCGGGTCGCTTAATCAGTTGCCAGAGCTCGTGGCGGTTGATAGGCTTGGTCTGGGCTTCAGGGTCAAAGAAAAGCAGTGGAAAAAGTTGCTGGTGTGTGGCTGCAGTGAGGATGGGAGGCATGGGTATCAGTTCACCCATCATGGAATAGAGGCCTTCTTGGGGCTCGGCGTGGAAGGCTGTAGAGGAAGAAGGCTCTTGCATAGGCAGGTATTCTCCTTCGGCCTCAATGGGCTGCTCTGTAACGGCTGTTGCAGTGGCCGCAGCCGCGGAGGCTGACGGCTGGGAAGGCTGAGCCATGTCGGCTTCCTCAAGGTCCTCCATGTCCTGACGTGGGACGTAGTCAAAACAAGCTGGAGCCTGTATAACATCCGTCCTGTGCGTGGTAAAAGGCTTCCTGGTTCTGGTAGATAAGAAGGCTACGCGGGGGAAGGCCAGAACAATTACCGGAAGGCCGAGCATCATCCTGTACGGCTGTGTCGGCTGCTGCCTGCGCGGAGGCGGAATGGCTCTGAGCTTTGCCAGCTCGTCTGGAGGCAACGTCTTAAGCCAGTCGGCAAGGGGGTTGTGGTCTGACGCCATGGCTTCGGCTGAGGCAGAAGCTCCCATAGGCGCTGTAATTGAAATTGCTGAGGGGATGGCAATATGCAGAACAAATCAAAAGGCTATGCGAGGCAACAGAAGGCAAGGGTCCTGTGAGGTGCCGCCGCCAGCTGGCTCGGGGCCTGGCCAAGACAGAAGTAGCTAAGGCACCTGGCGAAGAGTAGGACCGGGCCTGGAAAAAGGCGGAACCTGAGTTCAGATCAGTCAGCCACTCCATGGTGAATGTCGCAGAGGCCGGTCGGCAAAGTTTTTTCGGCAAGGCTTTCGCAGGCTAGGCTTCAGGGTCTCCTTCGGAGTCCAGTAAGGCTGACGGTCCTTGATATTGGCACGCATCAACGGCTACCTCAGTGAAGTAGGCTGCTATGGGAGGGAAGGCTTGTTGCAAGGTCAGCAGCAGACCGGCCAACCTGGCATATACCTAATCAAGGCGAATCTTGACGGCATCGATCTTGGCTCTGATGAACACGCAAGGCGAAAGAAGGCAGCGAAGGCGCGGCTGTTCATGGGCTCGACGGCTGTGATGCCACAAGGCTTGTTGGGCCCCTCGGCGGTCGGCTTCCAAGATACCGACGCGCGCCTCCAGGGAGCGAAGCCTGTCGACTACGGACTGCAAGGTTGGCTCTTCGGTGGGCTCCTGGCTAAAGTCTTGGGTAGAAGGCTGGGGCTGCACCGCTTCGTAAGCCGAGCTGGTATCCGGGTCGAAGGCTAGGGGACCTGAAAGGCCCGCATTCATGCAGGGCAGGGCTATTGGCAGAGAGCGTTGTGCACGCTGGTCTTGGCGGCGGGGCTGCTGGCGCCCCTTCATGGTGTCTCTCAGCCGAGAAAGCTGCATATGCGAGGCTGGGACCAGTAGCTGAAGGTGCCAGCGAGGCCCGGGCTCGTGGCAGGCGAGAGAATCATGAAGAACCTGAGAAATCGGCTGAATCGGGCTGTCCATAAACTGAAGAAGAGCTGAAGGCCGGTGATGCAGGGGCCGGCTCTGAGGGCATTGGTCCTGACACAGCAAGGTGAGGCTTAACTTGGAGTTTCTCTGGTCTCCTTGCAGATTAAGATATCCTCAGATACGAGAGGAATCGAATATGTAGAAAGATGTATATGGAAAATTTTTTCAATCTCCAATCACAGGAATAATCAGTCCAGCAATCTATATCGTATTGCAAAAGAGGAATGGCTTCACTCGGACGGGACTTCTTTTTGTTCTCCGTTGCAACGGGGGTTCTGCTACCGGGTTGATGGCGAGAGTGGGCGAGCACAACCCCTCCGAAGTAAGGCAAGAGCAGCCAAACTGATCAACGGCTAATGCAGCCGAACAGAGCAGCCATCTTCCCCCCAGTCTCACAAAAACCGTATTGAAACTATGTCGGGCGGGTGGGTGGTCGAAAATTTTTGGCAAACTCAGCCTTGAACACACCGCCGGGTGACATGATTCAAAATCGCACAAGCATCTACCGGAGCATCATGTGGGAAATCGTGATGCAAAATACAGCATCAAAAGAAAAAGCGATGCGAAATACAGCATCAAACCACATGAGAAACGGAATCTGTTAAAGATCACGGAAGCTAAAACTGTGGTTAAAACAAAGTCGGAGGAAAACTGCAAGTGCGCTTCGCCTTTGGCTTCGCTAGACCAGGATAAACATAACTGCGCTTCGCTCCGTGGGACGTTTCTCTGGTCTCCTTGCAGATTAAGATATCCTCAGGTACGAGAGGAATCGAATATGTAGAAAGATGTACATGGTCAATTTTTTCAAGTTCCAATCACAGGAATAATCAGTCCAGCAATCTATATCGTATTGCAAAAGAGGAATGGCTTCACTCGGACGGGACTTCTTTTTGTTCTCCGTTGCAACGGGGGTTCTGCTACCGGGTTGATGGCGAGAGTGGGCGAGCACAACCCCTCCGAAGTAAGGCAAGAGCAGCCAAACTGATCAACGGCTAATGCAGCCGAACAGAGCAGCCATCTTCCCCCGGCCCCGCGATCGGAGGATGCATCAATGATCACTGCAGCACTTCTTGTGCCCAATCGGCTTCCAGCCTCGCCGACGAAAGGATTGCCTGGGCCAGCTTCGGCTCGTAATGGGGAGCACGAATGAAGTCCAACATCGTATCGGTGGCTGCCACATCACCCTTGTTTATGGCCTGAAACCGTTCGCAAGCCTCGGCAAACTGTCCCCGCGACGGAAGGTCCGCCGGGTTACTCTTTGAGGGGACCCGCTCAAACCACATAAGCGCCTCCATGGAGCTCTCCATTAAGGCCCCCAGGGAGATGAGGCGCATCAGCGAGGCTGAGGGCGAGTATCGCTTCACGAATCCATAAAGGCAGGCATTGTTGTCAATCCAAGCTAGGACCGAGCGACCTTTCAAGAGGCCGCGAATCCCGAACAGGGTTATGGCCAGAGCGTAGGCCTCAACCTGGCAAATCACTTGGGCCCCAGCCTCCTTGCCCCAGTGATTCATCAGCGGTTTGCAAACTTCTCCCCCGAAAACCCATCGGGAGCCTGTGTAAGCATCAACAAGAACCGCGCCCCAGGTTCCTCGCCCTTTCTCGAAGGCCCCATCCGTGTAGAGCACAATCGGTGGCAGGATTGTTGCCGGGCATCGCTTTGGCCTGCACTGCGCGATGACATCCAGAGCTAACTCACAAGCTTGCCGAAGTTCGGGCGTGTTGCCCTGGAAAGGTCCTGACAAAGCCCGTGTCAGCATTCGAGAAGTAGGCTTCAGCTCGAAGCCCATAATCAGTCCTCCGGCGAAGTTAATCAAGCCATGAAGCGAAGCCACGTCACTTCTCGTCACGGCTCCACCCTGGGCCACTGTCCGGAGGAGTGCTGCAATTTTCTCGAGTCGTCCAGCTTTGTTCTCAACCTTGAGAGTGCCGGCCTCCCCATATCTCGTCAAGGCCCAAAGAAACACCCAAGGAGACCACCTTGCCGTCAAAAGGCACAAACTTCCGCCCAGACTTCGCGTAGGTCCACCCTAGCAGGTCCAGCAGCCTCATCAGGACCTTGTCCAGCAAGAAAGCAGCTGGGCGAAATTCATATACAGTGTAGTCGTCGTAAAAGTCGGTCGCGATTGCAGCGAACTTGACAACCATGATGTGAAGAATCGCAAGTGCTACTTTGTTGAACCCATACACGCTTGCAGCAGCTCCAAAAGGCAGGCTCTGGGCTATGTAAAATTCCCACTTGCCTTGTGGGTCGGGGAAGCCAAGGACAGCGTGCTCCCGCGTGGAAGGATGGATGCTCACCTGGCGATAGGCCTTACTCAAGTCCAGCGTCTTACCGAGCAGAGCGGGCTGGCGGAGCATCTCAGGATCCCAGTCTCCCTCGAGCACGGTGCCATCAGACAAGGGGACCCGGACCTTGGAGCGATCCTGCAGCACACGGGAAAGGAACCTCAGGAGGCCGACCGCGTAATCCGTATCCTGAAGCTCTAGGAAAGACGAGGAACCAAAGGCCCTGTTAACCGCCGACATTTTAAAGTCGTCAATTATCCTTATCTTGGCGTCTTCGCCCTGCCTCAACAGGAAACGAGGCGAGAGCGACCAAGCATCGGTCTTCAAGATGTCGCTGACTTCCTGCTCCGAGTGGTATGGACCCGTGAGGAAACCCGCTGCCAGTTCCTCGGAAGTCTCATCTTTCATCGCCTTGTAATCCTGCTCGGAAGTAAGCCCTTTCATCTTTAGCAATGCACGCCGCCGCAGGAGGGCCTGGGCTTTGAGCTGATCTGGCTCGAGGTCCTTAGGCTTCGGCCGCTTTGCAAACAGGGGGGACTCGGCTTCTTGACCAACCAATCGCACACCATCGGTAAGGAGGTCAACCACTGACATGTCGGGTTTCCCAACAATGCTAGGGCCTTGCCTTTGGTGACTCGCTCCACATCCGGATGCATCTTGGCTCGAAGCTCTTTCTCAGCGGCAGACAGCACCGCCATCCGGTCATTCAAGGATTTCAGTTCAAGCATCCGCCGCTTGGACACAGCTACAGGGCCTTCCGTGAGAATGGCAAAGATGTTGCGGCGCACAGCATCGGGCAAACGAATGCTATTGTCGGCTGGGCTGGGCAGCCCACATGCACGATGCAGGTGCTCCTCCATGGAGAAATACACACCTGCCAGGTCCCCGGCCTTACCGTCTCTTTGCGTCCGGATCCTTTTGGAGGGATTCGGCTCGTCGGAAGGATTCGGCTCATCATTATCCCCCGTTCTAGAGCCGCGGCTTTGGGAGAGGACTTTGTAATCAGCTCCAGTCGGCACTTGGGACAGAGGAACCCTAACCCGAAACTCAGGGATTAAGGGTGGCATATATGTGGGCTGATTGGCCGCCGCCGCTCGCACCTGAGCTCGAAGTTGGCGGCTATGCAGGAAGTCGACTTTCTGGGCCAGTAATCCTCGGCAGGTGGCGGTGGCGGAACGACAAAGTGTCTGGCACAGCTCAGCGGGCAGCGAAGCATCACTGAAGCTCCCAGCCGTAGAAGAACGAACCCAAGGCAGATGCTTATGGGACTTATCACAGGAACGACTGAGGCCTGGGAAAGATGAAGAGTCAGCTCGGACCCGCAGCGACGTCAAGAAGGGGGCACCGAACATGCAGGTGTCAAGCTCCTGATCGGCCAAAGCGAAGAACCATTGCAGAAAACCTTGATGCCGCCTCCGCTTGACAAAGTGGGCCAGGAGGCTCCAAACCCAGCTCCGGGCTGGACCGATCAGGCTGACGAGGGCCCGAGTTTCGTAAGCTCTGAACAGCAGGTCGACCACTGCTTGCGCCAAGCTGTTGTCACGCTGCAGCAGGGAAGTGGCACTGGCGGGAAGTCCGTCCCGCCCTAGCAAGTGAGAGGCATCACGAAGGCTCAAGCGGCCTTTGGAATCACGCCCCTGATTGCAAGATGTCAAGAACAGATTGAAATGCCACCAGTCGACCAAAGTGTTGCGATCAAAGTCAAGCAAAGCTTGCAGATCATCGGCTGTGGAGAGGTCAATCGGTACTCGCGGGCAGAGCTCAGGGGCACCACCTTTGTGGCCCAGGGACAAGGCATCCCATCCAGCTTGCATGGCGGCTGCCGACAAGGATCCCGCCACCGCGAGGCAATCAGCGAGCAAAGGAGGACGAGGGACCGGAGAGGGGCCCTGTTTAGTCAGGGAGTTGCAGCCCTCAGAGGTCCCGGACGAGTTGGAGGCACCACGGGGCTGACTTGCACCCTGATCTGGGCAAGGCGGCGATTGATTCTCGGCGAGTATTGAAGGGACCTGAACAAATCCCTGAGGCCCGGGCGCTGTTAAGGCCGGGGCTGGCACTTTCACGGGGAGAACCTGCCTCATTTGAACCGGGATTGAAAGCTGTTGCGAGGCGCAGGCCTCTGTTGAAGCTAGCTGCGAGGCACTGGGCAACGGGAAGCCCAAATCGAGCAAGATGCGTCTGTCGGCTCCGGAGACGCCCTCCGGCCTGCAAGGCAAAAAGCACCAAGACGACCCGGCGCCCAGTGGCTGGCAAAGTGCAATGTTCGTACTCTCTTGCACAAAACGTAACGGGCCCGCGAGACACTTGCAAATCCACGGTCCGACCTGGCTCGCTTACCCGGACAGCTCCTCCTTGGAAAACAGTCAAAGGAATCACATAATTCGGAGAAAAGGAGTTCTGGCTGTCTCGGTGTGGCCGAGTACGCACCTGGTCAAAAATGGCAAAACTCGTGTAAACGGCACCTTCAAGCAAAGAGGCTACAAACCTGTTCACCACTCGCACCGTCTGTGGAAAAAGCCTGCAAGCCTTGCGAAGGCTCACCTTAACCCGAGAGTACATCCCTGCCGAAAATGAGCGCCCCTCGGCGTCTCGGTCACACTGCTCGTGCGGCAAGGCATCAAAAAGCCTCGTCACCTGTGCAGCGGTAACAGGCGTGCTCTGAGCTAAGATTTGCTTGGCTAAAGCTTCAGGCGAATGCGGGGATAGTCAATGCTGGCATTCAGTGTAGGGCCGTTCTGCCCCGCACCCCTTGAAATTGCACACATGCTTGCCAAAGCGGCACGACTTGCGCTTCTGGAACCGACAGATCCCCTTGTTGAAGAATGGGCAGCAATGACTCAAGCAGCTCCTTCAAGGATGGTTGCGAGGAGGCGTCAGCCTGGGCTTGGCTCTGATTCTGCTTCCCTTTGCCGCGGCCCTTGCCCTTGGTCCCCTTCTCACCTCCTTGATTGCCTTTGTTGGGTCCCTTGGGCTTCCACGGTTGGCCCTGGTTCTCGGCAGGCTTGGGAGGTGTGTCAAGCAGGACATCACGAACTGATTGTTTGCGGCCGCGGCTATGTGCTTGTCAAGAGGAGCAGGGGCTCCGACTCCGATGACGATGTCGCCTCGGCTCTCCTGGGCCACGACCTGCCAAAGCTTCTGGTCAGCTGCGAGAAGCTGCTGAACGGTAGTGTAGCGATAGCCCGCGGGAGGCACATCAAGCAGAGCCTGGAACATGCGGTTGTGCCAAGCTTCCATTGCGGTGAATGAAGCTAGCCCTACCTGGTCGAACGCTAAAGCTCGGCGGAGGAAGCACCGGCGAAGCTTGAGCTCACCGGTCGTCTCGCACCTGAGATTGGAGGCTTGCTTTGTGATTTTGATGTTGCCATCGGCCCCCAAAGATAGCTTCTGCTCGGACTTGTCACCCAGGATCTCGTCATGGCGGGAGATGCATTTCTCAGGAGCAATATGCAGCACTTGTGCAGAATCCAGCATGGCTTGGACCCGGTCCACGAGGCCGTGTCCCGGTTCTGTGTGGATATCCATCTCGAGGCCTTTGAGCTCGCCCCTTTGGCGTTTCAAGCGTGTCAGGCGTTCTGCCAACGGAAGCTCGCGGGGGCTCGTATCACTTGTTCTCGAAGCCCTCGATTCTAAGTCAACCAGGGCGTGGGCGTGGCTCTCATACCACAATCGCCTGATCACCATATGTTGTTCCACTGGAACCTCACTCCCAAGCAGAGTCTTCAGGGCTTCGAAGAGAGGAGTGTCATCCCCGCTGGAAGGTTTGCTCGAGCACACGAAAGCGAGCTTGCCGTAGGTGTTCAAGTTCTTGGCGATGAGCTTGTTCAGAAGTTCCTCGCTGATGCCGATCTGCTTTGCTCGATCGGTGAAGGCGGGCACCGATTCAAGTCCGGCCATGAGACCTGGGCAGGTGAGGATACAGGTTTCGAGGTCTCACCCACGGCGAAGTCAACCGTGGGTCGCGTTTGTCTCGGATTCACACTTCTTTGCCACCGATCTCAGGCGGCCTTCGGGAACCGGCGATCTCAGCCGGCCTCGCCCCAATCGTTTTTCATAACTCAGGCCGGCGAAGGCAGCCGACCACGGGGGTTTGCAATCCCAAGGCCCCCAATCAAACTCCCGCTAAGTTCAAGCCTGGGTGCTCACCAGGCCGCGCGGGAGACTCGCCCCAGTTTGGCAACTCCCAGCCAAAAGACTGCGGACACTTCTCAGTCCGCTTTCGTGCTCCGAAGCAAGAAACACTCCAACTGACCTCAATCGGCCCGAGTACCTTCATCTCAAGTGGCACAGGCACGACGTCGCAAATCAGCAATCGATCAACTGAGCACATCCTCTTTTCTTCAAGCCGCGCACTGCTGGCAGACATTCTCCTGAGCCTCCTCGGGCCCCATCAATCGCATGTTCGCAGTGACCTTCCTACCGCACTTAAAAATACCGGGGTTGACCAGCTTATGCACCACTCCACTCAAGACGTGCATGTAGGTCTCTCCCGAAAAAGTGCAGCTCAGCCGAGGACGGACCTCCTCCGGGGCCGGGGCCCCCAGGTCCGCTTCGAGGCCGTCGAGGTTTGTTATGTCAGACCCGGCCTCGGAGATATTCTCTTCTTGAGGCTCTTCGGCTGGTAAATCCTCGGCCACCGTCTCTGGAAGATGTTCAAAATCGGACGGATCGCCATGCAGGGCTCTGGCAACCCTCTCAGCTCGCGGGAGGTCGGGACTGAGCACCCCCCTACTCACAGCACTCACGACCTTGGCTACCTTCACGATGATCTCTGCAAGCGCATCTCTCGAGTACAGGAGAGCCATGCCGTGCTTTGGGCTGCAATGGTGCCCCTGGGTGAGGCGCTCCTCGTAGGTCATGGTCCCGCTCTTGGCCGTCCAGGACAAGGCTGTTGCTTTCAGGCTGTGCGAGCTGTACTGTTCAAGATCCCCCGCGAAACCCTGCAAGTGCAAAAACTCACGAAGCCACAAGGAACCTTCCGCAGCCGTCATGGCCCTTCCCAGAAAGTTCCCTCCCGGCGACATGGCCGGCATGATTACGGAACAGTCCGGTAGCCCTGCCAGGGCCCTCTTGCGCATCCAGACACGTCCCCATGAGGGCTGAGTAAGGCCGCTGCCCAGTGCAATCAAAGGCAACACGGTATCCTTTCGGTCCTTGGCCTTCGTCTTGTAATGCTTTGTCGAACACTCAAGAAGGACAAGCCCGTTACCTGCCACGTCAATGCACAAGTGGGTCCCTCGAGCCGCATCCGACCATCGAGCCGAGGAGTAGAGGCAGAAGAGAATGAACCCTGCTATGCTAGCCCTGGCATAATCCTCGGAGTCGTGGACGAATTCTTCCAAGAGCCGCACTGCCTCCACCGGAAGGGGCGGTGCTTGCCAGAGCGGCCGTTTGGCCATGGACATCGCCTTGGCTGCTCCCTGCACACGAGGGGAAATCCTGGAGCCTTGCGCAGCCCCTGTCAAGTGCACAAAGAACTTGTAGGCCTTGAGAAAAGACTCGCCGGCAGTGGCTCCTGCTTTCTCTCGTCGCAAGCATATAAGCGTACAACTCGCCCTCGGAAGGCGCCAGAGGGCGCCCTTTGCTAGCTACGATCCACTTGGCAAACCTGGAGAAGTCTGATGCCCGCTTCAACAATGTGCTGGCTGCTCTGCCGGAGAAAGTGTCCTCGATAATCGAGGTCAGCATGGCTTCTTCCACCAGGGAGCCTGCAGAGCCCAAGAGGTTCCTTCCGAGCTCCGAATCATCGGGAAAGAAAAGCACGATAAGCCGGATCTTCTTTAGTGCAGTAAGCCTAAGCATGTCATCGCTTTTGGCAAACCTGGCTGCAAGAAGTCGCCTAGCCTCATAAGTTCCTTTGGGTACCCAGGCCCACGGCCCTGCTGCAGGGGCGGGAATCGCCGCCCTCCTCAGACCATCGAAACGACCCAGCATTGGCTCCTGGAACATGAAGCTGGGCCCCAACCTGGGCCTCATCACCCTTTCCCACGGCATCGCCAGACGAGAGTGCCTTGCAAGAATGAAACCTGAGTTCATTGCATACCAATCACCGGCGCTGCCGCCGAAGGCGGTAAAACCTGCAAGCTGCTGTTCTAATAGGTCCGCAGTCGGGTCGTCGTCAGGAGGAAGCTGCATGTCCTCGCGAGACATCAGGCTCCCCAGCTGTTCCTCGGTAAGATCATCACCCTCGGCAGGGCTGCTCATGAAAGCTGCCAAGGGACTCTGCACGGGTGAGCTCTCATGCACAGCCAAGTTTGGTGAAATTGGGCTGGCAGGTATGGCAGGCAGAGGCACTTGCTGGCCCGATTCGACAGACGGGGCGACTGCCCCCACAGCCGGATAAAAAGCTTCAGCACTCATCCCCCGCAAAAGAAGCTTATAACTCAGTAGGAGCGAAACACCTGATGAAAGCGTTGCACAAGTCTCGGCAACGACCTCAGGCGGAGGGAATGCTGTTACCGTTCCGCGCCCTGGCCTTCAGGGCGTGGCGAAAGTCCATCCGAACCCCAGCGGGGCTCTTGCACGACGCTCTAAGAGCAACACCATACAGAGGACTCGGGCCTGTTAGAAGCAGGACTACAAGCCTCTAGAGAGCCCTCGAAAAATTTTGGCAAACTCAGCCTTGAACACACCGCCGGGTGACATGATTCAAAATCGCACAAGCATCTACCGGAGCATCATGTGGGAAATCGTGATGCAAAATACAGCATCAAAAGAAAAAGCGATGCGAAATACAGCATCAAACCACATGAGAAACGGAATCTGTTAAAGATCACGGAAGCTAAAACTGTGGTTAAAACAAAGTCGGAGGAAAACTGCAAGTGCGCTTCGCCTTTGGCTTCGCTAGACCAGGATAAACATAACTGCGCTTCGCTCCGTGGGACAGCATGAAGGGCACCGTAGGCCAGCCCTGACCAGCATTTTGGCGCAGGCAAATACCGGTTTTGGCGGCTGAGGTGCTGGCCTGGGCTCGAAGAAACCTGGAGGGGCCGACCGGAGCAGTAAGGCGAGTTGCAGAAAAGGGCTCATTGAAGGCTTAAGGTGCCTGCTGGGCTTGACTGGCTTCCGGGAGGGAGGGGAAACCCATCAAAAAAAACTTTTTTCAATCAAAAAAAACTTTCAACGAAAATCAAAAAAAAACTTTTTCACCAATCAAAAAAAACTTTTTTCCAATCAAAAAAAACTTTCTCCATGTGTAGTAGTAGTAGTAGTAGTAGTAGTAGTAGTAGTAGTAGTAGTAGTAGTAGTAGTAGTAGTAGTAGTAGTAGTAGTAGTACTAGTAGTAGTAGTAGTAGTAGTAGTAGTAGTAGTAGTAGTAGTAGTCGCGTCGGAGTACTAGTAGTCGTAGTCGTAGTTAGTAGTCGTAGTCGATTACTCGTTAGTAGTAGTAGTAGTCGTAGTAGTAGTAGGTATAATTTACTAGTAGTAATAGTAGTAGTAGTCGTTAGTGTAGTAGTAGGTATAGTAGTAGCAGTTAGCTAGTTAGCAGTAGCCGTAGGAGGAGTAGTAGTGTCGTCGTAGTAGTAGTAATAGTAATCGTACTAGTACTAGTACTAGTAGTAGTAGTAGTAGTAGTAGTAGTAAAGTAATAGTAGTAGTAGTAGTAGTAGTCGTAGTAGTAGTAATAGTTAGTAGTTAGTGGTAGTAGTGTAGTACTAGTACTTAGTAGTTATAGTTAATAGTAATAGTAATAGTAATAATAATAGTAATAGTAATAGTAATAATAATAGTAATAGTAATAGTAATAGTAATAATAATAGTAATAATAATAGTAATAGTAATAGTAATAATCATAGTAATAGTAATAGTAATAGTAATAGTAATAATAATAGTAATAGTAATAATAATAGTAATAGTAATAGTAATAGCAATAGTAATAGTAATAGTAATAGTAAGAGTAAGAGTAATAGTAATAGTAATAGTAAGAATAAGAGTAATAGTAATAGTAATAATAATAGTAATAGTAATAGTAATAGTAATAGTAATAGTAATAGTAATAGTAATAATAGTAGTAGTAGTAGTAGCAATAGCAGTAGTAGTAGTAGTAATAGTAGTAGTAGTAGTAGTAGTAGTAGTAATAGTACGAGTAGTAGTAGTACTAGTAGTAGTAGTAGTAGTAGTAGTAGTAATAGTAGTAGTAGTAGTAGTAGTAGTAGTAGTAGTAGTAGTAGTAGTAGTAGTAGTAGTAGTGTATAGTAGTAGTAGTAGTAGTAGTAGTAGTAGTAGTAGTAGTAGTAGTAGTAGTAGTAGTAGTAGTAGTAGTAGTGTATAGTAGTAGTAGTAGTAGTAGTAGTAGTAGTAGTAGTAGTAGTAGTAGTAGTAGTAGTAGTCAGTAGTAGTAGTAGTAGTAGGAGTAGTAGTAGTAGTAGTAGTAGTAGTACTAGTAGGAGTAGGTAGTAGTAGTAGGAGTAGGTAGTAGTAGTAGTCAGTTAGTAGTATAGTTAGTAGTAATAGTATAGTAATTGTGTAGTAGTAGTAGTAGTCGTCGTAGTAGTAGTAGTAGTAGTAGTAGCCGTAGAAGTAGTCACAGTAGTAGTCGTTGTTGTAGTCGTACCAGTGGTCCTAGTAGTCGTAGTAGTAGGTTTCGGGGTATTGGGTTTGGGGCTGAAGGTATTGTGGGCTGAACTAGCAGGTCTTCAGGGTCATGTTGCGCAGAACCTCCGTGGTAGTAGTAGTAGTAGTAGTAGTAGCAGTAGTAGTAGTTGTTGTTGTTGTACTAATAGTATAGTTAAATCATGGCGAAGCGTAGGGCCAGGTGGCAGCTCTGCAGTGAACGCCTTTAACCGAGGCCCACAAGGGTGAGAGAAAAAAAAAAGCAAAGAAAAAATGTCAAAAAAAATAGGGTCCCCTCCTTCCTGCCTTCCTTCCTGTCTGCCTGCCTGCCTTCCTTGCTGCCTTGCTTCCTTCCTTGCTTCCTGCCTTCATTCCTTCCTTTCTTCCTTCCTTCCTTCCTGCCTTCCTTCCTGTCTGCCTGCCTGCCTTCCTTCCTTGCTGCCTTGCTTCCTTCCTCGCCCTTTCTCCCCGCCTTCCTTCATTCCTTCCTTCCTTCCTTCCTGCCTTCCCTCCTGCCATCCTTCCTTGCTGCCTTTCTTCCTGCCTTCCCTCCTTCCTTCCTTCCTTCCTGTCGTGCTTCCTTTAATGAGGGAAAGTTTTTTTTGTTCGGAAAAAAGTTTTTTTTTGATTGAAAAAAATTTTTGATTGAAATTTTTTTTTTGATTGGCATCCCGGTGTGGGAGGGCTGAGGCTGCAGCGGCCGGCTCGTTGCAAATGCCTGAGGGAGGGCAAAGCATAAACTCCCAATTGCTGGATGCGAAAAGGCTCGGCCGGCTGAGGGCCCGGGATGGAAGGCGTCAAGGCCATCTCATCCGCGGGCCTTGGTGATGCGCTCTGCTATGTAGTCGTGACAGGCTTTGTTAAGGAAGCACAAGCCAGCAACTTCCTGGCTGGAACCTGCAAAGAGCAGTATGTTGGTGCAAGGAGCGACTCCAAAGAGTAGTCCTTCAAGGCTCCACCCTAAAAAAGGCTCTCGTAGATCCTTAGTGGGGAACCAGAGTACTTTGTAAAGAGGCGGCTGAAGCATCCACAGGATCGGCACCTTGCAGGGGCGCCAAGGCAAAGGACGGCGATAACGTAACCCAGGAATGGCTGAGTCAAGGCTAGAGGCCTGCGAGCTCCCTGTTCTCGCAGAAGGCGGAGGGCTGTGAGGGGCTAACCAAACGCTTCCTGAATCATGGCTAGCTGCCTCGGAACCCTGAGGCGAGATGGCAAAACGTTCGAAGTAGAGGGGGGGGGAGGAAGTGGTAGCCAGGCGAGCAGGCTCCGGCTGAGGCTGAGTTGGCGGCTGTGTGTATGTAGGAAGGCACGGCTGAAGCTCGAGAGGCCCCCGGAGACAGCTCCGAGTCTGGCTCTGCAGGCTGGGGCCCAAGCCAGGATGACCCCGAAGAAGGCATCTAGGGCGCAGACGCTAGACCTGGGACTGAAGGCTAGTCGGAGACGTCCAGGTGCGAGACTAGATACTCATGTGTTTCTTGTGACAGCAACGCTAAGGGAAGCCAGGCAGGCCCCCCCACAAAGAGCAACAAGCGCGGACCGATGGTACCTGAGAGCAGTAGGTCCTGGAGACACAAACCTGTCGGCTGTCCCATGATTCCTGGCAAAGGCAAGGCTTCTAGAAGGCCTGGCAGGTGCCACTCGAAGGGCAAAATACGGAGAGGCACAAAGTACGGATCTGGATCCTGAAACATAAGAGCGACTGAGCACCTGGCTGAAACCTGAGCAACAAAAGGCACGGCTTAAAACAGCATCTCAAGCATGAGCTGGTGGCACTCATCACTGGCGAGAAGCAGTGGCAACCATTCGTGCACGTGCAAGCATATGAGTATGCGTGGGCAAACAGTCCAGGAGAAAAGGAACTCCTGGAGGCAAGGCTCTGAAGGCTGCCCCTCATGTGGGGCAAGGGCAAAGCACTTACGGAATGTGACTACATACCAGTCCCAATCGTGGGAGGCAAGCCTGGCTGGGGCAAAGGCAAAGTCCGGGGGACGAATCCACCGCGGAGGCAGAGGCGAAGGCCTGGGCGAGGGCGGGGCTTGATCAAGCTCCCAGGCAAACAAGGTGAGAGGCACAGCTATGTCTGCGGGCAACATGGCGTCGCACTAAGGCTACGGCGGCTGCTAGAGCTACTCGGGCGGCAGCTAAGCTAAATCTCGGCTTTTCGAGAAGACTCAAGTGTTAGAGCCAGTGCTGCGATGTGCTATAGATTCACATGCCTTCTAAAACATACGTGAACAAAAACACGAAACTCTAGTTACTAGTTAATGAGACACAAGAGCTCATTCTCAAAAAACAGACAAGCCCCTCCAAGATATCGAGAAAGAAGAGAGCATTGTTTACCCCTCAGTCGGCAAGAAGGGACCTCCTTGTTTTAGGTAAGGGAAGGAGATCCTGACTATCCTCTTTACCTGTTCAAAAGATGAAGAGAGCATACGCTCAAGAAAAACAGGTAGAGCCCTTCAAACAAAGAAGTCTGCCCCCCAAACCTTGAAACAGAAACAGGCCTCCACTTCATGCTGTAAGACAAGAAGAGAACTCCCCCGAGTCATTCGTGGTAAGGGAAGAAAGCTTCTTTCTAGTAGAAAGCTCCATTACCTCTTGGTAGGTCGCTGCTTTGTCTTGAGAAGCGAGAAGAGACCTCACTCCGAGCAAGAGAAGACAAAGCCCCCCCCAAACAATGTATGAGTTTTCTACCGAATCATCGAAAACATCCAATTTCACAAGAAAGAAGAGAGCTCTACTTACCTCTCTGTCGACCCAGAAGAAGACTCCTTTCTCTCTTAGTCAGGGCTCCTGACCATGTCCTCCTGCTCTTCAGCAAGTGGAAGAGGGCTTACGTACAAGAAGAGAGGATGGAGCTTTTCCAAATTTTTCAACCTTAACAAGAGAAGTCTTGTCCTCCCTACGGCCTTCAGGGAGAAATGAAAAGCCCTCTACTTCATCTTCTGAAACAAGGACAGAACTCAATCTAAGTTACTCTTGGTAAGAGAAGACAGCTTCTTTCGAGAAGAGAGCTCCTCTACCTCTCGGTAGAGGAAGAGATCTTAATCTTAAGAAACCCGGGGAGAGTATCTAAAAAGTTGTTTCGTGTGTTATGACTGATACTGCCATGCTTATATACAACAACAAGCCCGTTCACATTATACATAAAGGACCCTGCCACATCTATATATATATATATATTTTTTATAACCTCTACACAAAAAATCTTTGGATGGTGCGAGTACGTGTTTATAAAGCAGGAGACCCTTGATTTCTCTCCTCCCCTCGCCAGCAAGATGTGAGGCCAGGATGAATCAAGTGACTGAGCATGACGATATGCTCGCAGGCATGCATCCTTCTATATGCCTGTGGAAGAAGGTTTGTGGTTTAGAAAGGCTGTTTATAGGGTTTAAGGGTTGCAGGATTTGTTTGTATTTATAAAAGGCACAAATGTGAAAACATGCATTGTTCAGGAACAAGAATCTTTTCTGTAGGGCTGAAGGCCCGACGACCTTCGCTGCGAAAGCGGTCCCCGACCATGACATACAAGCATGCGAAGTCCCGATAGTTCGCCTTCAGTCTGTCTGCAGCTTCGGCAGGAAGGCAGAAATGGCCCTCTGCAATCGGCCATTCCTCCAATATCTCCTCGAATTTGCATGTCAAATCAAGGAGTACCCCAATCTCTTGGAAGTCTTGACCAGGAACACCAAAATAAGCCCACATTGCTCGCACGGCTGCTGCCATGTCCTTGATCTCCGCCGCTTTTCCACGAAGCTTCGGATAGTCGGTCTTCTTCTTGCACATACTGACCTTGTTCAGTCTCTGGGAGTAGGGGCTGCGCACCTTGTGGGTGGATTGGTATGTTTTCAGAAAGTTCCAGAGTTCATGCAAATTGGCGCTTGGACTCGCCTGCATCATTTCCTCACAGAGGATCCAAAAAACCGACCCATATAGCTGCTGCAGATAGCCAAGGTATCGACAATGCACCAGGTCGAAATGGACCACGAGCACAGAACAGAAGTCCTTCTGGAACATCTTCTTCATGCTTCGGCCCGGCCATGCTTTCCAAGCAGCAGGGGTCCACAGACTTGTCCTCCATTGGGCATCGTCTGAAAAGCAGTGCCAGGTACGGTCTCCTCGTCTTTGGCATTGGCACAGGCAGCAAGGGGAGTTTGAATTCCACCAGGGAAGGCCCTGGAACTGTGCCATGTAGTCCAGGTCTCCACAGCTAGCCACCAAGACAGCTCTATACCCGTCCGCGAGGTATTGGCCAGCTCGCTGTCCCTCGGGACTGTAGGGATCGAAATCATATCCTCGCCAGTCGGCTTTCGGGAAAATGCCGGACCGCAACGATTCGAAAGACCAGAGCAAAAGACTCCACAGGTCATCATTCGTCTGGCTACAGAATGACTTGTGCCAGGCGGCCCAGATGTACAGCTGGCTTTGTTTCGTGGAGCCGCTACCCAAAAGGGAAGCCCACGACATCACCAATGCACTGGAGGACCAAATTTTCCCTTTGGCCAACACCGGCGTTTCGTCGCCGTGCAATGATAGTGGTATTATTTTGCTCAGGGTTGGCTCCGATGCCAGTGGGTGGCCCTGCCACTGCGGCAGCCCTCTGGCCGACTGCCAAAAGCGACCCAAACACGCCTGTCCAGGCATGATCACTTGTTTCCATGCTGCCTTGTAATTGTGGTAGAGGCTGCTAAATAACTCGTGTGGCAGGCTGATGGTGTAGGCACGCTTGTCGCTGGGCACTCCGTCGATGGGCACAGGAACTTCAGAAGCATCTGGGATTGTACATCAGTGGCTCCTGCCCGACCAGTCTCATCAAGTCCCTGTTGACATTGTTGCTGTGTTGACCGGAGGTTCCAAGCTTGGCGAGGGGCTCGAGGTCAGTTACAGTTCGTTCCCTGGCATCATGCTACGCTGCAGCAGATATTGCTTGCACCTGCTGTGGTGATAGCAGGCCCCATGCAAACTGTTCCAGGAGCCAAACTCTCAATCTGTAGCCTGGCAGTTCACTTGTGGCTGCTGCGATGCCAGCACTTGTGGCCCTTTTTTTGGGGGGTGGTGGCCCCAAACCGGCCATCAGAACATGAGAGATAGGACATGTCCAATTCGTTCATATTTTGATCTAAAGTAAACCCTCTAACCCTGAACCTTTGAAGCTGAAGCCCACAGGGTTAAGAGCTCGGGTACAATGGGGCCGAAAACCCAAAACCCCAAGGTTGACATCCTGACTCCGAACATTGAGTTGCAAGTCGATTTTATCGCACTGAACGATCTTTGGGAAGATCATCTGGTCCAACGCTTCGTTGATCACCTTGCCTGCCATCGCGGCTTTCTTCCTATCTTTCTTTGCAGCACGGGCTTTGTCCCGCTTATCTTTTCTTCTATGCTGCTTTCTTTTCGGCTTCTCCCAACTTCTTCCATGCTTCTACTTTTCGATGGGTCGCCTTGTAGGAAGACTTCGTCTGCCGTCACTTCGAATCTTGTAGGGAACTCCCCGTCGATCGATTTTACACGCTTCCCCGTCATCGGTCAAGTATACCTTGCCGCCCCCTCCAGCTCCTTTGCTCCAATGATCAATGTCCATGGGAGCCAGTTTCTTCTCCTTCAGGATCTTGATGATGGTACCAGGATCCTCCTCATCACCCTTAGGTATGAGTCTCCCTGTAGGTCCGACTCCGTCAGGCGGTCGCCGGCCTTCAGGTTCCCCGACAGGAGGCTCAGCTGGTGGAGGTAAAGGTGGTAACGGAGGTAAACCTGCAGCTTCGCGTCCTTCGCGTTCAGCTCTTTCGAGTATGGCATCGCCAATAGCATCAATAGGTTGATTCTCATATACCCCACCAAATCCATCTTCACCTTCATCTTCAGATGGTTCGATGTCTGCGAGATCATCAACTTCTCCAGGATCGGGAGCAGGACGGTCGTCGTCCAACTCGTTCCCCCCATTTCCGTCACTCGGCTTTCCTGGATCATCGCCATCATCACCGTCGATGTCTTTGACTTCTTTCCCACCGAGATCCACGTTGTCTTTGCTCACGCAACCGCTCGCGGCCCCATGCCAAATGCATGCTTTTAAGCTTTTCAGGGTTCTTACCTACTTCCAAAGCGGGGGTGAGGGGGAGGATGATGATATGCATTGTCAGCTTCATCGATTGCAGCCTTTCACGCTTTCAAAAAATCATGTCTTGAATCTTTGGTGATGTTGGTAATGAAATGTGTTTGATCGTTGGTGATGTTGGTGATGAATGTGTTTGATCTGCTATGATGTTGGTGATGCTGATGATGAAGTATGTTTGATCTTTGGTGATGTTGGTGATGAAATGTGTTTGATCTTTGGTGATGTTTTTTGATGATGATGATGATGATGATGATGTTGGTGACAATGACGAACTGTAGTACTAGTAGTAGTAGTAGTAGTAGTAGTAGTAGTAGTAGTAGTAGTAGTAGTAGTAGTAGTAGTAGTCGTAGTATAGTAGTAGTAGTAGTAGTAGTAGTAGTAGTAGTAGTAGTAGTAGTAGTAGTAGTAGTAGTAGTAGTAGTAGTAGTAGTAGTACGACTACTACTACTACTACTACTACTACTACTACTACTACTACTACTACTACTACTACTACTACTAAGCGACTTCCTGCATAAACCTCAAATATTACCTTGCAAAAGACGCACGACTTGCAAAAAACATCGTCTAAACCATACACGTACAAACCTTCGAAAACACTGGCAGGCGTGTCATTTTTGTTACTACGACAATGTTCTCCTGCTGTCAAATCAAGAAAAAAAGACGAATCCATAAACCGCATTTATCGCACAGAATGCTGGTATTGGTGGGACAAATGCACGATTTTGCGTGCAAAAGCAACGGGGCCACCAGCGGTTGCGTGACCTTGTCTTTGAGACCTTCAATTGTCTCGTTCATCCTTTTGTATTCCGCCTTGAGTGGAAACACGATCTCATCAGGAAAGTAGACGACTTCGGTCTGATATGGCTACATCAGCTTTCGTGGTACTGCCGCATCCATGGACAGATTCACGTTGGCAAACTGCTTCATGTCCCACACTCGATATATCCGTGACCAGTTCTGACCCGTGGTGATGACATATCCGGCAAAGATCCCACGTATTCCTTTCGGGTCGAACTTGTGGTCATAGGTCTTCTCACGAGTGTCAGTGGGTTTGAAGAACACTTTGGCACCAAATGGTATGGCTTTACCTTTGAAATCATCACCTGACATTCTCTTCCATGCTGAATCGAAATCCCCGAGGACATCTTCGATGTTCAAGTTGTGGACAACACAGCTCATGGCGTATGGCCAATACTGTGCGGGAGTTCCAGCATGCAACAGCGCCGTCGCAACGGTGTTGATGACTTCTTGATTGGTCCTGTCAGCAAGAGAGTTGTTGTTGGGTTTGCCTGGGAGAGAATGGTCCAGTTGTATCTTCAGTTCCTTCATGGCTGCGTCGAACTCTAGTGCGACATCGCTGTAGGCCATCTTGACTTTGCGTCTCCCTATGAGTCTCTTCAACGCGTTGACTACGTCATCCGTGTGTCGGGACTCTGTTGGGATTGCTGCCATCATCCTTGTGACGACGTCTCTGACCACCAGCACTTCTCTTGCGCCATCGTCGATGCCAAGGCCAGCTTCAGCGGCCTTGCGCATATCGAGGAAATCAAAAGTGACCAAATCACCCCAAACTTTCAGTTTTCGCTGAAAAGCTCCACGTTTGGTGCGAAAATGCTTCATCTTGGTTCGTATGCATGACTCGCAATACGGATTTCGGTAACGATGTGTGCACAGATGTGCGAGGGTATTGGCTTCAGCTTTCAAAGTTCCAACTTGCGCCTTCCGAACACGCGCTCCCTCACCCTCAATCTCAATTTCTCTTTCATCATCACCAGCGAGATGAATGACTTCACCGACTCCGCCTGCCGGAGGATCCGGAGGTCTTCCTGCTTCTGCCTCTGGCACTTCATCCTCAGGGACTTCATGAGGTTCAGATTCAGGTAACCCAGCAGCTTCTGCTTCGTCAGCATCATCATCACGTCGTTCTTCACCTGGTACTGCCATTGCGACCGCGGCGGTCTCGACACTCGCATCGTGTGATTCTTTGAGAACTCTGTGCACTGCAGTAGCTTCAGGATCCTCGTGAGCGAGACACTTGCCATTGCCGGAACGACAATGAGGGATGTCACCGTCGACGAACAATGAAATTCTCTTCCCATCAGGTTCGATCATGTAAGGTTCGCGTCCTGGTGGCCAGATGAAACCGTAGTTGAGGTTCACGCACCGCTTTCCGATAGACAACACTGACGGTGTGTCCTCGAGCACATATGCATTGATAGGTTCTCGGAAAGACTCGGTCTGAAAGTTGGACACTAGGTCGCTGTCAGTGACACCGTTTGCCGTTTGAAACCATACTGGTTCAGGAGTAACCAACGTCTCCAGATTGTGCTTGTTGATCTTCTTCTTAGCAATCAAATCATGCCCGCATCCTGCGTCCATAAGAAACTTGATCTGTTTCCGAAGAATGACTGGCTGAACCATGCATTTGCAGATGCCCTTCTTGATGACCTTCTTGCTGGCCGCAGAATCAAGATTCTGCTCGAGCATTTGGTCATCCCCTGCATAGAATGCCACTTCTGCCATTTTCTTCGTACCAGGTATCCGAACATAAGAGATCCGATCACCATGATCGTCAGGGTCGTCAATCATGTCCTTCATGATCTGTGCTCTCAACCTCGCTTTGTGCTTTGCAAACTCTAACTCAACCTCCCTCCGCTCGTCGTTCATGATTGCATCCACGTCAAACTTGATGACTTCGCTCTTCTTGTCCTTGTACGACCTCCTAGGCCGAGATGACTGGAACTTGACATCTTTGGCAAACGAGACCCGACGTTTCTTGGGTGAACTGGTCGGCGAAGCCGTCCCAGTTACCTCGTCGTCGGTCGAGCAATCCGAATCGGCGTTGCTATCAACTGAAGAACACTCTGAATCCTCGTCAACCACGTACGAGGATATTCTTCCAACAGCTGGTGCCACTGGATTCCAAGACCTGCACATGCGAATAGCCGGTGCTGCGGGCTTCGCCTTTGACTTTGGCGTCTTCTTCGCTGCAGCGCCAGGTTCAGCCTTTGGTTTCGCATCGGCCTTGGGCTTGGCTTTGGCATCCGCTTTTGGAGCTGGGGTAGGTGCCGGAGTTGCATCGGCTTCATGCTTGAACGGGCAGTTCTCTCTGGAGCACGTACCATTCTTCTTGAAGGAAAAGCATATCTGTTTTTTGGCACCCCCGGCAGGACTTGGAGTTCTTGAACGATTTGGCGTCTCCGGGGTCTTCTTCGAATGGCTGAAAGGGCATTTGTCCCCGTTCTTGCACCCTGCGTCCAGTGAAGTGGAACTTGCACCGGACATGCTTCAAATTCTTTGCTGTAGACGGAGCAGATGAAGGAGCCCTGTTGTCCTTCTTCGGCTTGGTCTTGGTCTTGGCATGGGCTTTAGCCTTGCTTTGAGGAAGCACTGGTGCTGCATCGTCGGGTTTAGCATTCCCTTTCGGAGCGCCTTTGGGTGCCGGTGTGGTAGGCGACTTCGCAGGAGCTGCGAGGAGGTCCTTACCCTCAAGCATCTGACGTAGTCCAACTTGAGTTTGAGCAAGGTTGGATTGTTCACATCTTCGCATGATAGTCCGGTCGATGATGTTCAGGAGATTGGCATAACTGCGTTTGGGATCATCGTAGTTCAGATGTTCGTAGTGAAGTCCGAGCTCCCACTTCATGGCAGGCGAGTCCTTGATCTTGTTGTACAAACAGTCACGCAAAGCCTTATCCGACGGGACGTCTTCCGCGCATTCGGTTAAGGACTTCCAGCCATGTCTGCTTGAACTGGTACAACTTATTGTCACCTTGATACTGGATCTTGATCAGGTATTCTAACGACACGATCATGTTAAGCCTGTCGCGAGTCCGGAAGCTTTCGTACATCATCGCGATGATCTGCCTTCCTTTGGTGATCTTCCCTTGGAATGCTCCAACGTACTCATTGGCTTTCCTGTTCACTTCCAGGTAGAGTTCAGCTGATTTGTCAGCTCCGGCGCGTAACATGGACGTCATTGCAACCCCTAGTTTGACGTCGACGCTCTTGAACTTCTTGTGACCAGAGTCGTTCAACGCCTCAATGTCAGGAGATGGTCGAAACGCTGGGCTCAGCCACATCATCCATTCTTCCTGATTAGGGTCTGCACATGCGCCCAACACCTTTGCAATGCATTGAGCCATCCAATTGTCCAGGTGCGTCACCGTTGGGAAGGAAGGAACAACGACTTTATCTGCTTCACGACGAGAGATTTTCACCTCGGTGACCTCCGGATCTTCTCCTCCGTCAGGATCATCTCCATCAGGTGGGTCTGGATCTGGGCCCTTGCCGGGTTTACGACGTGGGTTGTCATCGTCACCACCACCTTCAGGCTCGGGAGAGGGATCTCCGCCATGTCTGTCGGGATTTGGAGGATCATCATGATCTCCACCATCTCCGCCTTCTTCTTCTCCATCGGGACCATCACCCTGACTTTGGAAACTTTCTGCCACTTGCCGCCATTCCTCTCGATCAATACGAAGTCTTCGCTCCGCTCATTGGGCTTGTTCCATTTCCGCGCGCATTTCCTCGAGTTGCTGTTGATGTTCTTCTTGCATGAGTGTTTTTGTCGCATCGAGGGCACCGACACAATGTCCAGGAGCGCTGGCTTCTGCCACCACAAGCTTTGCAACTGCAATGTCTGACGCAACGTCACGGTCGTTTACGACATTACGAGAAGAGGTGGAGGATGACGAAGAGGCTTGTCCCGTCATTCCCAGCGTTTGTAGTAATTCCCGAAGTTGCCGTTCACGTACAGCACGCGCGTCTTGCTGTTGTAGTGTCTTCTGACTTGCCCCGTAGCTGCTGGTGTCCTGCGGTAAACGCTCGGACAGAGGCCCCTGCACACCCTGCGGTAAACGCTCGGGTGGCGTTTCCTCGACAACCAACGGAACGGGTTCGTGAGTGACTTCCACCACACCGACCTTGTCACGGTTTGCGGGACTTCGGAAAGTAGGAGATACACCTTCGGGGGATCGCACATCTGAACCTACTGGAAAAGACATGACGCGTTCCTTAGCTACGCACTCCCAGCCCGACTCAGTAGTTCTCGACGAAATGGGTATGCTTGACTGTTGAGAACCGAGAATGGGAACTTGACGATAAGCATCGAGTTCACTTCGTGACCTCGCGTTGACATCCTCCTGAAGCTTCAGGGTCCTTCTCAATTCGTTCAGCTCTTCATGCAGCGTCGGCAATGATTGCTTTGCCCTAGGCTTCCGAGAAGCTTCGTGTTGCAGCTGCCAGCTCCAAAACGGAGCTTCTGTGTTTTAGAAGCTCCGTTTGGAAGCTCCGTTTTGCAGCTGGCAGCTTCGTTTTCAAACTGGCAGCTTCGTTTTGGAGCTTCTAGAAAGGAGCTGCCAGCTTCATTTTGAAGCTTCTAGCCAAAAACCGAGCTTCTAGGATTTTATGGCTTTGGCTCTTCAAGAAGCGCTTCTAGGAATTTCAAGAAGCGCTTCCTGGAAGCTTATTCTGGAAGCTCCATTTTGGAGCTTCTACTTTCCTAGAAGCTCGTTTTGGAAGCTCCATTTTGGAGCTTCTACTTTCCTAGAAGCTCGTTTTGGAAGCTCCATTTTGGAGCTTCTACCATATCTTATAGCTCGTTTTCAGCATATAATCATATATATATATATATATATATATATATATATATATTCTGCAGCTGCTATCTGTACAGGTTCGTGGTAGGAAGCACGACATTCTGACAGCAGGCTATAGGCTGCATCATCACATGCATCTGAGAAAACCACTACTTGTAGCGGCCGGCCCGTGGCCCGGCTATATATATATATATATATTAGCATAGCCAGCCGGCAGCTAGCGATAGCAAATATAGTCAACAATAGTTGTAGGACATGGCGAGCGATGGAGACTTGCAAGGAAAGGCAGCTAGCGATAGCAAAGAGCAAGGAAAAGCCGTCCTGAAAGGGTTCTTCACGAGGCAGCCTGCAAAGGCAGATTGGCCGTCAGATCCGGAGGAAGCTTGCATAAAGCATGCTTCGTTCTTGAAGCTGTGGTGCCCGATGGGCTTTAGCAAACCGCAGTGTAGGGCCTCCTGGAAAGGCGCTTTTCCTCGCCTACCCGAAGGCGACATGAATGCCATGATAAATGGTGTTGCGGAAGCCAGAAAATGGCTGAATCGCAAGCACCGGAACCAAAAGACGGGTGACAGAACTCACCTGATCATTCGGGATCTCATGGTGGCTCTGTTTGGGTCCGGTGGCAGCAGTCCGAAAGGACAAACGAGTACTTCCCGACGGAGCACCAGTCCGAGAGGACCAGCCGCCAAGAGCAGTACTGTGGAGTCCAGTCCGAGAGGACCAGCCGCCAAGAGCAGTGCTGTGGAGTCCGCAGAGGACTCGCAGACAAGCACTAAGGGCAGCCTGCGAAGGCTTAACACAAAGAGCCCCATAATCTTTGTGGAGCAGGCAGCAAATGCCGTAGATGCCGATGCAGTCAGTGTCTCGAGCACGGCTATCACAGCATCCAGCAAGGGTGTGCTGGCGGTAGGTGTGCTGCTCCAGAAGAAGCCAGCGATGGCAAAGAAAGCTGCAAAAGCCAAGCAGCCTGCAAAAGGCAAAGACAAGGTGCTGAAGAAGCCGAGCCTGAAGAAGGCTGTGCCGGCAGATGGCACGAAGAAGGTATGGCACGAGACCGTTTCTCACGGTCTCGTGAAAGTGACTAAAGCCTCGGTTAAGGCTTACATCACGTTCAAAGCCAGCGATGGCAAAGAAAAATCCTTGGTCAACGTGAACCTTGGAAAAGGCGAGAAGCAGTCCAGAGTCATGGACTTGCTGCTGCAGAAGCTCCAGACCGAAGAGGTCGACAGAGACTCCTTGCTGAAGTTCAAGGAGGATCTGCTTAGCAGAGAGAGAGGAGAGCCTGCAAAGGCAGAAGCAGCAGAAGGAAAGCCTGCAAAGGCAAAGGCGGCAAAAGAAGAGCCTGCAAAGGCAGAGGCGGCAAAAGGAGAGCCTGCAAAGGCAGAGGCGGCAGAAGGAGAACCGGAAGAGGAGAGCCTGCAGAAGGCGAAGGACTGAAGGGAGGTTAATTTGAGAAGGAAAGCCTGCAGAAGGCAAGGACTGAAGGGAGGTCTGAGAAGCACAGCCTGCAGAAGGCGAAGCGAAGAGGAGAGGTTTAGGGCAGCCTGCAAAAGGCTTAAGGACTGAAGTTTTGAAAGTGTAAACAAAAAACGAGCAAGGCATGAGCGATGTTGAAGTTTTAGCTGAGCCTAGCCTGCAATGGCAAACTGCTTCTGGCACTCTTAATTGCAGCAGCAGCAGCAGCAGCAGAAGCAACCTAGCACTGCAGGAGCTAGCTGGCAGACAGCACACACACACACACACACACACACACTGAATGGCAAGTAAGGTTTCGGTATGCGAAGAACCAGAACCAGCACCCAGGTCTCAGGCGACCACATGCTGGATGACTTTTGACATGTGGCATCATGGACAATAACTGCAAAGAGGAAGAGCAGAAAGTTTGTGGCCTGAGACCTCTACCTGCCTGACTAAACCACAACGCCAGCCTGAACCCCAACGCACCGAAGGGCAACACAGAGAACGTGGGCCTGACTGACTGCGCAACCTGTGACTTGTCACCAAAAGTCCAATAACTGTAAGCTCAAGCACTGAATGTACCGCTCCAAATGTACGGTGGACGCAAGCATGGAAGAATGGCACCCAACGCACGCACTGAGGGTTCTCGGCTTAGCGCCGTGCCATGTCCAATGGGATCATGGGGCGCAAGGTCCCAGCTGCCATGCCTGGCCCAGAGCACCTTGCTGACTCCCTCCAACTGCCACGCAGAGCCCAGGAGCGGAGTCCCCCATAGCAGGTACACTGAAATGGCCAGTTTCAGCTTCCCGCATACTCAGTTAGCTTCGTTGGATGAGATCACTCCCAGACCACCGATCGGATCTATAAAATAGATCCACTCGATCCAGGGTTTCTATTATAGCAACAGCGGCTCTATTTTAGCATGGCGGCTCTATTTTGCAGCAAAGCTGTACTTTGAGCAAAATATAGCTTTTATCGAGCATGGTCCTTGTTTCGATTCTGCTGGAGGAAATAAACCCTAAACTGGCTCAAGTCCGGGAGAAAACCCCTAAGTCCCTAAGTCGGCTCAAACATGCGGGAAAAAAAACCTTAAGTTCCCTAAAAATACAGACAGAGAGACACTGGCCCACTTATAGGGTCATGCCTCTCTGCATACATACTCGTTCGTCCGTACATATATCTCTGGATATATGCATATGTATTTATATATATATATATATGCATGTCTACACTGACATATTCAAGATAGAAACAGGTGCATTCTCTCCCGTATTCGGCAAATGCGAGTTGCACCTGCCCTGCCGACTGCCGGCCAGGCTTATCAGGGCCCGAGAGTGTGCAGACTGAGTTCTTGAAGGGCTCACTTTTCTTCTCCGATGGTCGTACACAGCAGTAGTGCAGTCAGCAGCCCACCAAATGCCTAGGCTGACATTTGCGGCATGGGCCGCATGCCGCAGGGCACGATAACATGTGTAGGCAGGAGTAAGACTGCTGTGCTAGCAGCCATGCCGAAGAAGCGACCAGCTGCATGCTTGGACGATGGGGATGATGATGAGAAAGATGAGGAGCCGTTGCCAGTGCAGGCACACAGACAGCCAGGTTTCAAGGATGCTAAGCTTTTGTCCTCCTGTTTGGCACCCTTCATCAAGAAACGACACGACATGAACTACACGTCTGCCAGACAAATCAAGAACATCCAGAGGCACAAACTCACGAACAAGTGCACTAGCACGGATTCGGCGTCATTTTGTTGTGCTGTTTTCTCGATCGTGCTGCATTTAGGACACTGTTTTGTAATTTGTTGCCGTGGTCCGTGAGTCGAGGTTCTATCAAGGCCTTCTTTCGTCGACACGATCCCTCAGTCGCACCTGGAATTTTCCTGATACCATCATAAAGAAAGTTCTACTCATGCTTTTCAAGAGCGAGGACAGACTCAAATTCTCAGTTTTCTATCCTTATGTTGGCTGGTAACAACCTATGCATTTATGTATATGCTAGAATACCAAGACAAGTGAGAGAGGACCACCATGAGCTGAAGGAAGAGATTCGAGAGGTGGATAGAGATGGTTGGGCCACGACGTGTACATTGAGGTGCTCAGCGATGTTTAGACATTATTCACAATCAGCTTTGAGGTGCAGGAAATGGGTCCCTGAGGCTCGTTGGCGAAAGATTACTGAATTCTCTCGGCCACTGAAGGACTTTTAACATGTGTAACCCCCAGCCTCACTGGAATGGGAAGCCGAAGAAGCAGAAGACTTCTCAGCAGACTACAAACTCCAACCGGGAAGCCGGGACGGTGACATGCAGACGAAAGACTGGGAAGCAAAAGGATCCCGCTGCCACCCAGGTAGCAAGCGAATCCCAGCAGCCAGCCGAGCAAAGCGCAAACGAGCCTGCAGGCGAAGACATGGATGACGATTGCCCCGACATAAGCAGCCCCAGCACGAGCAGCAGCGACAGCAGCTGAGTCAGATAGATCTAGCAGTAGCAACAAGCCTGTCTTACGCAAGCCGGCAAGCAAGGTTTCAAAGAAGCCACCAACAAGCAAAGCACAGCAAGCGACCCAACAGCCAGACGAAGAAGTGCAGCAAGCTGCAAGCAGAATGCAAACCCATGAAGAAGACGAGCCGAGACAAGCATGTGAGCCTGTTGGTCCAGTGACTGATACCTGGATAGCACGTGTAGCTGCTTATTGCTGGTTTGGGTAAGTGCTTCGGGGCCTTGGAACGAAAAGAGGTCCCAGTCTTCAGGCTCAGTTAACTCCTCTTGCGGGGCTTGACTACTAAATAGCCTCGCAACCTATAGCCGTAGCACCCTTCACATATATTGACGAATTTCCAACCAGCGGTAAGACCTGCCTTGGCAGCCCAGGAGGAACACGAGGCGTTCCTGCAGAACGATTGGTTCATGAATGCCTTCGATGACATGCTGGGGGGCAACGACCCGACCGTGAGTGCCTGTCTCAGCTATCTTCGTCAATCCGAACCCCAGACCCTAAACCCTAAAATCAATCAAGAGTCTTTGATTTCGAGGGCTCGGGTTGCGGGCACGCATTATCGGTGTAAAGTTTCGGCTCGTGCAGATGATACACGGTATGAGTGGGGGTTTGCTCTTCAGGATTTCGGGTTCCATTTTCAGGGCTTGATCCTTTCAACCAGAAAGCTTCCTCGCAAACAGCTTCGCGGCCTTAGGTTTGTTTCTGTAGCCTGGAAATCTCGGATCCGCAATGGTAACAGATGATTCTGACGACGAATGGCTACGAGAGCTGCTGCAATGGGACGAAGATAGCATGATGTCCTCTGCTGGAGAGAGCACGACGACTGCTGAAACACCGCATGTGACCGTATCTACGCCATCTAGTCCTACCCAAGTCAGCAGGGATGCTTCAATAGTGCGACCACAGCTTATACGACTGCAGACCCGCCGTGCATCTGGAAGGCTGGCTTCGACGAACTATTGGGAAAACTTATGTTCCCAAGTCACTTCATGACATGCCTGGCCTGGCCTCTGCAGTGAACGACATCCTTGCTCATCCAGCCATTCATCTCCGAGTTCTGCCCGATGCAGTTCTGAGCAGCAAATTGCTCGCTCACGCCCACGAAGTCATAGGGATCTTGGCTGCTGAGAAACAATTCAAAATTGGGCTCACACGAAGCCCGCTTCACAGGTGGGAAAATCCTGCCTACGGCTACGAGCTTGAGGGTCGGCGGTGTTCTATGTTTGTCGTTTGCATACTTCAGCACGGGGAGTCGGCAGGTATCATGGAATCTTCCTTGATTCTGACATGGGGTGCAAACCCCCGCTGTGCAAATGAAGCGGGAGGGGGGGAATCGGTTTCGCAAGAGCCAGGACCCTGGTTTGTTTATGTAGTACGGGGCTATTAATGTATGCGAGTGCACTATCAACGTCGGCCACTTTTTCTCGATACCTTATTATTAGCCAGCTACACATATAGGCATTGGCCGTTGTTTCGTTCAGTGCCGAAAACAGGGTGCACTTGCAGCCAAAGTCAGAGCTGAATGCTGGACAAAACAAGCATACTGTCCTTATTTAGAGCACCGTTCCCAACATTGTGATCAAGCCATGAATCCCCTGCTCCGATCAGAAAGCATGTAAAGTCCCGCCCAGCCGTGCCACGATGACGGACTGATTCAGTCCCTGAGCCCAGGTGCAGTGGCTTTCTCCATGACGCCGCAGCCGCAGGCCATCGGCGATCCTCCTCGAGATACAAGATTTTAATAATTTAAGGCCCTAGGTGAAGCCCTCAAAGAACACTAAGAGGCCTAAACTAAGGTTTTTAGTGATCCTAGTTTTACTTTCGGGTCTTATTTGTCTTTATTATGTCTATTGGCTACTCCGTATTACCCCGTATGTCTATTAGCCCGCTGTCAAGACGTCGAGACCCAGCAGCCTCAAGCGGAAGACCGAGAACGAAAAGCCCGCACCACCGCAAAAGGAACCCGAGAAGGAGAAGCCCGCACCACCGCAAAAGAAGCCCGAGAAGGAGAAGTCCGCACCACCGCAAAGGAACCCCGAGAAGGAGAAGTCCGCACCGCAAAAGAACCCCGAGAAGGAGAAGTCCGCGCCGGAAAAGAAACCCGAGAAGGAGAAGCCCGCTTCTTCCCAGCAGAAGCCCGAGAAGGAGAAGCCCGCCATCACCCGGAAGGAGGGCGACATATGGTGGGAGGAAACTTTAGGAAAGGCTTGTCGCCAGATGAAGAAGGGCACGGATGTTTCCGGGCAACCGAGCCTGAATGAGGCTGGCTCGGTGGTTGTGGTGTTTGACGATGGGACCGAATGGATGCCGCCACTGATCCCTGCCGATCTCGCGAAGTTCGCTTCCGCTGGTGGGTCTGTGATGTCCGTACCTAAGAAGCCCAATAAGGCACCTCGACCGGCTTCGGATAAGCCTGTGCCAGACTACTGCCTGCCGACGATCCGGGCGAAGTTCTCCAAACAGGGCAAATGCTCGCCCATAATAAAAGTGGAAGCTCGGTGCGACCGGTACAATCTGTCGTCGGCATGGAAGCAGCGACTACAGGTTGTGGTGAAAGGCGACATGACGGCCACCGTAGGAATGAACATCTGCTCGACATTTTGTGACTGCTATGAGCACCTCAACCTCAATCAAGGGCTGTTGGACTTCAAGCAGTGCAGAAACAACTTGATCGAAATGTGGCAAAATGGCACACACGACTTTGCCGCATCGAAGATGTCATGGGAGCTTCTTTCCAAGCAGATGAAGGATGCTTTCCCTCCGGCACCGACGATGCTCTATTTTACTTCAGTTACTGTAACCTTGTTACTCGGGGCTTCGCTGCTTTTACTTTTCGTGTTTTCGTTAGTACACCTATATAAGGCCTCTTCAACAACTGGCCCCTGCTAGATGGACACAGACTGCTGCTGCACCGCAAGCCCTCAAACCTGATCCCTACATATAGCTAAGGTCTTAAACCCTGAAACCCTAGACCCCTAAACCCCAAAGCTCAAACCCTAAATCCTAAACCATGATCCTTGCTCAGGTGTCCGTCGCCCCAAAGGGCCCTGGCTCCTCACGAGGAGAAGTCGCTCGCCGAAGAGGCGGATGAGGATGAGGAGCCCGGATAAACCCCCAAACTCTGGAGCCTTAACCCCAAAACCTCGAACTCGAAAATCCTAAGCTTTACCAAGCAATCTATGTCCTTGTTTCGCAGGAGCCTGACAACGAAGACGAGGAGGACTGATGATCGAAGCCACATGACTGCAACATTGCCGGGACAAGCAGGGGCATTCGATCTGTAGCTTGTTACAGTGCCCGAGTTCCAATATGATGTCAAGCCCGGAACATTCCCACGCACGGGTCCTGCCCAGGTGCATTTTGCACGAAGCAGATGCCGCTTACGGCCGGCTGGCGAGCAGCTGGAACCTGATTTGGGGGGCATCATGAAATCCATCTTAGCCCTTAACCTGAAACCCGTTGCCTTAAACTTTACCTAAACCCCTAAAACCCTAAACCCCTAAACCCGGAACTGTATATCCTGAGCTCACCAGGTGTTCGGAAATAGTGGTTTGAAAGATGGTTGAAGGTTTCACGCTTTAGGCTTGTCCGGCACTGAATCCGCAGGAGATCTGGGAAGAGCTTTTCTGCTAATATATGTACATATACATGTGTACACACAGGCACACAAACAAATATATGTGTATAAATACGTATAGACACATATAAGCAATGTGTGGCACTAAACTTTGAGGCTCCATCGTTATAAACAACCGATGCATAGCTCCGTGTCTCCAGGCTCTGAAGTTCGATTCTGGCTTCCCCAGAAGTACTGAAGCTCAAACCTCGAACCCATGCCCCAATCCAAGGCAGCTCGAATCCCGGCCGCTGATGAGTGGCAGCTGATCCTTGCCGTGTAGGAGCCGGTGTGGTGTGCCCTCAGAGACCCTGGAGACTAAAGCTTTAAACCCCTAAGCCCCAACCCTTTAGAACCAGCTGGATCTGAATCTTGCAGCCACATGGCCTTCAAGCTACCCCAAAACCCCTATACGAAATAGCACCCTACCCCAAAGGTAGATCCAGTTCTTGTCTCAATTTCGGTCCCTAGACCATCGAAGTTTCCAACACCACTTCACCGGGTGCTAGGTACTGGTATGTACAGATGAGGACGCCAGGCTTTTGTGGTTTGCTTTAAGTCGTGAGCTCTTGCAGCCGGAGCCCGCAGCACGCTGTGCACGCAGGCGGTGGGATCCAGGGCACGTACCTTAGATATGTAATAAAGGTAATGATAACCCATCCCCAAGAATTAATGGAAGCTATAATTGACGATCGAGTGATAGATACGTGGATCCACGTTTCAGGCAGGTATAAGAGGGATCCAATCAGGATCTATTGGTTACATTGCGGATTAGAGCTATATAGGTATGGGATCCATCTTATGTTGGGTTTGAGGAGCAGTATTATGGGATCCATTTTAGTACGTGGAACTATGTTATTGGTGTGAGTTTTTGATCTAGTAGTCTATTTTTACATATGCTGAAACTGTTGAAAGCAGGATCGATCGAGTTGGTACGTTCTAGCAGCTACATATATATATCTATATACATCTTTATAATAGACGATAGATAGATATATAGATATATAGTTATTAATATCGATATAGTATATAGCACGTAGAGCTCCCGCAGACAAGCAAACCACCCCATATGCTCCAACTGTATTTATAGATCGATGACGATTTGGTTTGAGGAGCTAGGCTTGGGAACGTGTTATTCTTGTACCTTATACGCTACACTTTATATATTGATGGTTTAGATAGCGATGGTATTTGAGGGGCTATTTGCAGGATCCATCGGGTACATTGGATTTGAAGAGCTAGTTTGGGGATCTATATTGTGGGGATTTTGGATCTATATTGTGTACAGACAGGATTTCCCAGGATCCATGGGTTAATACTATAGATCTATATACCGGTGAGTTACAGGATCTATCCGGTACATTGAATTTAAATTAGCTAGATGGATCTAAACCAGCCTCAAATCGGATCTAAATTAGCTGTAGAGGGTGTATATTGCAGATATAGGAGCCCCCACCCGCCGACGATGCAGATCCTTTATATACTAGAGCAGTCTGGGTTCTCAAGACAGTGGTTTGTACTTATACGCATATTTATTATATATGTGTATATATATGTATAATTATAGAATAGGCCAGATATATAGGATCTGCTCTATCCAGCATATGCTGCTCGCTCTGCATCACCGGGATCCAATCGATCAGCGATCGATTCGAGCTAACCCGCCGCTGGGATTCAGGATTTCGGGTTTACTCTTATATTTATGTAGTACAGTTGCTATATATGTCGGCTCTATATAGCAAAATATGTACCATACGGCTGCTAGATTGGATCCTTGGCCGGGTCTTGTGCTTCGTGGGCACTGCTATCCGCAATACGCCGCACTGCCGCCGAGTCGAGGAAATAGGATCTCAACGAGCCGTGGGATCTAGATGAACTAGACAGGATATACGGGATCCAAACCATTTATTGCTGTGTATCTAAACCAGCTAGATTGGATCTAAAACAGCTAAATTGGATCTAAATCAGCTAAACTGGATCTAAATCAATTAAATTGGATCTAAATCAGCTAGATTGGATCTATTTTACTGAAATGGATCTAAAGTAGCTAAATCTACAAAACCCAACATAACCCAATGATCTCCGGTGTTATTAAAGCAGCAGTCAAAAATGAGCTCCGGTGCACCCGTCAAGCCAATGAGCCACCCGATGAGCCCCCCGATGAGCCTAGGGACAAGACGTGATGAACTCCGGTGATGTTAAGCCACGCTATAGCAATGAGCTCCGGCAGAACCCCCCCCGATGACCCCCCCGATGAGCCCCCGATGAGCCCCCGATGAGCCCTCTTGAGCTGTTTCCGTGATGCCAAACACCAATTATTCCTCTATCTGCAGTGGTGTGAATCGATAAAAGACTCAACCCACGCAAATGCTGGAACTCGAGCTGGAGAAGCTTAGCAGTGTAGCACCCGAAACCGGGTCGCCCTGGCAATCCCTAGATCCTTGCTAGCCCGTTCAAGTAGCATGGCTGCCCTTATTCGGATGCTCCTACCTTAGTGCTTGCTGAAGACCCCTCCACGCAAGAGACCCAAACTCTGGTGGTGGAGACTCAGGAGCAGCAGGCCAATGGTGCTTCCCAGGCAGAGCCACAGGCCGATGGTGCTTCCCAGACAGAAGAGCCGCAGGCCGATGGTGCTTCCCACGCAGAGCCGCAGGCCGATGGTGCTTCCCAGGCAGGTGCTTCCTCGGCTTTGCAGACAAATCCAGCATCTACGTCTACTGGTGGTGATGGAGACGAGCAAGGTGTGCGAGATGTGCAAAAGGCCATCGTCAACTTTGCTTCGTACCACAAGCTAGATGTGTCGGCAGTGACGAAGAAGCAGGTGATCGACTCTACCGAAGGCATCATGTTCTGGGCTACGCAAAAGGAAGATCTTTCGGCCCGTGGCTCGCATGCTCAGCAGATGAAGCGAGCCATGAAGTGGCGACCAGACATGAGTGCCGCTTACATGGTACTCACCGATGCGATGAAGCTCGAGTTTCGACGTGCTTGGACGGCTACCAAGTCTTTCGACTTTATGGTCACGACTCGTACCACCTCTACGTCTTTCAGAAAAAGACGTGATGAAATCGGAAAGTTTGTTACCAAGCTTCAGTTGGTCAACATCCTCGGCGGCACCGATCAACCTGAAGCAGTGAGGCAGGCGGATCGCTACATTGCTATGTGCTCACGACCGGGCTTGAAGGACGAAAGCTTTCTCAACTTCGTGACCCCACACCCCAAAAGCTAACCTACCTCAAACTTGTAGTGGACCCCAGACCCTAACGTATACATAATATAAGCTGCCCCTCTGTTAACCTATCCTACAACCATCAACTGGAAGCCCTGAACCTAAAGCCTTTTATAGAGAGCTAGGGTTCGGGATAGGGGTCGTGGGTTCAGGGCTTCGGGTTTTCCATGTACTTGGGCCCTGGTGTCTGTCTTGAACGCAGGAGTTCTGCACCCTCTACAATGATGGGTTGGATGCCATGACCTATTTTTGGGTGGAGACGTTGATTTCATCGAGCAACGAGCAGCAGTGGACCAACACGGTCACAGTGGAAACTAGGGAGACTGTGCCCAACAGCCTCGCCGAGAAGGTCAATGTGTGCCAAGCACTACGTGCTTATGCTCATGCGATGCAGAAGCCTCTTAACCAGGTCTCTGAAAAGGATGTTGCCGAGACTACTTTGGGTATCAAGGGCTACGCCGAGCTCTACAAGACCATGTCCCCCGAAGCCCAAGCAAACTTCCCGAGGAAGGATGGCAGCAACAACGCAGCCTTCACCAAGACTGGAAAGGATGCTGTTGAAGCAGGCAGAGCCAATAAGAGAACCAAGCAGGCGGCTGAGGAAGCCGATGGCAATGGAAGTCCTGGCCCGGACGGCTCTGACACTCCGAACCCGAAAACCAAAACCAAGAAGGACCAGACAGGCCCTAAGAAAGAGAAGGAAGTGAAAGAGTTCCTGGCAATGGAACAAAGCTCAGATGTGGCCATCGGCCGTGTGATGCATGAGAAAGCAAAAAACCCCGATGGCTGGACTTGGGCTTCTGACCTGCTGGCCTCCTACAAGAACTTTCGCACTGAGGTTCTCAAGCTCTACTGCGACAACCCTGACTTCCAATCGCTCAAGGTGGCAGCCCTCAGCCCCAAGGAGAGTGCAAAGATCAAGAAGGAGCACGGCGACGGCTACGTGGGCAAGCTGGTGGAGTTTGTCACTGTCCTGGGGCCGCCGATCACCAAGATGGCCGAGGCAGCCTTCCAAATTGAGCAAATGGCGAGTGCCAAACTTTCGGCCGCAGACGCTCTCAAGAGTGCCAGCAAGCCAAAGGCTAAGGCCAAGGGTAAGGGCATCAAACGAACCGCTTCCACTAGATCCCTGCCGTCTGTAGTGTAGGCTTTTCCAGCTTGTGGCAAGGGGTGCAGGCTAGCTGCACAGTTCGGTCGCAGTCTGAAATCTGGATCCTCGCTATTTAGTCAGTCTGGTCGAGTCTTGGGGCTAGAGCTTATAGTTAGGTTATGGGCTTAGGGTTTAGAGTTTAAGCCTTGCATTGTTATACGTAATACGAGTTAAGATTTGAGCTTGCCGGTTGTGGGGTTTAGGCTCTAGGACTCTAGGTTTTGGCTTCAGGTTTTATGCTTTATAGGGTTTGATATAGTTCGGGGTCCCCCATAAGCTTAAACCCGGAGCCCAGTATCCCCCGACCTTTCCGCATCCGATCCGCGGTTTCGATAATGGCCGCCTCCGATAAAACCGCGGTCCTGAAAGCTTTCATCTTCAGCTGCCCTAGATTCTGCTTAGATTCCTACAGTATCAACTGATACATGTTCCGACCTTATTAGAATCAATTCCGCTTGTGTCAGGAGCTTCGGCATGGTCTTTGTTCTTCTTTGGGTTTAAGCTTAGGGGCTCAGATTTAAGGTTAGGGCTCTTAAGGTCCCAAGCTGTTGGAATACGAGAAGAAGGCTTGTGATCGAACCTAGCTGCTGCTGCTTGCTGGGTGCTATTATCTCACGATAATCGGAGTTAGCTGGGGACTTTTGGGGAGCTTGGCAACAGGCCGGCGACATCCTCAATCGCACGCTGATGCATCTTGTGTCGGAACAAACAGATGATGCTACTGTCCACGCTTGAGGTTTCTGCAGACAATCCATATAGCGAGATGTGTTCAAGATCAGTTGCAGGTTGCACCCTTAGGTCCACGTGTTGTGCAATGACCCTTATTGACGTCACTATTAGAAAGCTGATGCAAGAGCCTGTGGTGCTGTAGGTCTGAGTACGAGATATCCCAGGCAACATGTTTCGTGAGTCGTGCAAATCCACGCATGCCAGTTGTTGCAGAACTCTGTGCTGAGGCAGTGCGATGCATCATGACGGCATGGTTTGGAACTGCTGTAGTATCGGGCCGAGATCCGAGTAGCAGCTGCTTTCGCGAAATCTTAACTAGGATCTTTCATCACGTGCTACTACACAACTGTAGCAAAATGAGTTTAGATCCGAATGAGACCTCGAACAGAAACCCTCAAGCGAAATTCGCAATCCCAACCAAAACTTTCAAAGGCACTAAACTCCTAAACCCACCGCTTGCAACACTGCACTCCTCGCCGATGCAGCTGCTGATGGCACGCCCTTGGCTGCATGTCGCTCAAGCGAAAAAGGGCTGAACTTTCGGCCTCTGCCTATGGTCTTGATGACAGATGGGATCGTGAAGATGACCGGGCTGCTCTGCACAAATCTGGTGCCACGTTTAGATTTCTGCTGGAGAGATACACCGAAGGCTCAATCACCGCCGCCGACTGCTGCTTGCTGGCTTATTATCATACCGAAAGTGGAGGTGCAGGCGCCGAAGATCTAGCACTACCGCCTGACCAAGCTACGATCCATGGTTCCCAACACTTGAAGTGCCTCAAGCTGCCTTTGATTCTCACGCCGAAACAAACCCCAAAAGCACCCGTACCCTAAAGCCCGAAGCCCAGTTACTATCCGGGTGATGAACAATTTTCATACAAACCCAATTTCGGCTAAATCCCTGAACAACACCATCAATCCGTAAGGTGCCACCTACGAAAGGAATTTCCGGAACCTCGTGTACAATGGATTACAGTTCCTATGAATCCGAAGCACCAGGTTCTCAGGACATCCATGAAGCACCCAGTTCGTCTTGCTTCGGATATGATTCGTGAGGAGCTGAAATCCTTGAACTTCCTAGGAACCTCAAAGCCTTGCAAAACCGCTGTGGATATGTTCCTTCGAAATGATAGAGATCTTGGCGACCGCTACGAAAAGCACCCGGTCACAGTGCAAGCCCTGAGCGAAGGGATTCCCCGCGAGTGTGTCGTGCCAATATCTGTTTACTTTGATGGTGTCCAGTACAGCAAGAACGAGAACTTCTTGGGATTTTATATTACTAATCTCCGGACACCAAAACAACAGCGACTCGTCTGGCTGCTCAGTGTCTTGCTTTCCAAGAAATTGTTTCTAGCTTTTCTATAGGGCTTGGGGCTTAGGGTCTATAGGGTCTAGGGCTCTAGGGAGTCTATGGTTTAAGGGAACGATTATTGGCAGGACTCTCAGATCTATGCCAGTGCGGCTGCAGGGGCTGGTGCTCCGTCTGGCCACTCCTGGAGGCTTTCCGCGAGGATGTTTCTGCTAGCCATGAAGATCTACGGCTGGCAGTGGTTGATTTTAAGGCCGATTGGCCAGCCTTGGCCGAAATTTGTGGTCTGCGAACCTGGAGTCACAATGAACACTGTTGCCCGTGCTGCCTCTGCAAGAAATCTCAACTCACTGAAGTGCTGGGCAACTGGACTCTGAGGACGTGCCCGTATCCACTGTTTGACGATGCTGCAATGAACCAGTACATGAGACAGAACTTCAAGGCTGGTGGTTTTAGGGTCGAGTTTGTTAGGGTTTTTTTAGCAACTTCTTTGGAGCCTTAAGCCCTAAACCCTGAAATGAACCCTAAACCCTCAATGTCCCAGAAGGAAGTCACCGTCGCCAACGACGACATGCGGCAGAAGCTCTATAGGATTTTGATTTATCGCCGAAAGACCCGGGGCCGAACTTTGTCGAAGGCTTTCCCTGCTCTGGGCCTCCCGAAGGGCAGCCGCCTGGAGCCGTCAGCTGCAATGCCTGATGTTGCACTTTTCGATAGCATGACTACTCCCTTTACCTGCCAGTTTTACCTTGGTGGTGAGCATGGAAGGGTTTTGCACGACAGCCCTTTTCTTCGGATACCTGGTGTCAGCCTTGCCACATGGAATATTGACCTTCTTCACACGTGGCATTTTGGGCCGCTATCTACCTTTATCACAGTGACTTTGAGAAGGTTTTTGGACACTGACATTTGGAAGCCATCAATCGTGGGGCTAGACAAAGAAGAGCTCAACAAACTTTCTTTGCTCTGCATGAGAGCTGAACTACAAAGCCACTACAAGCTGCGACGGCAAACTGACCCGAACTGGTCGAAGAAGGGCTCCGAGGCCCCGCACATGTCCAAACCTTGACCCCTGAACCCTATAATTCTAAAACTTTTTTTAGAATCAGAACAAACCTTTTCGGTGCCAACCCCTGCCCAGGTCTGGAATCTGACGCTTTCGATGCTTGCGGAGAAGCACTTGAAAGCCAAAGCGGCCGAGACGCACGGATTGCTCGCATTCGTGTGTGAGATGTTGCAAAAGTACAGTCATCAGCTGTCGACCAGCGGCAGCGAACAGGACCAGTTGTTTTTTGAGCTTTTGCGACACGCCGGGCAAAGTGCCCTGGCTTTTGATGCTGTGCTGGCCAGACATGGCCGACAAATCGATGAAGGAGCTGCCGAAGAGATGCTGATGCATTACAACCGCTTCATGGTACTGTGCAATCGTGCTGGCCTTCCGATATTGCCCAAAGCCCACTTGATGTACCACTGCATCCAGAGGTCTGTCGAACAGGGCAACCCGCGAACATACACAACATACGTGGATGAGTCTTACAATGGGGCGATTGCCAGAGTCTGTCGGTCGGTGCACAGACGAGGCTGGGCTTATGCTGTCTATCGCAAACTTCAGATTTTGGAAACCGTGAAAGCGGAGTCGCGAACTGGCGATGGCATGGATTGCTCTGGAGGCACGGTTTTCAAACCTTATTATATAAGATGAATCCGAAGATAAGGGCTGTCGGCATTTTTCCTTTCATCTTGAATCAGGTTTACCCAGGGGGAGTGAGCTATGTATATGTGCTTGGGTTTAGAGTTTCGAAACGGGCCCCACGGCTATAGCTATTTTCAACCCAACCCTTGGGGACCTAAACCCGAAATCCGAAAGCCGAAATGACCTTTTCAGGTTTAAGGTAATTTAGGAATCTAAGGTTCTAAGATTTCCTCGTACATTTGGGTTGGGCTTCTGGAAAAGCATGACATTATTGAGTGTAAACTTCTTGCCGCAGGATGATGGACGACTTGCAAAGCTCTTTCGGCGAAGCCGACCTAGATCTCACCGCTGCATGCGACGTGTTCTGTGGGCCGGGCTGTGTATTGAGATGTTGTAAGGTTTAGGGTCAACATAAAATGCTGCCAAAGCCCCACAGCACAGCTGCCAAGTTGCATGCTCCAGCACCGCCGATCGAGAAGAGCCAGCAGCAACAATCCAAGGATTGGGGGTTGGGTTTTCTTGGGTTTAGGGGTTAAGGATGTTTTAAGGTCGGCGACAGGCTTGTGCTACATCTTGGCTTCGAAAGTCAAGTTTGAAGTAAGTGTGCAGGTCTTTGTGTCTGTGTTGACTCGAGCCCTTCGATCCAGAGCTCGACATCTCAAACCGTCATAGGCACAGGGCTCTGAAAGTTCAGGGTTTAGGGCCATAATATCTGAAGGCGGCTTCAACGACCGAAAATATTGTCGGAAGATGTTGGAAGATCTCACTCCCCCGAATCCCAACCGAAGAATTCCTCAAATCCGAAAGCCGTTGCAACTTTATTGCAGTGCATAACATACTGTCGGCTTGGGGTTTAGGCCTCAAGGACAAAATGCACAAACCCAGTAAACCGCCAGACTCTGAAGGCTTGAAGCACCCAGCCCCAAAGCTCGAAGACTCCAAAGCCTCAAGCCTGAAGCTCCAAAACCCAAAAGCCCAAGGCCTTGAACTCTCTAACTCGAGCGCTTAGGGCTTCGTAGTCTGGGGTTTAGGGCTTAGGCTGAACATGTAAGCTCTAAACCCTCAGCTCCAAACCCTATAAAGCCCCCAGCCTGCTGAACCCGAAGCCGGAGCATTCAAACACAGTGATGTGTGCGCTTTGTCTTACCATTCGTTATATTTTCATAAAATGTTTCATCCATATACCATACAAAACCCTAATGTCCCTAATGTTTTGTTGGCTCAAGCGAGTTTGTGGCTCAATACGAGTTTCCTGGCACAAATGGCGAGAATCATGAGCATCTGCGATTTGTGTAGCACAAACTGCTGCCGTTTTTCGGCACAAAAGTATATGCATTCGTGCATATATGCAGCAGTCGTGTCTCATCGCTTGTTTTGGCTCAAACCCCGTATTACCTCTGTTTTGCTGATTTTCGTGAAGCCGGCTGGCGGCTCCATTTTTAAGCTGCGGCTCTATTTTGGCAACAGCGGCTCTATATTGCTTATCTTCAAGCGGCTCTATTTTATAGATCCGAACGGTGGTCTGGGCTGAGCATGCGTCTCATCCCCCTGCTGTAGTGATAGAAGACCAAGAGAAAGGCAAGGCAAAGCACGTCATGGGAGCGTGGCCTGAAGACCCTTGGACACAGGGTTGTCACACACACGCCCCGCCGTAGCGGGGCGAGTCAGGAAACGGCTGCGGTCAACCGTGCCATGTGCTTCGCCACGGTACTGCGCCATGTTCTTTGTCACGGTGTCGGAGGTGAAGACAGCGTTTTTGCCTAGTGCCTCAACCTGCCTCCCTAAACCACAACCAGCCTAAACCCACGCACCGAAGACAAAGGCAACGAGGAAGAAGTGACTGCGGGTAGGGGAATGGATACCCCCCAAGCCAACCGGGTTCGTCACGAAGAAGTCGTACATCTTCGCCGCGAAGAGGTCGTACAGCAGTACGCGGGTAGGGGGATAAATACCCCGAAAGCCAACAAAGTGCACCAGGAAGAGGTCGAACAGCTTCGCCGCGAAGAGGTCGTACAGCAGCACACGGGTAGGGGGATGGATACCCCGAAAACCAACAAGGTTCGCCACGAAGAAGAAGTCGTTGCGGCAGTGTGGGGAAAGGGAATGGATACCCGAAGGCCAACAAACTTCGCCACATACAGGTCGTGACTGCGCCATGTGCTTCGCCACGGTGTCAGAGGTGAAGACAGCGTTTAAGCCTAGAGCCTCAACCTGTCTCCCTAAACCACAACCGGCCTGAACCCCCACGCACCGAAGACAAAGGCAAGGAGGAAGAAGTGACTGTGGGTAGGGGAATGGATACCCCCAAAGCCAACCCGGTCCGTCACGAAGAAGTCGTACAGCTTCGCCGCGAAGAGGTCGTACAGCAGTACGCGGGTAAGGGGATGAATACCCGGAAGCCGACAAAGTTCGCCACGAAGTGGTCGCACAGCTTCGCCGCGAAAAGGTGTACAGCAAGCACACGGGTAGGGGGGGATGGATACCCCGAAAGCCAACAAGGTTCGCCACGAAGAGGTCGTTACGAAAGCATGGGGAAAGGGGATGGATACCCGAAGGCCAACAAACTTCGCCACGTATAGGTCGTGACTGCGCCATGTGCTTCGCCACGGTGTCAGAGGTGAAGACAGCGTTTAAGCCTAGAGCCTCAACCTGCCTCCCTAAACCACAACCGGCCTGAACCCCCCACGCACCGAAGACAAAGGCAAGGAGGAAGAAGTGACTGTGGGGGTAGGGGAATGCATACCCCCAAAGCCAACCAGGTTCGTCACGAAGTCGTACAGCTTCACCGCGACGAGGTCGTCCAGCAGCACGCGGGCAAGGGGATGAATACCCGGAAGCCAACAAAGTTCGCCACGAAGTGGTCGCACAGTTTCGTCGCGAAGAGGTCGTACTGCAGCACACGAGTAGGGGGGATGGATACCCCGAAAGCCAACAAGCTTCGCCACGAAGAGGTCGTTACCGGAGCGTGGGGAAAGGGGATGGATACCCGAAGGCCAACAACCTTCGCCACGTACAGGTCGTGACTGCGCCATGTGCTTCGCCACGGTGTCAGAGGTGAAGACAGCTTTTAAGCCTAGAGCCTCAACCTGTCTCACTAAACCACAACTGGCCTGAACCCCCACGCACCGAAGACAAAGGCAAGGAGGAAGAAGTGACTGCGGGGGTAGGGGAATGGATACCCCCAAAGCCAACCAGGTTTGTCACGAAGTCGTACAGCTTCGCCGCGAAGAGGTCGTACAGCAGCACGCGGGCAAGGGGATGAATACCCGGAAGCCAACAAAGTTCGCCACGAAGTGGTCGCACAGCTTCGCCGCGAAGAGGTCGTACAGCAGCACACGGGTAGGGGGGATGGATACCCCGAAAGCCAATAAGGTTCGCCACGAAGAGGTCGTTACGAAAACGTGGGGAAAGGGGGATGGATACCCGAAGGCCAACGAACTTCGCCACGTACAGGTCGTGACTGCGCCATGTGCTTCGCCACGGTGTCAGAGGTGAAGACAGCGTTTAAGCCTAGAGCCTCAACCTGCCTCCCTAAACCACAACCGGCCTGAACCCCCACGCACCGAAGACAAAGGCAAGGAGGAAGAAGTGACTGTGGGGGTAGGGGAATGGATACCCCCAAAGCCAACCAGGTCCGTCACGAAGAAGTCGTACGGCTTCGCCGCGAAGAGGTCGCACAGCAGTACGCGGGTAAGGGGATGAATACCCGGAAGCCAGCAAAGTTCGCCACGAAGTGGTCACACAGCTTCGTCGCGAAGAGGTCGTACAGCAGCACACGGGTAGGGGGGATGGATACCCCGAAAGCCAACAAGGTTCGCCACGAAGAGGTCGTTACGAAAGCGTGGGGAAAGGGGATGGATACCCGAAGGCCAACAAACTTCGCCACGTACAGGTCGTGACTGCGCCCTGTGCGTCGCCACGGTGTCAGAGGTGAAGACAGCGTTTAAGCCTAGAGCCTCAACCTGCCTCCCTAAACCACAACCGGCCTGAACCCCCACGCACCGAAGACAAAGGCAAGAAGGAAGAAGGGACTGTGGGTAGGGGAATGGATACCCCAAAGCCAACCAGGTTCGTTACGAAGAAGTCGTACAGCTTCGCCGCGAGGAGGTCGTGCAGCAGCACGCGGGCAAGGGGATGAATACCCGGAAGCCAACGAAGTTCGCCAGGAAGTGGTCGCACAGCTTCGCCGCGAAGAGGTCGTACAGCAGCACACGAGTAGGGGGATGGATACCCCGAAAGCCAGCAAGGTTCGCCACGAAGAGGTCGTTACGAAAGCGTGGGAAAGGGGATGGATATCCGAAGGCCAACAAACTTCGCCACGTACTCGTGACTGCGCTATGTGCTTCGCCACGGTGTCAGAGGTGAAGACAGCGTGCAAGCCTAGAGCCTCAACCTGCCTCCCTAAACCACAACCGGCCTGAACCCCCACGCACCGAAGACAAAGGCAAGGCGGAAGAAGTGACTGTGGGTAGGGGAATGGATACCCCCAAAAGCCAACCAGGTTCGTCACGAAGAAGTCGTATAGCTTCGCCGCGAAGAGGTCGTACAGCAGCGCGCGGGTAAGGGGATGAATACCCGGAAGTCCACAAAGTTCGCCACGAAGTGGTCGCACAGTTTCGCCGCGAAGAGGTGTACAGCAGCACACGGGTAGGGGGGGATGGATACCCCGAAAGCCAACAAGGTTCGCCACGAAGAGGTCGTTACGAAATGGATAGTTGGACGCCCTCTAAGCTCTGGTTGAACCGGCTGCCAAACGTCGAAATCTTCAGGTTGCAGGGTAGTTGGACGCCCATCAAGATCTGGTTAAAGCTAAAGCCAAACGTCAAACTCTGCAGGCTGCGGGTAGTTGAACGCGCTCCAGGCTCTGGTTGAAGCTGTAGTCGAACGTCAAACTCTGCAGGTTGCTGGGTAGTTGGACGCACTCCAAGCACTGGTTGAAGCTAAAGCCAAACGTCAACCTGCCGGACAGTGGATGCCCTCCATGCTCTGGTCAAAGTGTGTGAGCTGCT